TGTGTGTGTGACCTTTGCCTTTGTCTGCTCTCCTTCCTGTGGTGAGATCAGGTATCCAGAGCCCCAGCCAGGTGGAGCTGCTGGCCAAGCACAACCCAAACAGGCCGTTGTTTGTCGAGGGCCCCTTCCCTCTTTGGCTGAGGAGCAAGTGTGTGTACTACTACGTCCTCAGGGCTGACCCCACACCGCCGGAGGAGAAGGTAGGAAGACTCGATGGGAACGGATAGTTTGCGTTATCTAGGAATGGCGTGTTCTTACCAAAGCTGTGTTCCATTCCCCGACCCCCAAAGGTTGAGGAGCCCTTTGATCCAGAGAGGTGCTTGGACTATCCCCTGCAGCTCGACCTGGATCTGGACCGTGACCTTGGGGACGAGGAAAGCTTTGACGTTGAAGACCGTAAGACACAAACGCTGTGATTATTCCTGTGGGGGATGAAGGCACGGAAAAAGCTCCCGGTATGTGTGTGTGAGTGTGTGTGTGTGTGTAATGCAGCTGTTATGTGTCTTTTATATAGTGGACGAGGGCCCGGTCTTCGCCATGTGTATGACCGGCCTGGGAGAACAGGCCGTCCTCAACCAGTGGATCTCTGGCCTCCAGGAGGACAATCCCATCCTGGGTCAGGTCCCCACTCTGTTCCGCCTGGACGCTGGGCCCCGGGAGCTGCAGGGGGCGACTGACACTGAGTCATTCCACCACCACGGCCCAGAACCCGAGTACCAGAAAGAGGAGCGACAGCCTCAAGAAGAACCTGAGGTGACATTGGAGGAAGAGCCGAGGACAAGCCAGAGGATGAAACGGTGAAGAGCAGTATCCTAACATACTGTACTATGACGGGTAGCTGCTGGACTAGTGTGAGCTACTGGTTTACTGAACCGAGCTGAACCTGAGGAGGACTCTTGACTAATTATGGAAAGCTTCAGTAATAAACTGTGTCCCAATTGAAAAAATGCGTCCTAATTTTGTCTCTGAATTAGTTAACATTAGGCCGGTCAGCATCACTACTGCACTTTATTGTTTCTTGCTCTTCTGAGTTTGTATCCCTATGGTTGAATGCACTTTGGAGTGCCAGCTAAATTACATGTAATGTAATGTACTGATGTATTGTTTTTCTGGCATCAAGTTCACTAAAACTCTGGTGACATTGTCATGTTTAACACGCACAAAAACAAAGTCAAAGTCAATATCAAGGACAATAAAAATGAATGGAGGTAAGACATTGCAAGATAAATCAATAATGTAATTATTTGGACAGTCATAGTCTACGTTTGAAATGATCTTGGCACTGATTCCCAGATGAGGGGATTACCACTAGAGGTCGCAAGAAAAGATGATAGGAGAGCAGCAAAGTACATATTTCTGCCACACAAAAGCAGGATTTCATTTTAGCATAAATATTGTTCTAGCATTTGTGTGACTGTACCTGGAGGCAGTCTGAGCTCTGCAAGCAGTTCCTTCCACCTCACAGCTTGCTTTCCTATTCTCTCCTATGCATTGTCAGCTGTGAAGCCTTATAAACAATTCTATCCGCTTTGCTTTTTCCATTTTCTTATGTTACAGCCTTATTCCAAAATGGATTTCACTAATTATTTTCCTCACGTGAAACGTGAAGTCTTTTCAAAATAGAAAACAAAGTATTTACAAGCTTGGTCATGACACTCAAAATTGAGCTAAGGTGCATTTGTTTCCACTAATTATCCTCTCTTCAACGTGATTGAAGTCCTCCCCTATAGACTCAGTTCATTCAGCACGTTCTTTCATACGGTCTATGGCTTCTGACAACTCTTGAGGAGTTGGGTTCCTGTTTTGAGCTCTCGCTAATGAGCGGTATTTCTAAGTTCTGGAGTGTGTGAGATGTGGCTGGACTTTCTGTCTGGACACCAGGCCGGAAGTTTCCCTGCCCTTTCTCCTTGGTTGTAGTATGTCTGTTTACGTTTCATTACGCTGTATAATGCATTATACTGTGCTCTAAGAATGTCCCGTCTCTGTCTAGTCTCATTTGTATCATTGAGGTTCATTTCTGTCTCAAGTTCTTTGATATTTTTCTATCTCATTCACTTTTAGGTGCTGTTTATTATGTATATGCTGCTTGTATAGCTGATCATTTGGCCCCATATGTAGGGCTTGAATGCCTCCTATCTTGTAGACGCTGATGTTTGAGTAGTATTGGCTTAATAGGCGAAATAGACAGGTAAAAAAGTGAATTTAATTCATTTTGGAATAAGGCTGTGACACAGGGGTACGCAACATTTCCTGTTCAAAGCAGCAGAAATGATCTCTAATGGTTAGTTAGGCTTTGACCTCCAACAATTAAAAATGAAGCTTTGACCTACGTTTATATAGAGTCATACTGTAAGATTTGACCTGAGGTAGAATTAGATAATCAATGTGGGGAAAAAGGGTAAGCTCAAAGGTAGAAAAGGTTTATTACTGAAAAAGGCATTGAAACATTCCATTTGAACTGGTAAACAAGTCATCAAGTCAGAATTACATTCTCAGAAGGTAAAATAGCTTGGTCGCTTCCAGCTATTGACACTGTGTTGCAGCTGTGAAGGCAGTCCTCCGAACAGCTTTGTGCTCAAACAGAACAGTTCAGCAGTTTTCTCTGAATGAAATGGTACAAAACACGAGAATGTATATCATAAATGATACATTGTAGTTTATCCTTTTACTACTCATGCAGGAAACCCTTGGACTCAATACTCACAGATGAGAAGATTCTCTAACATGGAGCTTTCTACAGATATGAATAATGCACCATCAATAATCATTATACAAGGAGAGTCAATAAATACCATTGCTCCAAATATTGTGAAACTGCACAGTCTTATACGTCTTACGACTTAAGTATTTTCTGTATTTACAGTGAAGACGTTAGATGTTTTATGTCATATGGTGAAGCTGATATGAACTGCAGGAGGTTTGTACACATTTGACAAAGTTTTAAAAAAGTTGTCTCAATACAAAAAGTTGTCATTGAGGAACATATGTAAGCTTCAGGGTTTGAAGAACATCATGGAGAATCACAAACAATAACTTGAACAGTTCTGAACAGCCATGCAACAATCCAATAACTAGCGGGGTCTAGAACAGCCTCGGACCTGAATTTCAACATAGGTTTATCCTCAGTTTATAGGTCCCACACAATTTTAGCCTGGCTTAGTACAAAGACTATTCACCAGAATGTCATACTTCTATAAATATTTTAAATATAAAACGTCATATCCATCAAAGCTTTGATGCAGAAACTGTCCACACGGACTGTCATAGACCCATATTACAACCCTGGTAGGGAAATGAGGTAAAGCTGCCCGTTGGGAGGAATCTTTCCAATACAGCATTTTCTTTCAAGGTGACTTTGTGAAGGTAAACCCATTGATACAATTTTAATAAATAAGACAAAGTGTGGCTGTTGTCTCCTGCAGTCCTCTCCTCTGGTCTTCAGTTCCTGTGTGCTTCTGCAAAACAAGTTCAAAAGGTTTGGCATGTTGGAAGATAACACATGCCGAGTTCACACATACACAACTTGCTGTCCTGTATTGGGGCGTCTTGAAGCTGCTACGCATGATCCCAATCACACATCGGAGAAGTGACATGGGTCACCAGTTTTCAAGGTGAAAAAAAGCCCTTTGTCCTTCTTTTCCAGCTCCGTCTTTGTTGACGTTGTGTTCTGGCTCAATTACAATCCGGCTCCTTCGCCAGAACTACAGCGGCCGGCTCCGGGACCAACTTCCCTCTCTGATGAAAACTGCCGTTTATTTTTGTGACCATGGTTTCAAATCAGAATATTTCGGAAGCAGTTACCTAATCATAATAATAATAACCTTCAACTCTCTGGCATTTACAATGTAACCAACCTTCTAGTATCATAAATACATGTTTGGCAAAGAAATGAGGCGCAGCTTCCTCATCCCAATACGGTCATCATAATGAGAACGCTCCAAAGAACAGTTGTGGCCAATGCTGTACCCCAATGGGTATAAATACGCTGCAGTCTCCCCAAAACAACTTTGGTGGAAAGCTTGAAACAATAAAAGGGTTCTCAGTAGAAACCCCATAGGCGCGTTCTTCATAAAACCTTTATATGGTAGAAAAGTTCTGGACAGAACTCCCAGAGAGGGTTCTGGGTGGATCCATTTTACCTTGGAAGGGTTCTGTATACAACCTTGCATGGGGGGTTCTTGGTGGACACTTCCAAACGGCATACTCCTTTGAAAGAGTTTTGAGTGGTTCTAGGCAGCACCTTTGTTGTGTCTGCAGTCATACTGTACCTTCCAGGGTCCCGCTGTGCTGCTGGAGCTGGCTGGTGAAAAAGCGCTCCCTCTGGGACACCTGCTCGTCCCAGGCCTCCAGTATTTGCCGTTGCTCCCTGGGCTCCAGGGCCAGGGTGTCCGGATGGGCCTCATCGATGTGGGCCCTCACCCCCTCCAGGCTGTGGGAGTACTGCAGTTCTCCACACACCATGCACACCAGCAGCTGGTTGAGCGGATCGTAGTCCATGAGGTAGCGATTCCTCCACACGGCGTCTGAGACGGAACCTTCCTCTCCGTTATTATCCTCGTAGTCAGTGAACAGAAGCTCTGCATTATCTGAAGAAACAGTTAAAGAGAAAAACGTTTGTGCCAATGAGTCCGTTTAGAACCGTTTAGGCGGCTCAAAGTGACATATTTGATATTTCACCTGGTGCTGTGTAACCTGAGAAGGAAAACGATCCCATGTCGGTGTCCTCTGAATTACTGAAAAAAAGAAAGTAGTCTTTACGTCTTTATTATCCCACATCAAGCACACAGCAAAACCGATTGGTTGCTACAAATGTCCCACCTCATTAGATGTTCTGATTCCTCAGAGGAGCTCAGCCACTGACCAGAATCCTGTGGTGACAGAGAAAATGGATGGGATTGAAAAAAACAAAAAACACTCATATTCCCCTTCGGTACGAATGTAACCTGAGTGTTGGTTTCTTCTGATGTGTGTTCTTTATCATTTAATAGGACTATAGTAATTTGGCAGGAGTTTTTAAATTTACCTGTGTTTGTGGCTCCTGGGCAGGCAGGATGGTCCTAAAGTTGTTGGAGGCTCTTCTTGGGGAGACTCCCTTGTCCCGAATGGCCTTCCTGGCTCTCTGTTCCTTCTTTTTAATCCTCCAGTACTCCCTCTTCCTCCTCAAAAAGTCCTCCTCACACTCCCCTGGGATGGGCTTTGGTGGAGGCATGGAGGTAATGGGTGCCAGATTGGTGGGAGTATGCATCATATGTGTGGGGTTCTGAAGCTGGGAACAAGGGATTTTTATTGGACTGAAGGTGCAGTTTGGACTTGGAGGAGGTTCAATGGGCTGAAGGTTGATGCTGGACAGTGGGTTGTCTGGGGGTTTCAGAAAAGGGAGTGAAGGGGCCAAGTCCAGGTCTGTGCTTCTGGACATCCACCTTCTTGAACTTGGCATGGCTTGTTGTGGATTCTCGTGAGGTCCTTGACAGTAGGACTCGATCTGTGATGGTCCAATGTTCACATGGTTCTGCACACTTCTGAGTGAACAGGAGACACTGTTGACAGGCAATTTGACCCGGAGTGCGTCATGTGACTGTTCAGCGTTGCATGCCATGTGGCTAACGAGCAGGACAGAGGGGATACTGGCCACTGCAGTTGGAGAAGCAACGGGCGGCTCGGGATAGAGTGCTGCTTTTCCTCGGGGATTCACGCCCTTTGTGGTGTTCATAAGAACGAGACCTGAAGCCTGAAAGACAACAGAATTAACAGAAAAGCACAATTAATATACAACGAGAAAAGTATCTTTCTGCAACATGCACATGTGTGTTCGTCCCTAGCTAACCTCGGTCCTCATCAGTCTCAGTATTTTTGCTGTTCAAGTGTTAGATTCCAGAAAGTTTGTGGTGTAATGAGCCATGTTTTAGAGAGAGGGAGGTGGCAACAAACTGTCTACAAACAGAGCACATTTTGTGTATAACAACAAGCCTCAAGCCAGGCAGCAGTATCAGTACAGGATGTTGTGAAATTCAATTCCAGTGATCATGGCGAAACTTTCTATAAATCAATAGTTTATCACAGATAAAAATGCAAAGATAAGGAAAAGAGAGGGGAAAAACGTTATTACGTTTTAAAAGTAACTTCTATGGGCTCAAACTGTTTTGGAAACAGACCATAATTCTGTGAAAACTGTGAATTTCAAATCAGTGGATCCAGTAGGGATCAAAGAGTAGGAAAAGGTCTTATTGGGTTGCACCCAAAATGATCATGGTTATTAGTATTATCACTATACTGTTCAAATGTACTGAAAATGTTCAAAAAGTAATCATACTTTTTGAACATTTTCAGTACTGAAGTCCTCCTTTTAGGCATATCAAAATGAAAATCCTGAGGATTCAGCTTTTTAGAAAGAAGGGGTGACACAAATGCACATAGTAATGTAACTGAAGGCAGCTAGCAAAGGGAGCATTACTCTTTAAAGGGATTGATTGATTGATGCTTCTTCTAAACGTGTACCCCTCTTAGCTTCCCCCAGTCTCAGTTTAATATTAGCTATTTGGTACAGTATTCAAAATGATCATTATTTCTATGGGTCACGTCACCTGAATGTTTTTCTGGGAGAGACGACTGCTGCACTCTGCCGATCTGTCTCTCTGCCGGGCTCTTAACCGGGCCCTTTGCTGCCTCTTCATCAGTTTCCAGTACTCCCTCTTCCTCTGCAGGCCGAACAGACCGCTGCGCTCGGTCATCACACTGAGAGGTCCTTGTTCTGGGCGGGAGTTGCTGTTTTGGCATTCTTCCTGTGCCTGGCACCGTTTTTCACTGTGTTGTTGCTGCGGTTGTGGTAGGTGATGCAGCTTTGGCGGCTCTGCGGAAAGGCTGCTTTGATGGCCTGCTTTTTTGGTGCGTTGCCTCTGGGTTCTGCGGGGCGGAGAGGCTTCCATAGAGGGTTTTACTATGAAGTTTGAATGCGTTTGGGATGAGTGCTCGCATGTGGGAGGCAGGACTACCCCGCTGGAGATGGGAAGAGGTGGTATTGTCTCGCTACTTTGGGCTGAGTCCTTGAGATGAGGGCTTGGTGAACATTCTTGAACTAAAGCATTGGAATTTGAAGGCCAGCTTTTTATCTCCAATGTCAAGTCAGGAGCGATAGGAGCCAACTTGTTCGGGGGTAAATTTGGCTCCATCTCTTGCTCTGAGGCCTCCGTTGACTCCAATTTAATGGTAGACTGCTCACTGCTACACTCTGTCACTGTGCTAAGTGATTCTTCCAGGAGTTTCTTCATAGAGGCTACAGCTAGCAGAGTGGTAGCTTGGCTGTCTGCATTCACAGCTGAGTCAGGCTCCGAATGTGCCGCTGGAGGAGGTGGTGGTGGTGGGGAGCTTGGGGCTTTGATATCTGGACAGATGGCTTGTTCCAGTTGAGAATTAAGGTCAACTTCTGGCATAGACTCATTCTCTTGTTTTATCTCATTTGCATGGGGCATAACTGGGACACGGTTGTTGGGTATGGATTGTAGACTTCTTGTTTGGTCAGGGAGACTCCTGCCTGGTGGTGTGGTTGCTATCGCTAATTTCCTCTGGGCCCTCCTCCTCTGTAAGGTCACACTGGCCCTGGCCTGTAAGACGCCCTGCTTCAGGCGAGCGGCTCGAGCTGCTCGCTGCTCTCGCTTCTTTATCCTCCAGTACTCCCTTTTCTTTGCCATCCTCTCCTCTTCTGTCAACTCCGGATCCAGAGAGAGTGCTGACAGTGATGGTGCATTACTGGAGATGGCCATCTTCATGACACAGGCCCCCAGGTTTGACCCTGCGGTCGATCCTCCAGAAACCACATTTTGAGGGGTTTGAGGATGAGTGAGTGTGAGCTGACCAACAGTTTGGATTGCTAACCTGTGTGGTTTAGCAGAGGCTGTGCTTTGTCTGACTGGTAGTAGTCTTGGTGGCTTGTTGAGCGACTGACCATCAAGGGGAAAAGAGACTTTCACCTGAGCTGGTAGGAGGGGAGGAGGGGGCTTAGTCACACGAATGGGTGTTATAACTCTTCGGTTTGTATTAGGGTGATGCTGAGGTTTTGTGTTGGGAGTGTTATAAGGAACTACATGACACTCGGAGTTGTGCTCTGAAGGAACCTGGGGAATGTTAATAGTCACCGTCCCATCCTCCTTGATGAACCCCCCGATGGTCTCCGAGGCGTGGGTAAGGCTGCTTCCCGCTGACTGGGCCAACGCTCTGGCCCTCCTCATCTCCTCCAGGATTGACTGGTAACGTTTCACTCTTCGCATTAGAGAGTCCCTCTCCTTCAACCGAGACTTTACGTCCATTGATAGCCTAGCTCGCTGTTCGCGCTTTTTAATCCGCCAATACTCTCGCCGTTTGGCGATTATCTGCTCGGGCGTGTCGTTGGGGTCAATTTGAGGGAAATTTCTGCTAGCAAAGAATGAGGCATTTAACGGGGATTTACATCTTATGTTTCTTTGATTCATGAAATTCTTCTGGGCATCTATGAACCTCTGTCTAGGTGTTTTACATCGGGTTGTCCCTCGGGCAACATTAGAAAGATGTAAATAACTTGGAAACCTTCTCGTAGACTCCCCAGGCTTTCTAAACAAAGTAGCGTCACATGTGATGGCTGTCTGCGTTGTCCTACAGACTTGTGCATTTGTTACCTTGTTCCGGTTGGCTGTGGCGAAGCCCCCTGTCCCACTTTGCAGTTCGTCATTTTCCCTTTTGGCCGATGTAAATGAAGTTTTGACCTGAGTCGGAAACTGCCTCTTGCTTGCTTCTCTCAAAATTGGCTGAGATGGAAGATGCTGATGAATCTTGCCTCCCACAAGTCCTGTTTTTTGTGCTGTTTGCCTCCGAAACGTGAACTCCACACTCTGTGCCCTTTCTCTAGCTTTAACTAGCTGAGCTGCCAGCTTCGCCCTTTGCTCTCGCTTTTTGATCCGCCAATGCTCTCTGCGTCTGGCTGCTTGCTCCTCCTCTAGCCCCGAAGAAGAAGGGGACTTGCTAACACCTTTAGCCCCCTGCAAAGTGACCAAGGCATTCTTTGTTCCACTTTGAGGCGTTGTGTTCGCTTTTCTGCCCACCCTTTTAATAGAGTCTGGGACACATGGTGAGGACATAAGAATCGCGCCTGTGGTGACATTGGTTGGTGGGAGATTGGGCTGGGTGCGTAATGCAACTTGTGCCTGACGTGTTTTAGGGGCTGATGCACTCTGCATAGACCCACATGACTGAGGCGTTGTTTCAGTGGAGCTGCCATTGGTAGTTCTGGTCACTCTGAATGGAGGCACTGAGGAACGGGTGTTTAGCTGGGTTCCACTGGGTGTATGTGAGGTAACGGCTCTGCTCAGCGTACCCCTCGCTGTGACCGTGTTGCCCCTAGAAGCTTTGGCTGAAATGGAACACGATGCTGGCAACTGAGGCGAGAGAATGTCCAGTTTCATTGAATGGAGCCACTTCTCCTCTTGGTTGTCAGTGGCTTCAACTGAGCAGGCCGTGGCTACATTTACACTTGGTGATGCAGAAGAGGTCGCAACTTTTTTGCAAGAGTCGTCATTACTCTGCAAAGGAGAAGCAAAAGCGGCAAAAGGGAGAGTTGAAGTAGAATTTGTCACCGCAGGGGCGTGCAGATGTAGGATCTTTCCGCCTTGCGTTCCCTTTATTCTGCGCTCTGTCAGTCGGGCCCTCTGCTCTCGTTTCTTGGTTCTCCAGTATTGTCTTTTTTGGTTGAGCGTGGCATCATCGTACTCGGAGGCCGGCCGGTAGCGGTGGGACGTTGAACCACTTTTATCTTTTGCAGTTGGCATCGCCAGCTTGAACAGCCCATCGGTTCTCATCCAACAGTGGTGGTTGGCTCTTCCCTTGTCACACGGATTAAAATCATCCCGTTGGTCAACAATCCTTGATGGCATCAACGTACGTGGTCTCCTCCTACATGATGGTTGGCTTTGCTGAGCAGCTGCCAACTCTTGCAGACATCACTTTGGTATGCGGGTGTCCTGAAGAACAGAAATAAAGTGTAAATTGTCATTTTGTAATAAGTTTGATATAAATGGAGCAAGCTAAAGCAAGAATCTATCAAACAGGTTGTAGCGCAAACTATTTATTTCATGCGTCTTTAAAAAGGAGGCACACACCGATAAGGTGTAATACACCCAGTGGAAAATGTATTACATTACATTACATTTAGCTTTTATCCAAAGCAACTTACATTACATTTTTAACCCATGGCTTTTTTACATTTTGCCCGGGGAGCAATTAGGGGTTAGGTGTCTTGCTCAGGGACACTTCGACATGGGGCAGCCTGGGCTCGAACCACCAACCTTGCGGTATTAGGGACATTGGTTCAATCAAATCAATACAGCTCATCCATAAACTCAATTTGAAATATTATGACGCTTGGGATTTTGATTGTTTTCCGTGGTTGAATTAACGCCATGTGAATATGTATGATGTGATGAAATCATAATATACTCAATGAACTCACATCATCACACAACATGATGTCACACATGAAATGTAAAAAAATAGCATATGAAAACACCACCGTATGATTTTGTATCACATGCAAATAAAATCCAAGATGTGATAAATTTACAACCCACCGTGGTTGTGGTGAAACATTTCAAATACAATATGTTAATATTGTGTGGATAAGTCATTTGTGAAAACAATTCACCTACTTTCTAACTGTACACCTAATATGTTTACTATTAAAAAAATATCACATTTGAGCTCAGGCAGTTGTTCCCATTTCCAGGGCCTCTTGTTCGAATGGATTAATGGTTGTAACATGCTAATCAAAAGACAATGCACATGGAGGCTAACAGCAGGACACCAGCTCATCGCCCACAACACGATGCACACCCGAGACAGAGTAAAGCTTATAGTTAACTTAGCGAACTACTGGATTGTAGCATTGTGACATATGAATATTAACTATCTGGTCCGACGGCATCATTGGGGACACGAACACGTCGCGTTGGAACGTGTAGCCATACTTTAAGCTACATGAACCAGGAAGGAAGCAGAGTGACACTGTCCCTTTAAACCTGTCCCTTTCTATCACACATTATATCTGTCGAGAGCCATTTTTATTCTTTATTCTGCGACTATTTGATCGAAAACGCCGCGAACCGACCCAGCTACGGCACATTTAACACCACACACCGAAACGCTGAGGGGGAAGATTCCGACATTTACGGCGTAAATCGTTCATGAACCGCTGTGTCTCTCTAAGCGCAACAATGGACAAGACCTCCCCCTGTTGTCCACACGGACGGGCGCCGGAGTCTGTTGCCTGCCCGAAAAGAGACGAGAAACCCCGCGCGTCGCTGTGGCAAAAGCACGACGCTCGGAAACGCGTGGAAGAAAAACATGCATACCCGATACCTTTAGTTACACCTAACTTTCCGGGGCAGTTTTAGTGAACGTGTTTTTGGACAGAGACGTTGCCAGGACACTGCAGCTACTTTCCGTCAGCCAGCCGTGCTCTCCGAGGCTGCCTTGACAACGCTGAAAAGTACCAGGATGTGGGACCTGGACGCCTGCTTTGCGTGCGCGCGTACGCGCGTGTGTGTGTGTGTGTGTGTGTGTGTGTGGCGTGGACACGCACAGACAGTACACAGCACGACGCCTCCCCGGTTCAAATCCACTCAGTAGCGTTTATGTGAAATCATTTCGATACATTTGGCTTCGCGTCTCGCTGGTCGGCTGATAATTAGCCGGAGCCTCATTCGTCAGGTGAAGATTTAGGGAAAGCTGCCTTTTTGGACACACGTGGAATAACTAAATAACAATAATTCGGCGGCGATGCGCAGGTATCATATAACCTGTTCCAATTTGGCGCAGCTGGACAAAGGTCCATTGATTTATTGGCTTTTTCTACAAATTGCCTCAATTCATGTGCAGAACCGCCATAGATAGAATAGCACGATTGGTGGTTTTGAATAATGAGCACAACAGTCATTAATAGGCAGGTTTGCTCGGAAAAATAGTCATTTTAGTTGTAGGTGTTGACTTGAAATACAAGAAGTAACCTTTACTGGGCTGATTTATAAACGTAGACATTCTCTTCATTAATCTCTTGCTGGCGAGAGGGGCCCCATTGTCTACCAAATCTATAGCATCAAATAAGAAAACGTCTCTACACACAGTAGACTCTGGACAAGATTATCCCCATAAACCCCCTCTTGAAGGGGCCAGTCTTTAGAGATTAACACACCAGCAAAGTAATACTATTTACAATACAATCATAACCAATACTACTTCATAAGGAAATGTACGATTAGAGGGTTCATTTTCAAATAAGTATTTATATTGTACCCAAAAATGCCAGGAATGTTGACCTTAGCTTCTTGCATTGACACATTTAACGGTTCTGCTGTGGTGGCAAACTGATTCATTTTTTGGGGGAGGATGCGTCCATTGTTCAGACAAAGCGTTTTGAATATGTCAATTGGGCACTTGACCAACGAGTGTTTATTAAAGCCAATACTCTCTGGGTCAATCAGTATAATGACAATAACTGTTCCCTGTGCTTAATAGGGCCGGTTTGTCTGTCAAAACGGACCACACAGGATTTGTGTTTAGAATAAAGTATCCCCGGACCTGGATCCCCAGCACAAAACAATATGAGGTCGAGCTCGTGGGCCCCTAATTTAGAATGGACCCGCCTCGTTTTTTTTAAACCGATGCTTTGCCGAACCAGCCCGCCTCTGTCCTCGCAATATTTATTGAGAACAGTAGCATTTAGTATTAGCGTCTTATCAGTATTAGCGCCCGCTGCTCTGTTTGCTCCCCCCCGGGGTGGGTGTGCATTGACGACACTGCTACTGTCTCTTTAAATTTACCCAGGAGCCCCTTAAGGAGCCCCAGGGGCCCCTAGTCGGCTCCCCACCCTGAAGACAAGCAAGAGCCTTAAAATACATTACTGGAGGCCTGCGCCGCGGCGCCGGACGGAGGAACGAGCTTCAATCGCCGGCGGAATACACGATAGTGTGATTATATGAAAGTTAACTTGGCTCCCGTGCGCGGCGGGGCGGGGGGCGCGGTGGGGGGGCATCGTGGAACACGGGCTCCTCGGTGATGGGCTCGCGCTAGAGCATCTGCCAGATGCGTGTCGAGCGGTGCGAACATGTCATGCTGGTGTAACGTGGTGTCGTTGGTGTGACATGTCCCGCTTTGGCGCTGCGATACGGTGAAGGAAGAAGGACCACTATCCACGAGTGAGACAGCGGGCCGGGCCAGTGATGGAAGAGAAGGACCCGGGGGGAAGCGAGCCCGTGGACCTCCGGTGTGCCGAGCAGACTGAGCTGCTCTCATTAATAATAAGCGGAGAGGAGGAAGCGACGAAAGAGGAGAGTGACTTGGGAGGTAAAGAAAAGAAGAAGAACTAAAGAGTTATTGTTATTATTCATGGTGTTTCTCACCGCAAAGTGGGACTGCGTGGCTGTCAGAGCCACGGCCATTGTCAGACTGCCAGTTAATCCGTGTCGGGGACAATGCCGTGCAGCAGCATGGCCCCTCCGCCTCTGTGGCTCCTATAAACAAAGGCTCAACAGCACGCAGGCAGGCGGACCTAAGAGACGCGCCGCTGCCCCCTGGTGGACAGCGGCGGCACAGGCCGACTCACTGCCAGCGAATGAACGATGATAATGATTATTGGAATAAATAACACGTAACGTGATAGCGACGTTAACTACTAATAAGTATACACACCGTGTTTATGTCATACGGGGTGATATTGCTAAAAATGAGAGGGAAAATGTTAGCCAACATAACATGTCACTTTTTCTGATTCCTATGATTTACTTTAATTCAAGGGTGAACAGCCTGACACAGCCCGCTTAGTCGGCACACAATATTATAGTCCGCTCAATACTCCTTTTGTGGACAACACAAAAGTTCTGTACACATTTTTACAGTAGTAGTATTAAGTAGTAGTAGTAAGGGATTGTTCTTGTTTGTCCCTTATTTCAGACGAGGACGGTCTGGCCAATGGCCACGGTGAGGAGGAATCAGAGGCCGACATGGTCACACCTGTAACAGGCACCAGCTACTGGAACATCACAGAGGGACCGGACCAACCTTTCCTCCTCTCCCCGGCCCCCGGGCCCTCTGGACGTAAACCCAGGGTCCAGAGAGCCTCGCGTCCGGGCCTAAGTCGGATCCCTGGACGAGACCACCGTCGCTACTACCACGAGTACTGGCGCTGCGAGTACCTGATGGACTTTGACCCCCAGCGCCACGGGATGATCTGCATGGTGTGCGGCAGCTCGCTGGCCACTCTGAAGCTCAGCACCATCAAGCGGCACATCCGGCAGAAGCACCCCGACTCCCTGCTGTGGAGCACCGCTGACAAGGAGGTCATCCGCTCCGGGTGGGAGAGCCACCTGAGCTTGGGGGGAGTTCAGAGGTCTTACGGCTCTGTGGCGGCGCCGTCGCCTCAGGACAAAGAGGACCAGCCGGACTCTGACCAGCATTCAGCCGGTGGGTAGGACTCTTGGCATGAGTTCTCTAAAGCTCACACCTGGTGGCAGTATGAGTTTACGTCTTGGCGTGGGGGGCGTGTGAGGAGGACAGGATGATTTTTATTTATCTGATTTAAATGATGATATACAGCATGTTCATTTTGCTGTACTTTTAAGCAAACCCTTGCAGACTTAATGCTAAGACCAACATCTGTCTGGCTCACTCAGCGTGGTTCGCCATCTTTCTCGTAATGTTGATGTTGTTGTTGGTTGTTGTTGGTAGTGGTGAAGCGGTCAAGCGGAAATAACTTATCTAATATTGCTAATATTTGCCAACATTAGGCACAATACTTAACACATCACGTAAAACAGAAAAAAGAAACAAGCTTTCAAAAACCTACTTATAATAACTGTGTATTTAAATTTGACCATTCAAATTATGAGTTTGATAATTCATCTAAACTTGAGTTATGAAATCTCTCTTTTATTTTTAACATTTTTTAGACATTCGTCTAATCATAAAATAAAGACAACATGCAACCTGTAAATTTCCTCTGGTGCACTCTGAACATAATCACAGAAAAATATCGTTCTAAACACACACAGGCCAACATCCATGATATAAGCTTTGTATCTTCTAAACACAGCTGAACCCCCGGAACCGGTGACACCCCAGGAGCAGCCACAACAACCTCCAAGTTTACCCCCCTGCTCTGAGGAGGGTGAAGCCGCCCACGTCCAGGCGGAGGAGCAGGACCTGGCTGGGCCGTCGGCCCAGACCCTGGAGCGTTACCTGAACGATTCGCTGCACGCCTGGTTTCGCCAGGAGTTCCTGATGGAGTACGAGGCGGAGGCCGGCCGGTTGCTGTGCATGGTGTGCGGAGGAGAAGTGCCCTCGCTCCACCTGGACCACATCAAGAGCCACGTGCTGGACACCCACCCAAACTCCTTGGTGTACAGCTCCGTGGAGAAGCACTGCATCCTGCAGGCCTGGGCTCAGGCTCACGGTAGGAACCCAAGAGGGGAAGCGCTCTAATAAGTGTAGTTTAGTCCGACGTTTGAAACTCATTGCTTATCTGAGTTGCCGTTGTCACGGCGACGGGGTAACCCGGGCTGCCGGAACTTTCCGCTGCGCTTCTGATCACGGTCCAAGTCAGTGTACTCCATCAGCGTCTAACAATATCCTCAATAATGTTTATTAGGTTTTGTTGTGGCTGATCGACCTGTAGCTGTTAAGTGCTGACATTCTTTCATATGTAACTTGTGTGGTTCTCTGCCCCACAACAGATCAGTCAGAACACTCAATCAAATCAGACCCCGACACCAAAGAAGGCGGGTTGGACCTCTTTGCTCAGGCCATGCAGACCAACACGGACGTGTACCCAGAAGGCGACGGCACTTTAACTCAGGACGCGTACTTTATTGCTGAGAACGGAGGCGTGCGAGCGCCGCGGTCCCCCCGGCAGCCCAGGAAGAAGCGGCTGAACGAGGGCGACTCGTGGCGGCTCCGCCTTGACTACCTAGTGGCCCACGGGCCTCAGGGCCGTGGCACATTCTGCATGGTGTGTTCCCAGGTCCTGCACGAGATCAAGGTCAGCAGCTTCCGGCGCCACATCCAGGAGTGTCACCCCGAGACGACGACCCTGAGCCGGCAGGAAAGGGAAGCCATGGCTGCTGCCTGGACCAAAGATTGTTCTAGTGAAGGCATACAAATTCAAGACGGTGAGATGCTTCCACAACTGCTATTTCATTTATGTAGGTTAGCTGCAGATGACGGGGCTTTAGTCAATATTTTCCTTGGTTTATAGGTATAGTTTATGTCTTATAATTAGACTCATATTGTCTTAGACTTATAGACTTATATTCCGCAGCACAAAAACCCAGTCATACTGCTCTCTCTGTCTTGTATACACAGTTATTATTCCTCCCAATAGATTAAACTCTGCTTTTTATTCGGCCAATGTTGCCCCACTGTCATTACAACGTGCCCCTTCCTGCACACATGTTTCACATTAATTACGTTTCCATTTCAATAATTTTTTCACAAAATATTGAATAAGTGCTGTTAAACTCAACAGTCAAAAGTCATCAAAATTTGAAAATGTCAAAGATAGTTAGCTCACAAGGAGCTCACACAGCAATGTTGTTTTTCTTAAATTGCGAATCGGTTGCATTTATTATTGTGTTACATTTCGAGTGAAACAATAACAAAATAGAAGTTATTGGATTGAAATAGTGAATAAAAACTAAAAACCAAAAGTAGTTGTGATGACTGACATGAGCAGATACACGTAATGCTGAATTTAAAATGAGAGCTATTGTAGGTCAGGCCCTGTGCTGCCTCCCTCTCAATGTGTTCCTTTAGGCCATGCACATCAGCACAACATAAAAATAGGCCATCTTATTTGGGCAAGTATTTGATCATTTACGCCAGTAGAATTAGGTTTGACAAAACAGGATGGATCCATTGTGTGTCCTGCTGGACTTATCAGTCTCACCTGGTGATTCGACAGATTTTCTTCGATATCAATCTTTACACATTACAGTTTTAAGATTTAAATGATGAGACAATGGATAGTGATGTGCGAAGTTCTTCTATGTTTCTTTGTATTAAAGTGAAATGGTTTCATTCAGTCTAACGCAGGGATGTCAAAAACACGGTCGGACTGTCGCCTAAGATTCTACTGGTCCGGCCCACTTGAGATCAAAGTGGGCAGGATGTGGCCCCTTACCTAAAATGAGTCTGACACCCTTGGTCTAACTGTGTTTCAACCCAGGCAAAGCTGAGGTCCTAAATAAGGCGGCAGAGACCAGCCAGGACGCCTCCCCTGATGTGAGAGGCCACAGCAAAGCTGTAAAGAAGGAGGAGGGTGTGAGCGGCGGGAAGGGCAGAGTGCGGGAGGACGGCGCTGCAGCCGCATCCTTCCGTCATGGCCATTACCCTGGGAAGGACCAGAGAAGGAACTACCAGGTGCGCTGGCGGATGGAGTACCTGATGGACTACGACTGCCGCCGGCACGGCCTCATCTGCATGGTGTGTGGCGCCACTCTGGCCACGCTGAAGGTCAGCACCATCAAGAGGCACGTCCAGCAGGTGCACCCCCACTCATTGGACTACAGCCCGGAGGAGAAACAGCAGGCGATGCTGAGCTACAACCAGGCCGCCCTGCACTTCATCCACTCCGACGACTGCTTTTCCTCCCAGGACCACGGACACACCGAGCTGGCTCCCGCTGCGGCACACTTTGGCACTTAGAAAGGGCTCCGTCCATGGCGCCTCATGTGGCCCTCCCCGCTCAGAAGCAGCCACTTTCTCTCTTAAAGGAAAATCTAAGTAAACAGGGTCCTTGACCCCTCTGACTCTGTTCCAAAGTTCCCAGAATCTCTGCATTGTATCTGCAGAGTAAAATGTTAACATGACCAGTTTTCATGATTGACAAATATCAAGAGTTTTGTTAGAAAATACTGGAATTTGCTCCTTCAATCCAAATCGGATTGACTAGCATTAGCAGGCTGTCAGCTAGAACCGGGGGATTCCTGCATGTTGACCCAGGGAAACATCCGCTGAATATTTGACCTCGGCAGAAGAGCTTGGCTGAGACTACTTAGGAAAGTGGTGAGCTTGGGATCATGGGAACCCATGGACACGGGTAGCTAGCATGTTAGCAGTAAACGGCGCCTAGCCCTGCGAGTCGTCACTATTAACCCAATCAATCACTCCACCAGTTCATTTCTGTTGTTGACCAAAATTTTAGTTTTCAGACTTTCTGGTCCGACCAGGGCCTTGGATTTGAAAAAACTCCTACATGAATGTCTGAACTTTTATTATATTCTTTCATAATTGTATGCAATTTGATGACTCCAATTTCATATTTTGGAATCCTACTAGGGTTACTAGAAAGGGGTCCATGTGGGGTCTTACTAGGGTTCTTTGAAGTGGTCCCTGCTGGGGTCCTAGTAGGGTCGCAGAAGTGGACCGTATGGGCTCCCAGGAGTCCCGGGCTTGTTTCTGGTTGGGCCTGAGTGTCACGCTCTCAGGAGGTTAGAGTCTTTTTTGAGGCGAGTTAGTTTTGCGAAAACATGTCTGATGACAACAAAGCACTTTGTGCCCCAAAAAAGTACGAGAGCCTAGTGCTCCTTCTGTACAGCCAATCGAATGAGACTGTTTGATGTAATGCTGAAGACAATGAATGCCAGAGTGCAGTCCCTTTTCTCTCGTCTATTTAATTCCTTGTTTACAGTGGGGGGAGAAAGACGTCCTCGTCTGTCCTCCATCAAATGAGATATGTTATCTCTCAGTCGGTCTGCACCCTTGCCATCATCTACATCCGGGCTAAAACTGCACAAAAAAGAATATGTACATATATGGAAAGAATATTTTTCCTTTATATAAGCACTTTTATGCACCCAAGTTTCTACAAAGCGTGTTTGTAATTATGTCCAGTTTTTCTACTTCATCATTTCAATGACATTGTTGTTTAACGCCATGAGGAATGCTCAAAGGACTTCTGCTTCAAAGAGTTTGCTACATCTTGGTTGTTTTCATTCGCTGTACAAAATGTGGTCAACAGGAGATGCTGTGGAAAAGCTTCCAGCTGTCAGAGAAAGCAACGTCTGCCATGAAATGTCACGCCTTCACCTGGAAAATGTAACTCAGGGATTGTGATGTCATCCACAACCATTTCATTAGCAGTCCTCCAGTACCACTTGAAGACAGCGATACAAGTGTCAGCCTAAGGTTGTATAAGTATTGAGCCCGCGGCTAAAACAAAAACAAACAAACTGACATTTCAGTTCCACAAGAAAGTATAACAAATATATTTGGAGCTTAGGGTCGAAATTAAGTTGACATTTTGAGGGAAAAAAGTAATTTCAATAAAAGTCAATGTAAGAATAATGACAATTGTTATGCCAAATGTCATACTACACAAAAAGTCTTAATATGAGGGTCTTTTGGAAAATACATTTGCAATAGAATGGAAAAAAAGCCTGTATGAATTTTAGAATAATTCTTAATATTTCAAGACAATAATTTGAAAATTGTGTACTTAATATTTAATGTTGTAATTTTCCAAGATATGCATTGAGCCGTCAGGATAAAATCCCTAACGGTCCCCCTGTTGTTCTGCATTGACAGAATTTACTCAGGTGAAGCTTTTGATACAAAGTGATAATGAAGGAAACGCTCATGCTCCCTTTTATTGGTCCTTTAGAGCTGAGAACCCGGCATTCAGAGATAGATAGCACTTAATTATTTAAAATGATCAGTGAAACGAATGATTGAGCATGTGATGCATCTGCTTGTGTGTGTTTCTACTGTGTTTGTGGTGTGGACAGAGATCCTCTTTTTCTTCACTCTCACCTCGTCTGTTCACTTTTCATTTGTACTTGGCCGCCGTGTGACACGTGAATTCTCTCCTCCATGATGTTTGAATAAATACTCAGCGCAGCCTGTTGGGAATGCTTACTACTTTGTTTCCTGATTTGGACTCCAATGCTTACAACAGATTGAATCTTTACACATATATTTATGCTAAATGGTGGACATAACATGAAGCCATTTTCATATACGGATGAATTCTGCTGCCAACTATTTATAATCTGCTTTTACCACAGGTCCCGGTTGTAATTAACAGACGCCGAAAACTGAAAGTTTTTCTTTTTTCTTTAATTACTTGTATTTATCTCCTACATCACAAATAAAGTAAAGTAAAGTTATAATATTGTAAACATAAAACATCCCTGTTTGAATAAGCCCACGGATTATAAGGTTTATATAAACAACAAAGTGAATTTGTCAGGATTTTAGCTAAAATGATCTTCAAAATCTTTACACAAAAAACCTTTTCAAGAACTCTTTGCCTTGACAACAGTACATTGCAAGAGTTATGTGAGGATTTACCATTTGCACCAGACTGCCATCTTGTTCATCAGTCACAGGGCTGGTAACTTTGTAATGCTTCATTCACTATTCAGGGCTCTGGTCCTATTATGTAATACCACATAGGCTTTAAAAGGAACATGGAGTCTCCACCGGACTGCTAACATTAATGATATAGTGTGACAGCACGGTCTAATTTTAGAAACTATAATTATGTCTCCACCCAAACACCATACAGCTTCAAGGCAGAGCTTCTTAATATTGATATTGATTTGATTTCCTCTGTGTATTTCTGATATCTGCAGACATAATGGAAAATATATGTTGTTCCTGTGGAGGCGCTCAAATTGCATTTACCCCGACAGAGGAGAACACATCCATCCTCCTTTGATGTGTTTTTATTAATTTCACTTTGACATCAGTACAGACCACATACTTTTTTTTCAGCGCTTTTCTTTTTTTTTTTCCTGCAACATCTTTCCTAAAGCTTTAAAAATCAGAAACAAAGTCATAGCTAATACAAAACTGAGCTCGTGTAAGTGAACAACGTCAAAGCAACACACGCACACGCAACAAAACAACATGCTGTGCGGAAACAGGTCTACTTCAGAATATATTACACTCTAAAGAAATAGAATCTGAGTGGGCGGCTCGGTTTAGCCTTGGTGCAGTTGCAGGTTAACACAGCCCCTAGTTGGAGGTGCTGCACATTTGGGGAAGCTAACTCACTGTCATGTCAACACACTGGTTCAGCCTGAAGGGAGCTGGTTGAACAATAAAGGGGCAGTTCAACCCAAAAGATACATTATGGAATAATCGTCTTCGATTCCACAAAAACACAGCAGAATATAGTTTGTGCTGCTGAAAGTGAGCGGTTTTCCTCAAAACTACGTTATAAAGAAGAAATAGTCCCCCCAAAAAGTGCTGACTTGTAATGCAATGCTGTGAGCACCACAAATGACACAAAAGGAGTTGAAAATGAAACTTTCATTCTCTAAATTCTGGAATATGTTGTGATTTGTTTGAACTGTTCCTTTAAATCAACAAAAAAAACGTAAACAGACACAAATGACCTCCATTAGCGTTCCATCAGTCAAGCTTTTAGATGACAAATTAGAGCAAACATATACAGCATCTCTACAGTCAAATAAATAAACAGGATGCTTAAAACATTAACACGGTCTGTATTCAGGGGTGAACCAGAGAAAACAACTAGGCAGACGTAGTAGTTTTAATGGGAATTTACTGCATTTAGGAGGTGTTCAGTACACAGGGACTCCGTGCAAACTTCAATTAGGGCACAGCGAACAAACACTCATGTCCTTCTGTATATTCATCCCTTAAAACAATATGGAGACAGCAGTGGCTAACGTATGACTATAGTTCAGAGCTCAAAAACACCATTGAAACAGTCACAAGTCATAATCATATTAAACAAGAGCCAGGGTAGAGAATATGATACAACATATATATATAGGGTGGCAATCGGTTTCCAGCTTACACTAGGACATGCGCTTCTTGGTAGTCAAAGAAAAGGAACAAAAGGGACAGAGTTCTATAGTAAGCTCTCCAAAAGCGCTTCCATATCACCGGCTACACACGTATTCAACCCCCCCGATCCTATTGGACTTCAGCTCAGGTCACAGCTGAGGGTATATGGACTCTAAACGTGCTAAGAGAATAAAGAAAACCAAAAAAACATTTGATGATTTTAAACAAGCAATTATCTTTTTTTTAATTAAATGAAATTGAATTAATTATACTTAAATTGAGAGTTTAAGTTATTATTCAACCCCCCAAAAAACACATCTGAACTTTATTATTAATATGACTTTTCAGAGCTGCTCCATTTCTCTGTCGTCAAATCTCCGGAGAATGCTAGTTTGTGGATCGTTCAATGATTTACGATTAAGTCCATATCCATTGCGGTGGCCGCTTTGAGACAAGTGACAAGACATCAGAGAGAATCTTTGAACGTATCCAACAATCAGGAATTATTTCTCCAGAGGCCTCGGAAACAACTCCATCTTAAAATGATGCTCTACGTCAGTTAACAGAACTCTTACAATGCTGTCATCAAGCTACTGGCTGGTCAAAGCAGCGATCCTATAATTAATAGCAATAATAGTAATAAGTAGCGAGAAGAAAAATGTACAATTGAGTGTGTGACCTCGACACTGTGGCTAGAACGGATGCGACAAAAGGAGTGCTGCTGTGAGGGAACTTTCCCTTTGATATAAAAAGCGAGGCGAATGTGTTCCGTACATGGAAGGGAGGCGAGAGAGATAACCAGAGAGTGAGAAAGAACAAGAGAGCGAGAGCGACTGTATTCCTCTCCAGGTGTATATTTACATACGGAGAACCAGTCAAAAAATGCATCTGATCAAGAGGGTGAACTAGACCAAATTATCACCACTGGCTCAGTGTTCCAACGCTTTTATTTGAACCTGCTAGTGGGTTTAAAAAATAAAATGTTCAGTGCATTACAGAAACATACAGAATTGCCTGTGAGGTGAGTCAGGCTAAGTCGCTAACAGGCCCATCAGTAACAGCAGAGTGTTAACAGCCTTTAAATCAAAGTCATATTAACAGCAGTAGAGCAATAGAGCAGGATAAGACTAGCCACATTACACCCAAAACGCTCCTTTTAGCACGCTTTTTTTTGTATTTTCTTTACTTTTACATCACAAATGATCTGTCAAAGTTATGCGTGCATTAAAGTACAGACATTTGCTTGTTTTGTGAGGTGGACAGCCATCACTCCCCTGCCCCCAGCTCCCTCTACACAACAAAACCAGGTCATATATTCAGTCTAGTTCACTCGACCTCGTGGCGCCCACCGACAGTCGGGTTCTGCCGCGGTGCTACGTCACTTCCTCGATAGCGACACGCTTCCTGTCTGCACAGGCACAGTTCTTTTTAATGCTTGCAAGTTAAGCTGCGCAGTAGTTTTACATTGAATAACAGCTCAAGAGATTTTCTACCTAGGAAGGTTCAGTGTGGTAAGGAGGTGATGGATGGTGGAGGAGAAGGGGGAGCTAGAGGGGGGGGGGGGGGGGGGGGGGGGTTAAATGGGGTTTTTTGGGGGGGGGTCCAAGAAAGGAAGGGGGCCCTAAAAAGGGGATAAGGGCGAAGGGGTCCGGGGGGGTTTTTATCAGGGGGGTGGTCCTTTCTTTTTTCCGCGCCTTCCACCCCCCGGAAATTTCTCTTTGCACCCGTGAAAAAAAAAACAAACAGATGTGAAACTGAATGGGTGGATGAAAGCTACGTCAAGAACACACTCATCACTGACCACCTGATTCACTTACTTGGCCATTGTGGTGTTGATCTGGGTGCGTATCACGTCAATGTACTGATCAATCTGGGTCTGGAAGGAGACGGGGTGAGACAGACGTCAGTCATCAGTGACAGAAGCATCAGTGTGGGGCTATGATTCTTTATTCTGAAATCCGATCCATTTATCACATTAACCACTGCAGGAGAATGCTGGGATGCTCATTTGGGTCGTTGTCTAGTTGACATTTCGAGTGATCAGGAGAGGAGAGCTCACTAGAGGTCTGGTGAAATAATTCAGAACAAAGGCCAGCAGACGTTTACACTGGATCAGCTGATACGTTGTATGAACTATGTTGTTTCAAGCAGAACCCACTCTGACCCCAAAACCTGCCAGTGGGACGGTAAGCAGGTTTTTGTTAAATAATTGTTCATCAAGGGGTGTAACAATTCTTTGTTTCTATTGCTATTTTTTGTATTTCTGATGGTTCCGTCACAAATTACAGCTGAAATTAAGTTTAAATTGTGATATTTGTCAAAGAAATGTTACTCTACAAGTAACATCAAATTCTACACTACTCAACACAAATTCAAGTTCGAACCAAACCTGATGAACCAGAGGGTTAAAAAAAGGCACAGTGAGTAGGATTTTCCTGGGAAAAATACAAAAATTTCACACTTCCAACCCAGAAGTGTGGATGTGTCTGCGTTCGCACACTTCCTGTCCTCCGTGCCTGGATTTGATTATTTTACAGTGCGAAGGATGTTTCTGAAGGGTAGACTCTGTAAGGCAGCAGACAGATTGTGAGCAGCCAAGAACAAGCCCAAAAAATAATTGACGGCGCTGAGAAAAGATTAAAAAAATATATATATGCTGAGAAATCCAAAGCAAAACCCAAAACCAAAAGTGGGACCTGGGGGTTGGTTTTCATAGAGATCCCAAAAGAGTACTTCTACGTTCTATACCCATCGAGTGAAAGGAACCTTTGTGTCCAACTGGGCGGCTAATCGCCACCACATCCTACAACGCTCACACACATTTACTACTGAGTAGGGGTGTAACGATTCATTCACTGAATCGATTAATCGATGTATATTCCTGCGATCCAACTGAATCGATCTGTGCTCCGCAAATCGGCATTCCGGACGACATATATCGATTACAAATCGATTGAAATGGAACAACAACAAAACACAGCGTGGAGGAGACAACTGCGAGCGAGACATTTACAAACTAACTTATCGATCCAGCGTGTGGAAACATTTTGGCTTTTGCAAACACGGAGGTGTTCTAAATAAGTCGGTCGCTGTTTGTAGAATATGTAGAAGCCCCCCAAAAAAAGACACAGAAACACGACGAATCTTTCCGGCCATCTACTAAGGCGCCGTGGGATTAAACAACGCCGACAGTCAGGACCTCTAGCAGCGTTACCGCTGCAGCAGCAGCAGCAGGTAACTCCAGCTCTGCAGACACCTCAGGCCTCGCCAGCACCAAACTCAACATCACAGTAACAATTGCCAAGTTTAGCTGTAAAGACATGCGACCCTACAATGTGGTTGAAAATCCAGGGTTCTGTAAATTGATCCAAACATTGTGTAAATATTGTGTAATGTTTACATTGAAAATGGCACTTGATTCAACTAAAAGGTTAATATATTTTGCTATTAATTGTTGTTTGCTTGTTTACAATATCCATTAATTTAAACCTGATTTCCTTAAAAGAAACAACATGGATCTCATAAACTTTGCCTGCACTGTCCAGTAAAGTTACTGAATCGATTTCAAGTCACTGAATCGAATCGTTCTAAATGAACCCAGATCGTCCATGAATCGAATAGGCAACCATGAATCGCGATCAAATCGTTGTTAAAATGAATCGTTACACCCCTACTACTGAGCATTGCGGGACCGTAACTCGGGGCCCCACTCCATTGACTCCAAGGCTAAATGTTAAAACTGTCAGAACTGGTGCCAATGGGTCCATCACATGCTGCATTAATGCGGAGAATGCTTACCGTGATTGGCTGCAAAAAAAGTTATTTTTGTCGCTTGCAAGAAATGTTCGACTGGAGAAGTTTTGATGCAACTGGTCTGATCCGTAGCTCTCATCACATCGAGTATTGAAACATTAAAAAAAAAAAGGTACCCGTGAACGTAGCATCTTCACTGTGACTAAATCCAGGGCCAAAGCAACAACAATAAACTATGACCAGCAAGAGCCCCCCTCAAACAGCTGATGAGTACATTCCCATAAACACATGAAGTTCCCAGTAGTCACGATGTGCATGGACAGGATGAGCCGGCAGTACAATGACTTCACATTCTCAGCAGCTAGACACTGGACAGCAACAAGCCTTCAGGGTGTGATGAAGACCGGAGTCATCCAGTGACTCAATGCTCATGGGAATATTCAGCTGAAGTCATCCGATACATTCACGGAGGCCGAGGACAAAGGGTTGCACTCTCACCTTGTTCTTCTCGTAGACGGGAGGCACGGCGAAGAGGAGGATGTCAGCTGGAGAAGAAACAGACAGCCAGAGAAGACACATTACTTCAGCATTTTCATATTTATTTATTTATTAATTAGTGTTTGTTATTTATTTTGATGATAGCATATTCATATTATAGTTTGCACAATACAAAACAAACTTGATTCAGGTCTTTAATGTTCAGTATACATGCATTGAAAAATGAAGGCCACATATAGAATGTCACTGTTGTCAGAATGTGTGTTTCGGCAGGTTAAAACTCTGCCGCAGCCTTTTGGGCTGCTTTTCTTCTGCCCTCTACTTTTGCTCGAAGAGATGCGGCTAAATATGAGAGTCCGCTAAAACTTTGTCCAATGTACATTCGTCCAGAGCATCCTCTGCTTACCCATTTGCAGATGCTATTTTTGCAGCTTAAAATACAATGGATATGGAAGAGAAAAGAATTTTCTGCATGCCCCTTGGTATCAAAAGGTAGTTCTTCACCACCTCCAACTTCGTCACTTACTGCAAGCAGGAGGAGCATATTTTCCACTATAAAAAACCCTCAATAGAGCAGCGACAAATGTATTGTTTCAATCAACTACATTAATCATCAACACTTATTGGGCGACAACATGAAATCTGGAAGATTTTCCAGCTGGTTATCTTAAAAAAAATGAAAGATTTAAAGGAGAAAGTGTGTATATAGTACAGTGAGGTGAGGTTATCCACACTCCTCAAACTAATGTCTCCCAGTCATCGTGGCAACCATCGGACTGAAGGAGCACGTATCCTCATTAAATTATCCCCACGTAGAATTATGCCTGCAACATACATCATATTACTCTTCATTAATAGCATCCTATGTTAATATGGTTTAGTCTGTTAGAATCTCAATACGTAGATACTTGGAGGCTTCATGTCCTCATTCAGTTATGAACTATATATTGGCCCTCAAGATAAAATCAATTGTGACACTTGGCTCATCAATATTCTGTCTACACTGCTTTGTTAAAAGTTACCTGAACCCAATGAACTTGAAACCATCTGAGAAATAATCAACTAGGCCATAAATATTTGATAAAAAATTAAAAAAAAGGTTTCCATAACACACTGACATGGATTGCATTGCAGGTGGACTTTTTCAGGAATGTGTATTTAGAATGTGTAAAAACATAAAACAGCATCTCGGGTTCCCTCAGTGCTTACCCAGGATGAGGATGGTGATTCCATTGAAGACAGCTCCTACGTAGGTGAACAGCCACATGACCACAGCCAGCTGGTGAGTGAACCAAAGAGGAACGCAGAATTTCAGGACACAATACAACACTTGAAATAGGATTGAAACTCTGATTTACAAGTTCTAGAGCTAAGTGTAAATTCTAAAACTAGGTCTTAATAGTGGCCATTAGAAACTTATAAAAGGCCAGAAAAATATTAATGGTATGAATTGAATTTTATGGAAGCCTATTTCCACCACAAAAAAAAGAGCAAATTAGACGTGTGGGAACTAGTTTTATCAGATGTCTTTTTGAAACCAGAGGAACGAATCACCCGCTGCGAGTCGGTACAGACAATGCAGGTTTTAAGGCTTGCACATTGGCTCTACTCTGCAGAACCAGCGGTTGCCACCTGGCTGATAGAGATAAACAGAGATGCCTGCTTGTTACAATTTGATAGGCCAGGCGCTGATGTCAAAGTATGACAGAAGCAGGCATTTATTTTCCCTTAAAATATTTTTGGTGAGTTCAATACCCGTATCTCACCCTCCACCTAGCCTGTTCCACTCCCTAGAACTGCAAGAGTTGATAGAAGTGAAAGAAAAGCAGCTGTCAAAGCGCTTGTGACGCACCCACACAGTGTGGACTGACTGAGCTTGACTGTCAGCTCCCGGTTTCCCCTGTTAGTTTTGTTGCACCTTTTGGGAGGGACCCCTTTACGTCTACCTTTCTCGTTTGTGCATAGTTTGGTGACAGCCTGCACAACTCTCACCAAACATCACCATAGCTCAGATGTAATCATTCATTCGAAACCACTAAAGCTAGTGAAGGACAGACTTTGAATTCCTTCAGATAAACTACAGCTCAGGGCTTTTCAGAACAATGAGAGCTTCTTCCTTGTTTTTCCGATGCGTTTTACAAAGCAGAATCTTTTGGCTACACGTCCTTAAAATGAGCCATTTCATCTGTGGCTCATTTTATCATAAGTTGTTTGGCAGCTCAGTTAAGTAAACCATTAAAAAGAGGCTTCTTGTCTTTCATGTTCGTCTTAACATGAGATATACCTTTATAAGTGGTGGATCAATTTAAACTTTCAGTTTGCTCTACTTGATTTTTGTATATGTCAGTGTCCTTGATTCCTTAGAGTACATCTGTTGGGATTCTAAACTCAAGTACAGTTATGCAGGACTCGTTCATAACCTGGGTATGTAAAGGTTAACAGTCTTCATTTCATTTTAGCGATAAAGATCAGATTAGTACTTATAATTGGACTGATTTCCCCCGAGAGATGGGTTACTAAGGTTCTTGTAGAACAGGGTGGGTAAAGGTTTCCATTATGAGCAGAGGAAATGACCGTGACTCAGATGACTGATGGTCAGGGCTTCTCACCTTCAGGGAGTCCACGAGGTCCTCGACCAGGAAGAGGCGGCTCATCTGCTTCAGGGCTCGGTTGATGTGGGTCAGACTGGAGTCCACGTGCTTGCGGAAAGTCTCCGGGGGGATGCTGACATCCTTTTCTATCAAGGTTCTGCAGAGAGGGAGGAGGAGGTGAGCACAAAATGAGGCTAAGTTTGTGAGTCCTGCAGGAAAACAGAGAACTGGCCTGTAGTGAGGAAACGAATGAGAGGCTTACATTTGTTTCTTTGTGGCTTAAAAAAATAATACATTCACACTACTACATCTTAAGATGGGTATATTTGCTACCTTTATACTGAGCTTTCATAATTCTGCTGCTGCCGACATGAGGAGGAAGCAGCTGTTATTGGAGCGATTAGCGAGCGACGTGCCCGGCAGTGCCTCAGTTGAGGGCGATGGAAATTAAACAGATTTTCTTATTAAGGCATATCTTGTTCTACACAACTATTGGGAAGTTCATACGGAGGTTAAAGTAACAACAAAAACCTAAATGCTTTCCAGTGCGAGAGGGAATTCAAGCACCAGGCCAGTTTATAGAGGAAGATTGTAGAATATTGTCGAGCGCAACCGTTGTAGTTATGAAAGAGTACTTTAATACTTGCCTTATTCTCTCTACCTCCTGTTAAGACTGGTACCTGCATGTCAGCGTATGCGTTTAGGCCTGCGATACGTTTTTATGCGTGCTAGCATGGACCTAAATTATTTCACAAACGATGCTGGAACAAGATGGATGTTTAAACAACAACATAGTAGTGAGGATGTCTGCCATGGAATTCTTAAATGTATTTACTTTACCTTTGGATTGAAAGGCCTTCATTGTTAAAAAACGTATACATAAAAACATTTAGGTTTTAAGTTAGTTTTGAAGACTTTTTCCTCTGGTCAGCAAAACATAATGTACATTAGTTTCATATTGGATTCAAACATTCAAATATCATTAATCAAATGAAAGACAGAAGCTCTGCTTTTGGTCACAAACAAAATGTCAAACGACACATGTGGGTCCTGACTGTGTCTTTTGCGATTGATTTAGAACCACCCCCCAATTGTATAAAAATAACGTTTAATAGATAAATATTTGGTAAAGGGCCTCATTGTATTCTGATCAGCTCTTGTTTATATTTCAATACATACTTAAAGTAGCGCCGGCCATGACTGCCGCTGGCTTGGAAGAATAAGAAACGTTTCTATTCTCCCACTTTGGCCTAATTTAAAAACGCAGAGAACTAAAATCTCCTAAACAACCCGAAAGAGAAGGCAAAGTAGCATTGAAATTCTATGAGTCTTACTTGAAGGGGTGTCCATCGCTGGACTTCTGCACGGCCTGGACGACAGACTTGTAGATGCGGAAGGTGATGGTGACACAGAGCAGGGCCAGCAGGAGGTAGGAGGCCACGCTGATGAAGCTGAAGGCTGCCAGCGACAGCAGCAGCAGCAGGGACAGCCCGAACACCACGCCTGACTTCTTAGGGTCCCGCCAGTGGATCAGATCCTTTACTGCAGACAGGAGGGGGGGCGTTAGTTTTATTTAAAAAATAGACGCTGAAATTTAAGGATTTAAATCTAAATTGTTTGCTTTATTCGCAATGTTTCCAAAGTAAAAGCTTGGCTCTATTTCCAGCGGAGGTAAATTGAGCCCCTATGGTTGGAAAATCTTGATGTTATCCTAGTAGTTAGCGCTGTGTGGAGAAAAGCTCAGAATAAAACACTGGTATGGAAACAGAAATCTTCTTTGGAGAATAACAGGGCACATTGCTGCGGATGCCCGCTTCATGTTTGTATGCATGTCCTGTGAGGAGTCGCCATGCAGAAGGGATGGCCTCTGTGCGAGGCGGTTATGTAACGCTTAAAAGGGGCCGGCACGCTCAGACTGACACGCCTTCCCTCTGCAAAGGGGAAACGGCTGCATTTAAAAAAGCCTTTAGTAAGTGGGGGAGGAAGCACGTGGGCCGATGCCTCAGGGACGGTTCGGGCTTCAGTGGTCCAGCTAGTTTAATAGGAACAGACTTTATATGGGACCGTCACACAAACAGCCATTTGTTTTAGTGATAAAATATGCAAATTAATGTAAGAAATGTATAAAAGCAGAATGTACAACATCAAAAAGACTAGGGATTGAGGGAGATCTAATGATATACTCTGGCCAATGAGCCCTCAACAGCCCATCATGGGCTCAAACTAAGTCCAGCTCCCAATTAATACTGCTGACAACTCTTGCTCCATTTAATATAGGTAATTATCCCACTCAGACATCCTTTCATTTCTTGCAAAGTGCTAAATATCTGGCTAAACCAAAAAATAACTAGAATATATATATAAATAAATAAATAAAACTGGATATTTCTTCAACCACCACAAGACTATTAGATGGAGTTTCATTCTTTTATGAACAGGTCAAATTCCAGTACATTGACAGCTATTGAACTCAAGCTATATAAAAAAGTATTCAATGCATTTTGCATACTAATAGACTGCATGAAAACCACCATACCAACAATTAGCATTGATCAAATAAAACGCTTTCATAAAATAAACTGTACGATTGGTAGAAGGGGAAAAAAAGGGACTCCTTTGCTGATGTAATGTTTTCATCTGACAGCAACACGAGTGGGGTTTCCTCACCCTGCACTGCAGGGGTTGGTGTGTGTGTGCGCGAGAGAGAGAGCGAGAGAGCTGCCAGCACACCTTACTTCGAGACTTCAACAAACAGAGGCTCCACATTAAAAGAAAGGTAAAAAAAAGTATTTTATATATATATATATATATATATAATACTTAAAAAAAAAAAATAGAAGAATGTATAAACAGCGTTATCTTATTAAGATATGAATAACGTCAGTTTGAGTGTCATCGGCCTACATTCAGTCAATTAATTGATGTTTATATTGATTTTTTTTTTAAATAATGATGTACTAGCATTTTAATTCTTGTGGCAGCCTGTGGGGGCTCTCTCTGGCTCTGTGGTGTTGGGCATGAGCAGACACAAACAACAATGTAATGCACCTGTGTGCTGCCATTAGTTGATCAAACAACACATTTCAGGAAGTTCCAAACACAATTCACCAATTCAGGCCTCTGGCCCACTTCACCTGCATTTGTAGAAGGCATCATATGTTCTGCCTTAGTAGAGTTTTAGGTCTCTCTCTGGATTTAAATCATCACACAATGTACAGCAAATGTTAAAGTATGTGACAGCAGGGGATTCTGGTCACTATGCAGTGGACTAGAGATCCATATGCATGCTGGTCCATTCAGACCAGATGTTCTTTTAAACTGGCAGTTGACCCATTTTCACTCAGTTAGCAGCTCACTCTCACTTTAGCTATGGTTAGTATATCTCTTCACCAGGGCTTAGTACAAGTGCTAGATAGCTTTCAAAAAAAGATATCGACCGAAAGGACCCGGCAATAGTTTAAATCACCACAAGCGTTCTTTGGTTTATTAGGACATGTGCAAACCACCACAAGAGAACGAGGGATTCCTCGCACACGGTTCTCAACATGTAGATTTCACCCGGCAGCCAGTGGTGATAACATTGCAAAGAGCTTCGACCACAGTCACATTGCTGGCAGAGCCAACTATGGAATTTGAGGCTACACGTTACGCTTCCATTGCAACCTTATTTATATATTTTTTTCTTTTTAAAAAGAAAAAGGACAAGTAATATCAATCATAGAAAAACCAAAACAATGATGAGTAGCCATAATAGATTACTGGTAGTGGGTTTAATTACGAGTTCATCTAGTCAAAAAGAGTATTTTAAGTAAAAAGCCATTAAGCCTGTTCAAACCTTACTCTACTTTTGACGTGACCCAAATACATTTCCTGACTGAAGTTATTCATTCTGACAAAAAACAAGATGATAACCTGAACAAACAAGACATTACAGGTCCTTGCCAGATCGCTTAAAGGGGAGTAAAATACCAAACACTGACACGTGAGCAGTTTGATTAGGATTAACACTGAGCACTGATGGTATGTTCAACTGAACTAATCTTTCACAGCCTGACAACAAGTCGGGTGAACAAGCCCACAAATGAATTTAGAAGATCGCGTTAGAAAACACTATGGATTTCACTGACAGATGGCTGGGATACATTTTCGGAGATGGGGGAACAGAAACCTGAAAAGCAAATGCAAAAATGACCTCGCTTATCCCACATGAAACACGCACACAAACTGAAACAAACTCACTCCGCCTAATGACCAGAGTTATGGAACAGCACTGCAGAGGGGCACTAAAATAGCTCTAGCTCGTGGTTGGAGGGGGGCCAAGCTCCTCTACAGACCACTGAAACACAGCTTTCTTTTCACTGCAAGTGATTGATATCTGAATTAGAAAACGACTACAATATGTTCACAGCTAGCAAGCTTGTTCAGAACAGAGCATTGAACATGATAGCATGTACACGCCACAGCTAGTAGCGCCATTTCATTTTGATAAAATTCTGGTTTGTGTTATGTCTTTTTTAATTGAGAACTTTTGGCATCTAAAAGAGCACCATTTATTAAATTCAGAAAATGAAGCATTGGGATAGGATTAAGTGCAGCAGACCTTAGAATGCCCAGTGTCAAGCAACCAGTCAGACCTCCTGATCCCACAAAGCGGAGTCTGCCCCAGAAAGAGGCAGGAGAGTCAAGATGAACGCTAAGGACCTCAGGAGACACCACTACCAAGCCTACTCTTAGCTAATATCAAAATATTAATATAAATCTTAGTCTAACCCAGTTCGTGGAGATCAGTGTCTGTTTACATACTTGTGTGGGGGGGAGACGTATTCTCTTTACCTAAATGATGCTTGGTGGTCAAAGGATTCACGGATCCTTGAAATAAAGCTGAACGTCTCTTCTTAACACCTTCCGTTAGTTTCTGGTTGTTGGGGCACCAGCATACTGTTCTCTCGTGTGCCAACTTAAGCTAAAATATTCGACACATGTAGACAACAGGATTACTGGCTGCATACCAGCTGTGCATGGGTGTGTGTAATGGAGATCAGGCTTGTGCTTTGACCTTGCTCTGGTCAACCTTAGATGGAGAGTAATACATATAATCACTGTAGCCTGTGATGCAATAATATGCATGATTTTATTTTGTCTTACCATGCCTTGTCATGGTCTTTGACAAGTGGGCTGTGGAAACTTGCATCGAGACAGAAATCCGACACTGGGGATTGACTGTACCCCGTGACTTTCAAGGTTCTTGCAAGCCAACGCTTTGGCGCTATATCTAAGCCCCCACCTCTGCTGTCCTTTACAGCTGAGCAATGGTACCCTGACAGAGGGCAGTGGAGGGTGACAAGCTCAAATAAAGTTAGGATCACTGGACTATATGCACACTACACTGATTTGGCTGCTATAATCTTAACGTAAACTGCAGTCTCTGCAGCTTTTCTATCTCTCTGTCACACAGCCAGACGACTTAAGACAATGGTTTTCCTGTGTTGTAGTTCTTTAGATTCTCTAGCTTTTTGCTACTCGACATAAGAACTTCTCTTTTAATAACTTTAATAATGCTAAAGTGCAATAGATCCCCTGACATTCAAAATGTGTCTCTCAGTCTCAATCTGTATCTGTAGTCCTCAATGAATCAGGCATGTAAACATTCTGACATGAGAAAAACTGCTCCAATTATAACATTCCCTTTTGGCATTTACTCTGTACATGTGCCATCATGCAATAATTCACACAAGTGACTATGGTTGGTGGAAGTTAATTTTTATAAAAATAACACGCCTTATGAAACACTGGCCTAACCCTAGCATTTCAGTTATTTTTAGAGCCTGGAATAAGGCCGGTAGAAGAAGCCCTTTTTCCATTCTCTACGCAATGGCTTCACTTTTCATGTGTTCACTCAATTACAAGACCACAAATGCCCACAAAGGGACACCGTAGAAAAGTGGAGTGTGGCCTTTGAGAACTGGTAAAGAAACCTTTGTAATTCGACTTTTTCTGACTGTGTTCATTTGAAGGCCTTTCATACCCTTCTAGTAAAAGTGGCCACTATGGGGGGAAGGCTAGCCTCCACAGACCTAAAGAAAGAGAGGGACGTGAAGAGTTCCATCTGCAATAACAAAATTGGGGTTTTTCTACTTAAGCCTGGTCCAACATGTATGCATTATAGAATATTATTGAAAAGGGGCAGAGCGTTAAAAGGCACAAAAGTAGGTTTATTGCGGGAAATGTATGAGGTCAGCAGGCCTACTGCCCATAAGAAAGAAGGGTTACCTGATAAGTGGGTTAGTATTGCGGTCAAGACATGCTCAGCAAGATGATAGGCTTCAGCAACCCACTCGTCGATGGCTTCTACCTCTTTGGAATATGTGCGGTCTAACACACGGCTGCCTTGAGAACATGGAGGATTGGGAGGTGCGGCAAAGGAAGACTGCTGTGTAGATGTCGGGCTGGGGCTGCCTGTACTCTGGTCACAAACCCTCGACTGGAGAGGCTCCACCTCCACCTCCACCTCCTCCTCCTCTTCGTAACTGCTGCCCAACTCTTTGAGCGCGTTGATAGTCAGCTGTTCTTGTTCAAGATCCATCACCATGGTTGGAGGGGACTGGGAAGAAGGCATAACGGTTTTGCACACCTTTTTATTGGAAAAGACCGCTTGGACAGTGTCATCGGGCTCCTCATCCTGCCTTGATTTCAGACACTCTCGCATGAACTCCACAAAGCTATCTGTAGGCTCAAACATTGAACTGCCGGGGGCAATGATTTCTGTGTTGTTTGTTGAATCAGGTGCATGGTGACCTGCTTTGGTGTCCTGCTGGATCTTTGATGCAGCGCTCTGTTCTGGGAGGGAGCAGCAATTTGCCATGTTATCTGTAACAACATCAGTGGTCATTTTTTTAATTAAATCTTGCTCGTTGATGCTGCTTTGTTTTTCACCTTGGATAGAGGAATATGGATCTTGGGGATATTCTCCTAGAGATGGTTCACCAATTGGCTCGGGGAGGGCTTCTTCACTCACTGCAGGGAAGTCCTCCAGATTTTGAGTGCACGAATTCAGTGGTTCAATTTGAATAGGATCCGAAAGAAACCGCTGCCTAGCATTGTTTAACCCTCTGTCATCAATGTCATCCAAGATAGAGGATCCATCATACTCGTAATCAAACGACTGTCGGTCATAAATATCATCTTGCATGAAGCTGCTTTTAGATTGGGGAGTAGTCTCCATGTAAGCATCTTTTGCAACCGTGTTGCTCCTTTCATCCACCTTGGGCTGAGAATGAGGAGTCACACAAGGTTTGACCAGGATATCTTGTGCTTCATCAGACCAGTCTTCATCATTGTCTGGGAATTTCACGTCTTCATGTATGACTATGAAAGGGGAAGGTTCATCCTTTACTGTACTGAATGTGGTGCAGGGTTTTTCAAATTGTGCCTCAAGTGCTGATGCAGATTCCTGATGTACAGTTTCAGGAATAGATTTGAGGATGTTGTGTTTAGGAGAGTATTCATCATCTGAGTGCACAGGTGAGGATGGAGGAGAGTAGCCTTCCATAAATTCGGTTTCTAAGGGCCGTACTTTGGGTAGTTCATTTTTACTGTCACCTTGCTCTAGGGTTTTTGGAGATTCTCTAGCAATATCTTTTTCAGCCTCGTAATCATCATCTTCAATTTCCATTTCCATCTCCTTGTCACTGTAATTTGGCTCATCTGTCTCAATAACATTTATTGTAGGAACCTGCATCAGCTTCCTCTCAGACTTTGGTGGAGGGGACTTATTTTCCTCAGTGATATGATTGGGATTTTCAGAAGGAGGGTTAGGATCAGTTGAAGATGCAGGAAGAACAGATGGAGGAACAGTTACACCATCTTCAATGACTGTGTCATCAGATTCTCCTGAGCTGTCAGCTTCGCTTGCCTCTGGGGGTTCCAAGTCCACAGTCCACGTGGTCTTCTTGTCAGAGACATTATGTTCAACATCTGTGCCAACTGATGGACCAACAAGAAGAGATGAGGAGTCACAGCCTGAAAGAGTAGCAGACGCAGCGGGAATCACTGAAACAAGATTTGTTGTAGTCAGGGCACCCGTTTTTTCCTGCTGATCAGACATATAGGCTGTTGGTAAAAAGCTTAGATCAAAGCCAGACTCTTCCTCAACACTTGACTGCTTCTGTGCAACACTGAACTCATCCTTCAGTTTTGGAGCCTCAGCAGGAGAATCCATGAAAGCAGTGGGGACACCAGCAAAGGCAGCAGGAGCATCAGGTAGAACTAGGTCAGCATCCTTTAACGCAACATTGTCAGCAGTTGTTACTGTTACTGAATCTACAGCATCAAAGTCTGGCACAGGAGGTAAGTGAGCCTTCATCCACTCTTCGGTTTCTTCAAATTCATTTACTTGTCTTAAATCTCCCAGTACTTCAAAGGGAGATTCTGGTGACTCTTGATCAGATGAATCTTCACTTTTTTGGACATTTGGAGTGATTTTCTCTGTGAGATATTTGGGGGCGTCATTGGAATATTTGGGCATGTCAGTGAGAGATTTGTGGGTGTCAATGGGATCTTCTGGGGCATTGGGAGATTCGGGGGTGTCAATGGGAGATTCAGGGGCGTCAATGGGGGTTTTGGGGGTGTCAATGGGAGATTTGGGGGTGTCAATGGGAGATTTTTCATGGTGGCGGTCTCTGAAGTGAGAGAAACCTCCATCACTTCTAAAATCAGGTTCCTTTTTTTTGGCAGCAAGAGCTTCAAGTGCCTTTATTCGCTCGGACACAGGAGATGTCTTAATCGGCGAGTCGGGTTGTCCATCTGGTGGCCCTGCATCACTCCCGTAATTACCAGGGGTGAATGAGCCAGATTGAGAAGGAAAGCGGAGGGATGTCGCAACACCTTCACGGGGCTTGTCGGAGCCCAGGATCACTCTTTTGTCTGCATTGGCATGTATGAAGAACGACAGCACGAAGGAAAAAGGAAGGGATGTCATATAAATCACAGTAGTACCTCAACATCCCATGCAATTCTAATATTAATCAGCGAGGTCTTAATGTTGCAGCCCAAGCAATCATGCATTGCACCATGAAGATATAAGATTCGTAAAATGGATCTTCACTTTTTGCATGCCGCTTTTAACTCCAAAAAGTTGCTATCAGGACTACCTCAGTATGGCAACTTAAATTATTTGAATGATCAGATGAAGCAGCAAAAGAAATAAAATATTACTGATCTCATCATGTTTGACTATGGTGACTGTCAGTTGCAATTTGTATAGCAAATGTGTATTTGCTATACAAATTGCTTTTCTTTTCCTTCAAAACAGATTGTTCACTAAACCACTCCCAGCTGAATAAATATGGTGATAGTGTGGTATTGTTTGAGACAAGACTTAAACATAACTGGGATGAACTCGTTTTGTATTAGCTACACGTATGCAAGGCTGCTAACTTCAATATAAAAAGCCACTGGTCAAATTTTACAGAAAGCATAGTGTCACATCCAAACTACATTTAAACAATACTGATAGTGTACTAATAACAGTAACTCGATGAGGGCTGCCAATGGTTACTGCGCACGCCACCTTTTACCCAGATATACAAGATGTATATATACACAACAACAAGCCAAAGGTCAGAAACAAACCTGTACTCAAACCCCAAGGACCTTTTGTCCAAGTTGTGCTACCAACTTAAAGGTTCCCAACAAAGTACCTATTGTTGCACAAAGCTTTGGGCTCAGGTGACTGAGTTCTGTATTTTCAAATTCTATTTTTCTCTCCCTGACAAGTAATGTCCAGTAGGCAAAGGGAAGGCAAAAGAGCTAAGACAAATTCGCTGTAGTCCGTTACTTGCTACATAATTAGTATTTGTTTACGGTCTTAAAATGATTTTAAAAAAAGTGCGATAACACTGCTGTCCCTGTGCAGTTAACTCCACCCTTTCCTCACCCACAGAACTGAGGAGCCGCTCATGGTCCCCATAATGGAAGGAAACACCTCCCAAGCCGTGCAGCCCCCAACTATCCCACAGCGTGCCATAGATGTTCTCAGCAACTGTTCCAAAAATCCCATGATCCCTTTCAGCGCCAATGATCTCACGCAACATTGAGGCAGTACCGTGGAGAATTGGCTACTATATTAAGACATGAACGTCAGCTGGCCAGCTCAACTTGAACACAACTTTAACCTTCACCCAGCACACAATCCTGCGAATGCATTCCCAGATCTACTAGTATCGTCTAAATACTGCAAGGTCCAGGTTCGTCCTCCTTCAACGGTGTAATTTCTGTTTTCAGCATGATCCCATGACCCCTACCCTGCACTGCATAGACAGACTCCTCCTCTGATGCCCAAATGACTAGTCCACTTTGTCTTGGACTGCCACCTCCTGTGCTCTCACAATACAATGCCTTGTTCAAACTAGGCCACATAAACAGACTTTCCATCTCATCAACAGCATTGTAGTCGTTTTGGCTCTGTGCTGATAAACAAAGTCCCAAACAGCTTGTGCTCTGCGAATAAATCAGAAGATTTTACATCAGGTTGCAGAAGGACTGTATACTAAAATCTATGAGTGGCTCTTTGAACATGGTTCAGATAACGCAGTAAACTGTTTTGTAATATGCCAAATAACGTCTTTTACGTCCGAGTAACTACAGATGAGTGTTCATGTATGTGTGCAAGTATCAAAATAATTTGCTCCAGTTAGCAAAAAAATAGATAATGTTAACAATTGTAACAATGAAGTGTTAATGAAAAAGCTAGTTTTTAAAAGTTCGGACAGCTTGTTTGCAATCACGTGATTTATAATGCTGGAAATTCAGATGGAGGGCAGAAGGTGTACTGCAAATTGGTAATGGAGGAATGGTAATGCATAAAAGGGTTGTTTGAACCTGCAGGTAGCAGTTATCACCAGAAAATACAAACACATATTGGATGCGATCCCTGCAAAATTGAGAACATAGATTTCCACGACTTGTCTCGTTCGCCCACGTGGAGGTGATTGACATTAAAAAATGACCTCCTTTTACAGACCTTCAACTACATAGCTTGTCAGATGAAAGCATACAAGAGTCTAAAGGCTTACAACTATTTTGAGAGCGGTTGGGTCCCCGACCTAAGAACCAAAGTAGCTTTAAACGGCCACCCAGTTGGCAATCATCGCTAAAAACAAATCTTCCGGTACATAACCGCCAACTAGCTTTCTCCTGCTAAAACTGACCTAAACACCAACCATGGTGGTGATATTTGGCAGAATAATAGCCAGTCATATCTCAGTTGGTGTTTTTCATCATTGTTTCTATAAAGGATAAAGCTACTTAGCCATCTGCCAGGAGATTTATCGTTAGATATGCTAGCTTCCCGGGTAAAACAAATCTGCAGACTTTGAACGCTACTCTGGGTCCAAGTTTGTCGACAAACTGCTCTCACTAAATAGTTGTAAGCCTTTGTACTCATTTAGACCTTTATCTGGCATAGCGCCATGGTCTGTGTTTGTCAGCTTGAGTTTGCTATATAGTTAGCAAAATTATTCAACTCCTCCTTCGCTGAACTACCAACCCCACCCCCCCCCCCCCCCCCACACACACACACACACACACACACACACACACATACTGACATAAGTGTGTTGGTTGCGGGTAACTTGAGTACTTGTCTAACCTAATCTATGCCCATCCTTTTAGGGAACTATTTAACTAAACGCTTGTATTGGCCTCCTTTTGTTTTTACTTTCACACAAGTACAAACCTATGATAATGATGAGAATCAAAGCAATAATCAATAAATTAAAAAGAATGTAGTAGCAAAACCGAACAAAGAAAACCTACTACTTAATGCTTAAGCGACTATGTGAGACATGCACAAAGCCTACAAAGCTAGAAGCGGATAGTGTGGTGGATGTCGAGTGAGCGGCCGCAAGCGATGGGCGGTAAATGATATCTCTCAGTGCCACTCATCCTCTGGGTCCCGGCTGCTGCTGCGGCTGAGGGGACCTTGGGTTTGGATACTAGGGCAGCAGGAAGCTAGTGCCCCCCCCGAGACACCAACCTGATCCATTTTTAGGTTTCTGCGCTTGTGCACACAATGTCAACTTGAACTTATCTGCCTTCTTAAAATAAGGTGGCAATCTTGGGATTATCTTGAACCTACAGTGAGTGCTGCTGACCTAAATAATGCTCATTGGCAGGCAGTAAAAAGTGCATGGGATCAGATTCCTAGCAGCTGCAGAGAGGTGCTTTAACTCGACTGATTCTTTGTGTGGGGTAAGATTCTGGAGATGGAAGAGTAGTAATAAACGGGAGGAGATTTTCTTTGATTTCCTAGTGACCGCTGCGATGCATGCCAATTCGATCCATTACCACCAAGGCAACAGAGGCACGTTATCCAAAGCGAACCACATAGGTAAACGTCTGTATGAGCATGAGCTCAGAATTTGGCCTGCAGCTCATACAATAAATTAACAATGTCATATGTCAGTAGATTGAAATGTCTATTTAGAGGATGAGCTCGAAAGATGTCATCTCAAGTTCCAGAAGGGGTTGGGGGAGGTGAGAAGCATCACCAATACCATGTGTCATTGAGAGTAGTAGGAGTCTTACTGCCTGGCTAACTTAGTGCAGCAACTCAGGGTCCGAAGTGTTGGAACCAGATGGAAGAGCATGACAAGGTGTATAGGCGGAGGGGTGGGTAAAGACCAGTCAAGCTAGGTAAGGATCTGGGGTTAAAACCAGAGTTCACTACTGCTGGTTTGTATGTTGATTGGACTCAGGCGAGCAGGAAAGGGGCACTAGAAAGAGGGATGAAGAAGAGCGGTACAGCAGCAGGCTGGCCCGAGAGTACAGGACAGAGGGTGAGAGATGGCGAGCAGCGTAAGCGAACCATACACTTGCCTTGAGGAGACTGAATGAGAGATACGGGCGAAGAGGAAAGAAAGGAATCTGAAAAAATAAAAAAAAGGACAGAAAAATGATCATCCTAGAAGAGGAAGAAAAGAAGTTCTATTTATTGAACCCATCCAAAGGAAGAGAAGAGTTAACTTATCCAGCCTTAACAACTCTACATTGTATAGCAATACAATGACATTGATATGCCACTACAAAAACTTTAACACATGCACTTGTATTTTCTAAACAAGAAAGACCTTCATTTTCTGCGTAGAACCTTAAGATTTTAATTAAGCAGACAAAAGCACGGGTCACTTTGCTTTAGTGTCACTGTGAGCAAACAGAACAACCAACAGACAATTTATTCTTTAGTAAAAAATTTCATGTGCACTAAATGGGCAAAATATTAATGCTGATTTTCCTTTTTTCCCCACTCATAAGAACAGGGGGCGCATGTTAAACATCCATTACCTCGTAATTTACAACATGAGAGCCCTGCAGTGAATAAAGTGCCAACAAGCAGCAACAATAAGCAAGGCCCCCAACAGGTTACATCCATCATTTATCACCAGCTTCAACGAATGAGCCAAACAGCCCAGAGCCCCCAGCTCATCCGCCAGGAAGGGTTAGGCCCTGTGATGTTGCACATCTCTTTAGTTAGTTTAGATACTAGGTTGTCAGTGGTGTATCGGCCTGGTATAATCTGTCAGTGTACTGCGAGCACGGCGGAACGTTTGCTATTGCCTGAGAGAGAGAGAGGAGCGTGTGTGATGCCACATATGAAGTCTGCATTAAGGCAGTGAGCTGTGAACATTAGTTTTCATTGAATTAATGCTATAATCTTCAAGACTCAAAGTTCCAGTGTCTTATTTGCCAGCTGATGATAAAGCGACATGTTTTTCCCAGGCTGGATTAAGATGGGCGGATATTTAAGGTGGACTAGTGGTTTCCATTTTAGCAGTTGCTCCCGCAAGTTGTTTGCAGTTTAACAGATTTTTTAACGCACTATGCTTAATAATTATTGCAAGTGAACACTTCACTATGAACGTCCTTGGGCCAAAGGAATGAAAAAAAGCCAGCTCCATGAAGGAACGGTCGTGTGTTCATCGAGAACAACTTGACTGGACTGGTCTAAAGGAGAGGAGGTAGTCATTAGGGGGCTCACACCTCATTCCACGTTCGGTCGGAAGAGTTTCAGGTTTACGACGGGCGGCGGCCTGGTGTCTCCTTTGGGTTCAGCTGAGTCGGAGTTCCTCCATGCTGGGTAGGTTGGGGCTGCTGTGCCCTTGCACTGCAGCAATCCTCCTCTCAGATTCATGTGCCTCTTTACCGTCTTAATACACAACTCCTTCACCTTTTAACCGCAGTACCAGCTCTGAATCTTACAGTGGTACCACATTTTTCAAATTGAATTGAAAGCGCTGAGAGGGGATACAGGCAGCAAACATGATCCAATTCTGCTGGTGCGAGCGCCACGCGGACATATGCAAGCGTTTGAGTGTGAAACTGCAGTGACAGTGAAAATAAAAAAATAAAATAACATTACCCAACTATTTTTCGTGGAAACATCTCTCACACTCATACATTATACGTGCATGCATATATGGCCAATAAATTCTTCAAATTCTTCTTGATAAAATCAGCTTGTGGAAGTGTTGGCGCAGGGCGTGTACCCCTGAGAGCCAACTCATTGTCTCTGTGACCTCATGATATGGTCCACTCCAGCAGGGAGTGGAGGGAGGTGGGCCTTTTCTTGAGCAGGGAGAGAGAGGAGGGGGTAAAGAGGCTGAAAGAACTCCAAGGTCCTTCAAGCTGCGGTGCTTCACACTGGGAATCTTCAAATGAGTCAATTTAACAACATTGATTGGAAAGAAATGCGTGTTCATTAGTGGAGCTGTGATTTGCTGCATTTGGGATACTATCAACTACAGTAATTGAAGTTTTGCCAAGCCATTAAAAAACAGTTGGATTGTGATGTGAACCATGCCACAGCAGGGGAAAAGAATTCTGTTTTCCTCAGGGATCAGATCAAACTGAAGGTGTGTTTGATGCCTCAAGTAATATAAAGGTCAGTCTGCTTGGTTAAGAACATTCCTGTGAGGAAAAGTGAGCACGGCGATGCCTGAATGAGTTACTACAGTGATCAAACTGTTCAAGTGTTGCAATCTAGTTTGACTCATCCAGAGAAACGGGCTGAGCTACAGACGGGAGCTGGAGAGCCGGGCCGGGCCAGGCCGGGCCATCTGATACCACTTGAAAGATAAAACTAGTGGAGTTTGCAGTGGAAAATACTGGGCATCACCAGGCCTCGGCCACCTGTACCCATCACTCACTGAAAACCCTTCGGAGAAATGATTTACTACTTTAGTGACTAATTGTTTCCAACTGTCTTGACTGACTTTTGGTGGTTAAGAGAAGACAGAGGAGCACTTCTGACTCAAATTGCAGGTCTTTTCGCTACTGTTGCAGTCCTTAAAGAGATTAACAGCCGGTCCTGGTTCTTTTAACTTTGAATGAGAGAAATCAACATGCTCACAGAGTATGACCATTTGCCACAGTCTGACTTTACACCAAAGTATTGGGATCAGGTTTTCAAACTGATACATCTGAACTACATACAGATATTCTCTTCCTTCTTCCCCTGACAAGTGACTTTCAAGTCTAACGTTGGACAACTATGGCGTTAGCTGTGTAAAAATCTATTATCAGCAAAAAGCAAATTGAAATACATTAGGCCCTGTGCTAAGGGAGGAAGGAGGGTGTCATTAGTTATATCATTACAAATTCACATTTCCTGTAGATGCCCAGTGGCAGGTATTAAATCAAACATACATGTCCAAGAAGAGTTCTATCGAGTAGCTTAACTAGATTTTTTTATAAAGCTATAAAACACTTTCTCTTCTTGTCCATTTATAGTCAAGTATCAATATATCATATGTTAATGTAGATTCAAAAGCAACACAGTGGCTCTTGTCAAACCTGTAAAGCCAGAAATAATAATTAGTAATTAGTGGCAGATTTTACAATAGTAATACACATCCACTGCCGACCCCAAAGTTTCTGTTTGACATGGATGCAGAGTAGGACCCAATACCCGTATTTTACGTATTTTGTGATGCTGTTACTACAGAGGCTGATGTTTGTTACCTATCAGGAAATCTTTTTTAAAAGCATAACTGATCGTTCAGAGTTTGGTCAGGACTGCCAGAAAACATTGACACGTTTCCTGGAGTCTGCCTTTCAAAGGGGTACACAAGAACTTGCCATCATGTCGGTGTAGTTTGTGCCACCCTTTGTCATTTAAACATACAGGGATGCAAGTTCAGTGAATTAACTCCAGGCTATGAAAAGAATATCCTACATCAAATATTATTGTGCACAAAAATGTCTAAACCCTCTCAAGGCTGCTAATGACTAATCCATTATAACTTGGTCCATGTTGACATGTTTAAAATCATTCACTAGGTGAAATGATTGGAAGCCTGGAAAATGCTTTGTGCTGTAATTTGTGCACTTCCTTTTTAGTCCCGGTAGCTTTCTGGTCATCTTTCATTTATTTAATATCTACAGTCCAGGCCTTAGCCAGTAGGAACTGAGGCATCAAGAGCCACACCTAGTTGACACCCATGACCACACATGCTGTAATTTCTCAAAGCCTACAATCCCTATGATTAACACGATGTTGCTTTTGAAAGAATTTCCAAAGGCTCATGTGAGCTGGCTGACTGGGCCATGGAGTTCAGACCAGAAGCTTAACACAGAGCTACACACATGCCACTCACACAGCTCCTGAATGTGCCACTCCCTCAAAGAACAATCCACTGTCAGTCAACCCCTCGGAATACACACCACTCCTTCGTTTTTTTTTTAATTAGGCTGGGCTGGGCTGTGGAACCTGAAAAGCTAAAAGAGCCTCACAACTGGAGAAGGCGACAGGATTGATGGTACCAAAGCCTCATCTGGCTGGATGTTTGGTTCCGGGGCGGTTTCCCCCGCGAAGACACAAAGGGGCAGTGCGCCTTTAAGAGGTCCTCCCTTCGCTGCCAGTAACAATGCAACTGCAGTGCAGCGCATCGCTCCGTGTAGCCTCGAACACGCTTTGTCACCTCAAACCTTTTAGTGAAAACTGTCATGTAATGTGCAGTTATCAAGCAGATCCGCCACGTTGAGCATGACGCAAGACGTGGGTTTAAAAAAATCCCCATATATATCAAGTGTCAGTATTAGTTATCTCACTATCATTTGGAAGAATGGACGCTGCTCAGTAATGACCCATGTTTATGTGTTTAGTTCCATGTCGAGCTCTGCAACATCGGCTATAATGTTCGCTTATGAAATCCAAAAACTGACGTTTAGCGAGACATTCGGCTGTGAAAAGAGCGCGTGAGGGAAGCGCAGGCAGGCCGCGGCGGGTTAGTAGCAGTGTGTCCGGATAAGTTCGCTACCACAGGTGTTTCCAATCGTAGCTTAAACAAGCTTAAATCTAGCACACACAGGCCAACCGCAGACAAAAGAGAAGAAGCGTTTCTACTTTACATGTCAATTCAATAGGTACTGACGTAACTTAAACCTATAAAATCCGTAATGCCTGTAATTAAAAACAGATGGTTTAACGGTAATTCGTGGTAAACCTATTGGTTAAAATTGACATTTGTCTAGCAAACCTAACGCTGAGTCATTCTTACCGGATAGCTTGGATTCTTTGGCAGCCGAATTTTGTCCATCGGCTAAACCTTGCGACGACGATATCTGGGCGGATTGAGTCATTGGATCCATTTTACTTTAGTTTCAAAGCAACTGCACACAGGCGATAAAATGTCTGGCGACTCTCTTTAGATGTTCGTTACTGTCCCCTGAAGACCTGAATGTCGGACGACTGTCCTTAAATTTCCCCAAGAGCGGGATTCGAATTTACACCTTAACGCAACGTCCGAGCACTGACAGTTGAGCAGATACGGAGGGAAACAAGGCGGACTGAGGAGGAGGAGAAAAACCAAACATGTCGCGATGGGACGCATTCAATGTCTTCGCTTAGGCTCCTACATCTGAAAATCAGGTCCATTTAATGCGACGTGTGTCTAAGACCAAGTACAATAACATAACATATTAAAATACATTACTGGTTTCCATGTATTTACATGTCTGCCATATTCTCTGTTGTTTCAAAATAAAAAAATGTCACTGTTGGTGTTTGTGTTTTTGTTTTGAAGTTCATTTTAGTAATTTTGAAAAATTCGACAGCAAGTGAAGGCAGCATAAGGAATATTCTTGAACAGACACCATGTTACGTTCATACCAGTACTTAACAACAATGGGATTTTGTGTTTCAGACATAGGCTGCCTTACACACATCGTGGATGAATTTTATCAAAAAACGCATACCAAGCAAGTATAAAATACATATAGATGGATAAGGTGTCCTTAATGCATAAACTGGTGTGTGTGTGTTTTTTAACAAAGCCAACCATATTTATTCAAATATATTTTTTAAATGATGACAATGCTGTGACTTCACGGATACAATACAATATCATACATGTAATTGTGTGTTTTAACGTAGCTAATTTTCCATCATATGTAATGGTTATCTTTATTCCATTTTGTATCAATATATAAAATATCAGCATTATTGTGCTCTCTACTGGTGGAGTTTAAAAATAACATCAGATCAACTACATTTCCCAGCATACATGAAGGGGGAACCGTGCGCGCCGTGCGTCAGATCTGTAACCATGGGGATGGGCCTATCGCCGTTCCACAGCCACCATCATGTAGATATGAGATCTGCTACGTTACGCAAACGTGGAGCCTGGTAACACACTGCAAGTGACTATCCGGCAGACTGAACTGCGCGGCAAAAGAGGGGTGACACAAACAAAAACATGTGGCTCAGGCTGTGAGAAAACGGGTATGTTATGTCTTTCACCGTTGGTCAAATTGTACTTTGATAAGAGTTCAGTGTTATTCCGTTTTCAGGCATATTATGGCCATATATTTCGAGAGAGTGCGAGGTTTTATTAGCGTTATTCAAAAGTGAGTTTAGCTAACTAGCAGCTCGTTAGCTTGTTAGCTGCTTCTGACAACAGCAGTCATTCAGCCGGGGCTACCCCGAGCTGTTTGTCACTGTGTAGCGTTCACTCTCTGGTTCGGGATATTTCACCACTTAATCTCACGCGTTGAACAGCGCAACGTTAGTACTCATTCAGCGAACTAACCGCGGTAGCCAGCCTAAATGGGTAACCTTACATAACGGCAACTTTACTCAGTAAAGTTAGCTAGTTAGCCTACATGAGCTAACCGGGCTTGCAAATAAATGAATTAAACATGATTTCGCTCAGTACCGAAAGACCGAACGATTCCCAATGCTGCGGAGACATATCGACGTATTTAAAGAAACGCTAAAAGTGGACATTCTACCTGCAGCTTTGGAATTAAATGTAACGTTAGCGCGGTGAATAGCGATAGCAGTGCCCCGCCCACCAAAGCGTCATGTAGCCGGATAGCAGGTCGATGTCACGTTAACCAGCAATAAGAAACGAGTCAAGCTGCTCAGCTGTGGCTCGCTGTCTACTAGGTCCACTACGTCTTTGTTAAGCGTGCTTCAGTTATAGTAATATGGGTGACATTATTAACGGGGTGTTTATTAATGCCGACAAGTCTCCATCCTACCTTAGGTAAAACAAGAAATGTTGCCTTTTTTTAAAAAAGCGTTTGAAAAGTCTTTCTTGTCTATAAACTGGTTGATGACGTGTCGTGCGCAGCCACGAGTCTGCAATGAATGGATCTGCTAACAACGACCGTACGCCAGCTTCAAAGCCGACGGGTCGATATTGTTCTATGAACCTCAGTGGGGAACATGCTCCCTTTTTAAGATGCATTTTCTGAACTTAATGCTCGGAGCTGATGAATCAGTCTTCATCACTATGGATGTTTTTTTTGTAAATTTTGATTTTATACAGCGTGCAACATTGATGTTACATTGAACTGACTTCTGTGTACCATTCAGTTCTGCAGCTACTGAGGAGAGCATCCAGTGGACCGGCGGTGGACGTCATGGGCTTGCACTCAGCCCAGAAGAAGCACTTCCCTCTGCGGGGGATTGACGGTGTGGTTCAGCTGTTTGACGCCGAGCTCCGGAAGTCTGAACCGGACCTTGCCCTCCTCTCCCTGGTTCTGGGTTTTGTTGAGCATTTCTTAGCCGTGAACCGGGTCATCCCCATAAACGTTCCGGGGGTCCGCTTTGAGCCCCTTGAGCCGGACTGTCCCAACTCCTGCTTCCCCACGGTGGAGCTAGGCATGATTTCTGCACTGTACGAGCGCTTTACAGCTCAGATCCGCGGCGCGGTGGACCTGTCCCAGTACCGTAAGACGGCTTCGGGTTCCAGCAGGGAGCTCGTGAAGAAAGTGTCAGATGTGATCTGGAACAGCTTGAGCCGCTCTTACTTCAAGGACCGGGCCCACATCCAGTCCCTCTTCAGTCTCATCACTGGTACGACATTACGAGTATTGCAGGGAAATCGTGTTGATGAGCATGTGTGTAACTGTGATCAACTTTAATTGTTTACTAAATCTGAACCAGGTACCAAACTGGACAGCTCCGGTGTGGCTTTCGCAGTGGTGGCAGCCTGTCAGGTTCTAGGTCTAAAGGACGTCCACCTGGCACTGTCTGAGGACCACGCCTGGGTGATTTTCAGCAAAAACGGCGAAGAGACAGCTGAGGTCACCTGGCACGGAAAGGGCAACGAGGATCGGAGGGGGCAAACAGTCGCAGCGGGAGTCAGCGAGAAGGTGAGTTCTACCTCCTCTCAATAATGGCCAATAAGAAAGCAATCAAATTCAGAACACTTAAAAACAAAAATCAAAGTAGGCTGTTTGGCTCTTTGTGACCAGAATGTTTTTACATATACGTTGCAGGTTAATGTCCTATTTGTTATATATTGGGCTTCTTTATTTCCCCAACCTCTCCAAGTGAAGAAAAATATACTTCTATGTAATACCAACATTCCTGCATAACTCTTTTGTCTGTCTCCCTCAGAGCTGGCTCTACCTGAAGGGCTCCTACATGAAATGTGACAGAAATATGGAGGTGGCCTTTATGGTCTGTGCCATCAACCCCTCGCTGGACCTGCACACAGACAGCTCTGAGCTCCTGCGGCTGCAACAGGTGAGCTCTGCAACTTGTAGTGAGCTGTGGGTTGTTATACATCTTCTTTTTTTTAATTTCCCGGAACAAAACACCACTTTCAGTGTCACAAGAGCTGCTTCAGGAAGCGGTGGCGTATCGCTTGCTGCAGTTAAAAGCCTCCCACAATTGAGCCAATGGTAGATTAATAATGTCAAAGATCGGACACGTATTGTTATGAGATGCTTTTCCCCCGAGCTGGCTGTAATACTCATCCTGGGGTCTTATTTAACAGAAACTCCTGTGGTTGCTGTATGATCGAGGCGATTTGGACAGGTGAGTTTATGTTGATGAAGCTCACCAGGAATGCAACGTCTCTGACAAGTGACTAAACTCCTCACAACCTCCTCTCCTGTTCTGTGTTCCAGGTATCCCATGGCCATGGGCACACTGGCAGACCTTGAAGATCAGGATCCAATCCCAGGCAAAGAAAGCCCCATGACAATCCACCTCAAGGTTAGTCTTAAGAGCGGAATCCAGGAAGGTTACGCAGCAGTACGACATGAAAATGGATTATAAGCTCTCTTATTAAACTATTCCAACCAGAATTAACAGGAGTCAATCTTAACTTTCTGTTCTCTCTCTCTCTCTCTCGTATATACAGGCAGTTAGCTCTGCTCAGAAGCACTACAACAACGAGCACATCTACCCCTACATGTACCTGGCTGGTTTCCATTACAGACACAGGGATGTGCGGGAGGCTCTTGGGGCCTGGGCCGAGGCCGCTCAGGTCATGCAGGAGTGAGTTCACGCCGTCTTTCACATGCTAGCAGGTTTAGTTTAAGTTTAGGTCAAGTTTAGAAGGACTGAGTTACACGCCCAAATGGGAACTGTGCCTTCAAAGGCAACAAGGCGACCAGCTGATTTAAGGGTAGGAAACTGGGTCAGTGTTAATGTGATGGGCTATTTGCAGTTACATGATGTTGGTGTGTTGGGTACCCTCCCAGCATGAAGTGGGGGAATAGGTCAACGGAACAAGGCTTGTCTTATGTGTGTTTCTGCAGTTACTGGTGTCATTGTGTCACTGACAGACTGATATTAACTGAATGGTGGAGGTGCTCTGCAAATTAAACCCTACCTTACTATTATTCAAGTATTACTGCTTAAATGACAAACACTTATGCTAACCTCTTTTCCATTACAGTATTTTTAATTCACATCTAGTTTATTAGCTGTGTTATTAATTTCAATGTGTTGTAAATGTGTGTCTCATTTAAAAACATAATTGGGATAGTTACACCAAGTTGAAGGACTTAAATAGTTCCAGGTGAATTATTAAGATTGCTTAAAAAAAATTCTGTTCAGTACACTTTTGTCAGGTAGTAATCTTCTTGTTTTCCCGTAAAACTATTTTTGATTTCTGGTTCATTCGATGCCATTTGTCTTGTCATTTTCTAAGTGGAGTTCTAGATTAATTCAGTCTTTGAAAAAATCAATTCTTAAGACCAGCAAAGCTAACATTGCTGGCAAAGATGAAACATGCTGCTCATCAATGGTAAGAAGGTACGTTTTTATTCACCGAGCAAAATTTTTTAAAATTTCTCATCTCACTTTTATTTTGCAATGGCGATCCAGCTATATTTTTGACACATTTGTTTCTCTAAGATGAACATAAGTAATCATTTATTTTCCAAACCTTCGCTGTTTGTTGCCTCGGTTGTTGTTTTACCAAGCGAACACAAGATGGCAGTAAATGAAGTTCGCTCTGCCCTTCCTTTTTGTTGTGACCACTGGTAAATGGATTTTTCAAAGTTAGCCATTCATGTGGTATGACCACTGAGTTTGGGTTGAGAGTGTTCTCTGTGGTAGCTTTCCTCTCTGAGGGTGTGGCGGGTGAGCCGGGAAGTGTCCAGCATCCTCATGCTAAACACACAGTTCTCAAGCTGCAGCTAAAAATACCTGACCCTTCAGTCCACATTCCCTCCCCATCCATCAGCTTCCTTTTCCTGCTTCCCAATTGTTCTTCAATTTCAGTGTGGGTGTGTGTGTGTCTGGACTGTTGCAATGTTGCAGGTGGGCATTCCCTCCTGGAGCACATTTCTTAATCTGAACTTGATGTTTTTGTAAAGCAGAAGAGACAAGCAGCAGATGAAAATACATTTGACTTGTAAAACTACATTTTCAGTCTGATGTTACAGAATATATTCTGCCTTTCTTCCCACTGTAATTATCAGTTATTCTCCTCTCACCTGCTCTTGAAGGTATAACTATTTCCGTGAGGACGAGGAGATCTACAAGGAGTTCTTTGACATTGCAAACGACGTTATCCCGACTCTGCTGAAGGAGACAGCAGCTGCTGCCGAGAGTCCTGGGGAGGGAGGAGAGGGAGCTGACAAGGCGAGTGTCCCCAGTAGATTCAACCTTCACAATCGGTCGGCTCATCTAAATTTCACTGTTTATTTTTGGGGGTATCGGCACATGAGCAAAGCGCTCTGCATTGCTGCAGGTTGATGTTTCAACCACCTCAAATAATCCATATCCATTTAAATACAGGCTATATTTATAATTCCTTCAACATATATCATTGTCATACAGCCCTTAACGATGCGCAACTGCAGCGTTTATCAGTGCTCTCTTCCAAGCATCAAAACTGGTTCATTTTTTCCTGCTAGAACTCTGGGTTTCAGGTCTACTGCTGCCTGCGTCGGTCAGTTAGGTTCTTAACGTGTCTTTTGGGTGTTCTAAAGGGTTCGTTTGGCTTCACCAAAGTCACACAGAATTTTAAAAACAACTATCCACTGGAGGAAGCTGAATAGTCCACCATCTCCTGTATTCTGCGTGCTGTATTACTATTTATTTCTACTGAGATAACTGCTACAGTTCCCCATTAGAGGCTGATAGCAAGGGGGAGTGGTGAGATTAAAATAATCAGCAGCGCAATTCTAATAGAAATGTTTGATCCAAGCTTAAATTAAAACGGGTTGCTCCAGACTAAGCAGTTGTCAGATACATCTTTGGTAATGAATGTTCAGAGTCACAGTCAGAGTGCGATAAAAAAGATGCTGCTGGAACAAAGGACCTTCTCAGTCTTTCAGTGACAGTTGATACTCTGATTTCAGGAGCACCCCAAGCAGGCAGCAGCCCTCTCAGCACTCCAGGACCCAGAATGCTTTGCCCACCTGCTGTCTTTCTATGATGGCATCTGTAAGTGGGAAGAGGGCAGTCCCACGCCGGTCCTTCATGTGGGTTGGGCCACCTACCTGGTCCAGTCTCTGAGCCGCTTTGATGCTCAGGTGAGAAGCCCAGAATAGAACTTTGAACTAGGAGATGACCGCAGCCCCAATGTTGTGTAGCTAAAAATGGCTTTGCGGTCTGATTCCAAAGGTGCGCCAGAAGGTGTCGATCGTCATCAAGGAGCCAGAGTCCCAGGATGATGACGACATGTCTAGTGAGGACCCCCGGGAGGGCCGCAGGCGAGGCCCCAGGAGAGAGTCCAAGCTGGATGAGCAGGGTCCTTTTCCTCCCGATGGGCCCACCTCCCCATCCTCTCAGCCGCCAGCAGCAGCAGCCCCACAGCCCAAGAAGATAGGAGAAGGAGGGGGCCGCCGCCGCTCCTCCCAGGGCCTGCGGCCTGGGGACGCCGACGGAAAGCCCAAGTCCCCCAGCCCGGACTCTTCGCCCTCACCCCAGCAACAGGCGTCCCCGTGCCCGGCCGGGCCCGTGGTCGCCTTCCAGAGCGAGAAGATGAAGGGGATGAAGGGCCTGCTGTGTGCCGCCAAGGTGAACTCCAGCGCCATCAAGCTGCAGCTCACGGCCCAGTCCCAGGTCCAGATGAAGAGGCAGAAGAGCACGCCAGCTGGGGACTACTCCATGTCCTTCATGAAGCGGCAGCGCAAGTCCCTGTAGATGCGCTGGGGCGACTCTGCAGGAAATACTGTGAACAGCAACACGGATACCTGACTAACTTCGCTTTGGTTTGTGAACCTTAGTTTCGCCTTTTTGTTACTGGTGTTTTTTAATCCAGACGTTGACTTCAGTCAACCTTCTCATTCCCAGCAATATATTTGACTTTCAAGTATCAGGTCTGAAACGAAAGAAGTGAAACGTTTCACTCTGTTTTTATTCAACAACATCCAGAAAAAGACTTTCTGAGCTGTCTAGTTTTCTATAGATTGTAAGCACTCATTCATCATTAGTTTGTGATGATTGGCAGCCAATTGCACACTGACTATTAACTTGTCATTGACTTACATGTGGATGTCTTGAAGCCAAAGTAACGAGGATGACCAGAATGCAGCGAAAAGATGTGTAATTATCTTGTACCGTTAGGAACCTGTCCATGACTGAAGCCTTGGAAGTGATTCATTTAGGATAGTTACTGTGTAACATTGTCCACTTCTGCTCTTGACAGCTTCTTTCTTGCCAGCTCTATGTTGCCTTACTTTGCCTTTGTTCTTATCTAAAGTAGACGGCCTTTAATTTGGAGAATAGCAAAGCCGGGCCTATTTCTAATGATTAGAGAAGACCAGGAAGACCATGCACTGTTGAGACTGTGGGCCACATTAGGTGGCCCCTATTACATCTGATTTGCTTGATGAATTGTGGTTTTTGTTCTTGTTTTTTTTTGTATCTACAAGTAATAAAGACCTGATAAACTGATTTCTGGTGAGCTCTGAGGGTGTGTGTTCATAGGTGAGTGATCTCTAAGAGGGTGCACAGTAAGTATATTTTACACATACATCAAGATAACAATGGTGCAAATAATCTCTGGTTTGTAAGGAGCTTTGGGGCAAAAAATAAGCTGTGTGTGTATCAGATGCCTATGAGACACCGCAGCAGCACACTGAGCAGTGATTAGCAGGTGACAGCAGGATTCCTGCTAATCTTAACATTAATGGAACTGCAGGCAGCAGATGTGTATTCTGTCTAAATCAATGCACAGACGATACAAAATATCTAAACCAAGACATGAAACGGATTCATTTGCTGGGACATTGAGTGATACGTCTACGAGATCGTCAGCAGTGTTAATGGATGTCGTATTAGAAATGGACAAGTACCAGTTCAATATATTGTAATGAATAATTAAATTCTGACTTTAGCGGCTTAAGACATACTTGTTAAATATTTGGACTTCAAATAAGACATGCATGCATTTGGAATTATTCAGTGAATAGATCAGGTGATCAATGCTGACTTTGTAATTGAACATCACGCAAGTCTCATTTCAACACTGAAAAAAAGGGTCATATATTTTACTTAAACGTCTTTAACATGTTCCCCGACAGAGCATGTTAACATCTGCTAATCAGCACAGCACTAAACAAAGTAACCTGTGGCTTCTGGACATTTCATGGGAAATTCTCAGTCAACTAATAACTAGTTGAGTTGATTAGTTGAGCTGGGTTTCTCCACAAGACAAAACTGCCTCTTTAAATGTTTACCAGAGATGTGCCCACAACTTTCATAGACATATAATTCTGCATGAAGGAAGTTCAGAGAACCACTGAATGACTAAAGAGATCTTAACCGACTAACTGAAGTGCAATAGCCAAAACTGTGAGTTGTGAACTCCAAATACGTCTCTTGTTTTGCCAATGTTTGTAGAAGAATATTTGTAATTATAATGAATTACAGGATTTTTTTTCACCACGTCTATATTTTCAGCAGTAATTTTCTTTTTCTGGCCCAAACGGGCTTCCATAGCTCGTAGAGGGGAACCGCTTGTGTGGATTTCAGTAGGGGGGGGCATTGTGCAGTGCCTCCGCTCGTGCGTAATGACACTCCAGCGCAGCTCGGGACCCTTTTGCACACAGACGCCTGAGGCGCGTCAGACCGAGCGAAGCTGCGCACCCTGCCAGCCGGATCCATTCGGCGCAATTAGTTCCCATTAACTAGTGAGTCGTCCAGAGCGCGTTCGCCGCTGCTGCTTTTATCCCCGGACCCCTCCAGCCGCGATGATTAATTAGAAAATCCCGCCAGGCTCATCACCCCCCCCCCCCCCCCCCCCGACCCCCCTAGCACAGCTCGGCACCCAGAGTAGACTTCGAACATGAACCGGATAGGGGTGTCGTTCCTGGACCCTTTGGACGACTACGAGCTGGTCTACCGGATTGGATGCGGTACCTACGGAGATGTGTTCAAGGTGAGTAACAAGATGCCCCCCACCCCCTCCACCCTCACCCCAGACGCGTTAGTTCAGCAGCACGGATTCTGTGCAGTTTCACTTCCTGTCATCAAGGTGGAGAAGTCTGACATATTGTATAATAATGTGTGAGGGGTTGGATCACAGCCTGAGCTACATATGTTCATTATAACAAAAATATGTTTTAGAGCCTTACTATTATTTAAAGGGATCGCTGGGAAACAGTCAGGGGATAAGAAATACAAAAGTGCGTGTGTGTGAGAAAGAGAAAAAAATCACTGGCAGGTGTTTCTCCAGTCGGTTGCAATAGTTGCGCCACAGGTTCATGTTGTTTTCATACAGGTGGGCAAAATTGGTCAAATCTCCCTAATTTTTTTTCATATTCCAATACTGATATACGTCACGGTGTTTCTAACTATTCCAGAATGGAATACACAAAAATGTCAAATATTCCAGCTTCTCGGATGTCAATGTCATCATGTCAAACAGAGGTCGCACTGGGCTTAAACAAATTGACATGACGGAAAATTTAAAGAAATTATTCAACAAAAAATTATATTCTGAATAAATGGTTCTGGAAATAATCCTTCATGCTGCACTGTATCTGACTACTCGACGCACTTGATGTTAAAATGTTAGATATCACAAAATGTATATTCTCTGAAGGTTAAATGTGCTTCTTGCAGTTTATATTGTAATATCATCTGACTATGTATTGAGTATAAAACCGTCACCATTGGAGCTTCAGGATGCAAACATCCTGTGAGAGCAAACTGCTTTGGTGCCATGTGCATCCTGCAGAAGCAACACAATGATTAGTATTGTTTCATTTTTTATAGCCTAGATGAGGATCATAGGGGAGCCTTATAAAAAAAGACCAATGTTTCATCTACGTGCTATGGAAGTCTTTACAAATCCAGTCTTTTTTCTCATTCGAACTCTTCTAGTGTGTCTCCAGTTTATGGTTTTGCGGCGCGTGCATGGCGGGCAGGCGTGCCAAACTGCACGTTGTGTTCTGGGCTGAGCTTCAATCAGCGGTTACAGGAAGTGTTCTGCCTTCATACAGCTGGATGACGTGGAGTAAACAGACTCAGCCCAGATCAAGGACTTTTACTGGTCTGAGCAGGTTCAATTGATATGTAACATATTGTGCATGTATGCTACTTTCTCCACTCTGGTTTGTCCTGTTATTCGCCAGTGGCTACAAGGGAAGCTGTTGAGTAGCATGACCAACTTATGTTTTTGAAAAAAACAACTTGAAAAGTTTTTTGGATCATGTCTTCAGTTGTTATCTCTTAATGCAAATCCCAGAGGTTTCTTTATAATGTTGTTGAGTAGTGCTCATTGTAATGCAGACAAGACCCTCTTCCCTCATGTCACCACCTATTCTCAGTCAAGTGGGCACAGTGGGTCAGGTTGGGTCGGAAGACTACAAGTCTGAAGAGTGAATTCATCTGGAGGAGTGGTTAGCAAAGACGTGAGCGGCTTACCTCTGCTGCAGGCTTATCAGCGGTTGTGTAGGGTTTTGGGTAATGAAGGCGCTGGGGTCTGACAAAGAAGAACAAGTTGCCGATGAATAAAAGACAAATAAAACCTCTCCACCGTCAGTCCAATGTTGTTTATGGGAGATAATCTTGTCTTTAAACTGCGTCACTGGATTCTTTTTGGTCGGAAAATATAACGTAAACACAACTTTGTCAAATTATCACCTTGTAAAAGTGCTTCCTCTCTTGAAGCCCTGCTTTGGTCGCTACCACCTCCTGAGAAGAACATCTGTCTATTTATCTGCTGAATGCTTCCCTCTTCAGAGGTTTAATCAGAAACTTCCCACTGAAAAGAACTGCTCATGGAGTTCAAGTTGATGAGGTCAAAACAGACTGGACATAATCGGGTAAGGATGTGAGTGGTAAAACCCAAACCACGTGCCACAGATGCTAAAAAGCTCTTCAGATCTGAGGGGATCTGCACAGATGATTGAGCTACAAGTCCATGTCCACAATCCCAGACTCTTAAGGGCTTCAGGCTGTCCCACTGTCAGATTGTTCATATTCATAATTTACACCCTTTCAAGCCCCTGGAACCTCTACCCCTCTATTATCTACCAGGTGACGCCAATTCATCAAACAAGGGACCGCCTCATACATTGTCAATCATCCATTGGTCCAGCTGTCATTCACTTCCAAAACTCTTAACCCAGTTCAAACTCAAATCCAAAAGGCTGTTCCTTCTGTCTCTGGGCAATGTTCATCTAACTTTGACACAGCGTCTCAAAGATTTGAGTCCGTGTGTTGGCTGTGAATGGGACCAGTACTGCGTACAGTGACGCACAATAGCGCATTGTCACTCCCACTGTCACTGCTGGTGGAACTGGAACTGCGGTGGTCAAGGGGGAAGCCTCTGAGCATGTGAGTGTGTGGGGTTTTAACGGATTCTCATTCCACTGCTATACTTCACAGTAAAGTGGGCTTGATCTTGGCCCATGTCCTCTTATGGCTCTGATTAGAATATTTGTTTGTTGTTCATTTCTGTACCTTAACCTTAAAACCTTCATTTTACCAAAAACATATTTATACAAGACAATGTATAGTTTTGTTTCATGCTGGCTAATAAGCAAACTATAAATGGATAGCAGCTCTGGTCGGTTGGTTGAATATGTCCCCAGCTATTTGATGTATATCCATCAAACTTGGTGCACATTATTAAGATCCCGAGATAATGAATACCCAGTCTAATTAGAATGGTATCCCTCATAGTGACTTTCTGTCTTTGCAGGTCCTTTCAGCTCTGTGGGCTCAGTAGCATCTTACAAGTTAGCTCATCATTCTCGTTAAAGTCTCGTTAAAAGGAGTACAGAGTACAAATTTGTTTTCGTTTTCATCAGGTGGACACAAAAAACAACACATGTATTGTAACAAACACACAAAGCCGTACAGTTAGCAAACTATAGAAATATGTATATCGCTAACATTTAGCAGTTAATATTAGCCAGCATGTGCGACTCGGCATGCCAGACCTTGTAAATCTTTATAAAACTACCTTGAGTAAGTGTTTTGTTGCTTGTGAATTTTTCCTCCCATATGACGAGCCAAAATGGGATGAATAATTTGTTACTTCTCACTTCAGTTATGTTCTTTCCAAAGCCATTCATAGCCCATGCTTTCCTTCTGTATTCAACATGAAATGAGGACTCATTATGAAGAAATTACTAAAAGAAATGACTTTATTTCATAATGGCTCATTTGAGTGATAGTGAAGTACAGTAAAGCTTCTATTTACAAATTTGTATATTACCTTGAATGTATAACAGCTGTTATTACAGGCTTGTCGAGGTAAAAATCTTGTCAGAGACGCTACTATCGTTGCAGTTGCAGGAAGCCCTGCTACAGAACAGGAAAGAAAACAGGAAGTGATTGCCGCAGGGCCACAGGTTGTGTTGAGGCGAGCTGCTCATCCCATTGGTGGCTGCCTCATTTTATTGTGACTTTCCAGTCAAAACGCAGTCCATCTGACGTTAGCACCGTCTGAATCGGGATGACTGATGTTTCCAGGAAGCATTGAGGATGCTGAAAACACGGCATAGCTGCTTGGAGACAACACTCACCTTCACCTTTTACATACTACAGTGAAAAACAAATGGGTTCACCCCTTTCACACTTGGGCGAACTGGTTGGGTTTCCTTATTTACAGGATTACTTCGGCTATGTTTTCACTTCAGTATTGAAACCTCGACTTGCCTGTGAATGCACGCAACTCTCAGTACTCTCCTAAGGCTTGTCTGGTACAAATGGAAGGAAAGCTCTGTCTCCCCAATGCTATTTGTATTGTATTGACGACCGACTGAACTAATCAATTATAAAGATAAGTTCATTTGCGTGTTATGTCCAGGTTTCCTATCTTGATGGATTAGGCAGAGCTTAAACCAACCTCAAACACATTCTTTATTTGGAAAATGTCGTATCTGATAGATCAAACCGTTGGCTACATGCAAGATATTTGTGGATCCTAAATCTCTCATCTGCTCTTACGGTTGCTCAAACACTTGTAGAACATCTGATTTTCAAGTACTCACAACTGCACAGATGTTGCTTGCTGCCCTTAACTTGTGGGAACTCCATCTGAAAATGTACATACACACGTTACATGCATGTCATATATGTATATATATATATACATATATATGTTATATGTCAAATATATATGTTATATATATATATATATGTCATATATATATATTTTGACATGAGCAGAAACTTGATCAGGGGATCTTTCGTGTCCTCTCCTTCGTTGAGCTCTGCTGTGGGGGGCTGCCTTACCCCGGATGACAAAATCAGGATCGAAAAGGCTGGAGGCAAACGAGTTTCCCCTCTGGGGATTAATGAAGTCTCTGTAATCACAGTATGTGTGGTAAATGTATATTTTTACTCCCTGCTGTGCTGACAAATAACGTATGTTCCCCTTAGAACTTGTGTGTACTATTATAATGTACAAGTTCTTAATTATTTATTTTTCCTGTCCCTTCAGGCTCGTAACATCGAGACGTCTGAACTGGCAGCAATCAAGATTGTCAAGCTAGACCCTGGTTTGTCTCACCTGGCACAACGTTCTCTCAGATGCTTATTTGCAAGACCTCAGATATAGGCCGTGGTTTTGTATTGACCGCTTAGGACAAGACTTTCTTAGATTTGATTTTAGATCTGAATTAACCATAGTGTGGCATACAATAAGTCATAAGTGTTAATATTACCAAAATCATTTATTTATACATTTAGATTTTATACATTTTTTCATTTAGATTTAAAAAAAATATATATGTGTACAGTCACTGGTCCCTATGGTCATTACTTCTGTCCACTGTGGAAGGATTTAGGTGTCGGTCAGTCTGCTGAGTCAAATCTGAGGTTTAAGTCAAGACATGGACTTTTTTAGCTCCAAATTTCAAAATTAGGAATAAAATAAAGAAATCTGTACATTCATGGATATACTGATATTAAATATCACATCATGCTCATCTTCAGGCTCATACATTTATTTCTGTTTTCTACTAAAATATGTTTATCTGCTATACTTCTCATACTGTCCATCTGAACATAGCTGCATTTACCCTCTGTCTGAAATTCTCCAATATAGTACTCTTCTCTTTAAGACCAGTCTGCTCTGGCTGCAGAGAAAATCTGAGTAAAAGCATTGACATTTGTTCTCATGATATGTCCTGTCTGTGAATGCTATTTCAGCTTTGTATACCAGGTCTGCCACTAAGCAAACCCTACATGTACTTGTCAATAACTGTGCCTCTAGTAGGAGCACCAACAACAGACTATTGTGAGAGAAAACGGAGACTAAACTTTCTGTCTATCCAGGCGATGACATCACGTCCATCCAGCAGGAGATCACCATGATGAAGGAATGCAAGCACAAAAACATCGTGGCCTACTTCGGCAGCTACCACAGGTGCTGAATGCTTCAATGTCGTCCTTCACAATCCCTAAACTGGAGAATAAGTTCACTGGAGAAACCGTTCATGTCAAACACCAAGATAAAAGGTGTGTATGTGTTTGTGTGCTTTCCAGGAACACCAGGCTGTGGATTTGCATGGAGTACTGCGGTGGAGGGTCTCTTCAAGATATTTACCACGGTATAAATACACAAATAATTGTTGAGTTCTGAACACTTACTATTACCTGCTCGACTAAAACAGGGATAACGTGGCACACATGCTATGTGGCTGAAGGAGTGGAAACGCTTCAGTCTAGTTTCAGTTTTAGAGAGGTCTGCCCAACCAACGAAGGCCTGAGTACAAGCCAACAGCAGGCCGAGGAAAGCGGCTCATGCCTTTTGCTTTAGTGAATTTACCATGTGCTTGTGTTTGTTGCATGCATAGTGTTTAATTCATTAAGGCAGGACTGAAGTGTATATCAAAGTCTGAGACCCCCGTATATATTCGCACAATGGTTAACTGCTTTGTCAAGCTTTGTCAAAAAGAAAATACTCCATCAATGTGTTACTACATTTCCATTTGTGAAACCTTCTAAAACATACATACATACATGACATGTATCTATGTAACACAATATGATATTTACATCTATACGCTATGTTAATCTGAACATGAGCTGGAAATGAATCTTCTCATCTAAATCTGGAAATTCACGTTCCCCCAAACTGTCAGACTGTAATTACCGGGTTCATCTTGAGACATTTGTATAATTACTGTACACAGGATGTGGAAGGACGATGGGCTCCGAAAAGCTACTTCTCTATTTGTAGAAATGTACCCGCAGGCTCGTTCTCTTTTTCCCTTCTCTATGAGCCGTTAATCAAGCTGTTGTCCTCAGTGACGGGCCCTCTGAAGGAGAAGCAGATAGCGTATGTGTGCAGAGAAACCCTCCAGGTAAGCTTTTTTAATGGGAGAGGCAGCTTGTTGCTCTGGCATCATCAAATGGCTTCAGACGCTCTGCTGACCAAGTGACTGCAAGCCACCGCAGAGCTAATTAGTGTTTAACCTCGCCAGACACTTACACATACTGTAGAGGTAAAGGCTGATGCAGCCACACGGGGCCAGTGAGACGGTTTGTTGTTTGGTTTGCGAGAGACCTTCTCCTCTCATTGGATAATCAACAACAAGATCTGAATTAAAAACTAACTAGCTTAACAACAATATTTATTGTTATTTATAACATTTTTGTGGAAGTTTAACTTTCCTTTAAAGTTTCTGAGCCTTCTTTTCATGAAAGTTGATTTATCAACTCACTGTTGATTTATTATAGTACATAGTTTCAACTAATATTAGGTTACGTGCAGGTGATTTTTATTCTTCTCATTTCCCAGGGTTTGTACCACCTGCATGAAACTGGCAAAATGCACAGAGACATAAAGGTACAGCAGCTTTCCCATTTGTTTTTAAGTCTTTGTTGAGTTTTTGCAGTACAGTATTGACCACGTGGCGGTAATCATGTGAAAACTAGTTTAGATCACGTGTACGTGTTCTCTTTCTGCAGGGAGCCAACATCCTCTTGACAGAGAGAGGCGATGTGAAACTGGGTCAGTGGACACTCACAAACACACATGTGCACATTGACGTTACCTCTTTGACTCGTTAACTAGGCCGTACATGTTGCATCGTAGCAAGTCGCCTCATGACTCCGCCTGTCTCTTCTGTTCTAGCTGACTTCGGAGTGGCAGCAGAGATCAGCGCCTCCGTAGCCAAAAGGAAGTCTTTTATCGGCACTCCCTACTGGTAAGATGGATGATTCTCTTTTAATGCGATGGTAATAGCTCAAATGGTTAGTATTTCATATTTAGTCAATCCCACATACTGTTCTGCTGCCCATAATACTCACTTAAGCATCAAATGTCGATTCATCTGCCACTACAGAATACCCCCCAAAAATCCTCCTGATTGGTCAACATTTTAAAAAGACTTAGTTCAGCCAATCTCAAGTAAATTGAGAAAGTTAACATGTAACCAAACTGTGTCATATCAGAGGTTGACAACGTTGGTAAGTTAATTTGAAGGCATCAATAAAAGTCCAATGTCCTTTCCAGGAGTGTTTTATCAGATGTTCCTCTCCTCTTCTTCTGTACCTTTTCATGCAGGATGGCTCCGGAGGTGGCTGCCGTCGAGAAGAAAGGTGGCTACAACCACCTGTGTGACATCTGGGCCGTCGGCATCACCGCCATCGAGCTGGCCGAGCTACAGCCGCCCATGTTTGACCTCCACCCAATGAGGTAGGTCAGCCCCCACCAAAGGGACACGAGCTCTTGTGTTACTAACAGCTTTGCCGCCTGTTGTGTCATTTCAAACAATCTTTCAGGGCGCTGATGTTGATGTCCAAGAGCAGTTTCCAGCCTCCAAGACTAAAGGACAAAAGCAAGTGGTGAGTTTAACTGTCTGTGGTCCCCATGTATGGGTACCAGTTGTCTTCCAATCACATCAATAGCTTCTTGATTGACAATTTGTTCCCACTCCGTCGCTCTCTGCAGGTCGGCTGGTTTCCAAAGCTTTGTGAAGATGTCTCTGATTAAAAGCCCCCGTAAACGACCCTCAGCGGAGACGCTGCTGCAGGTTAGTTGCTCTTTATAGCCTCCCATTAACAATTCACCCATCTCTAGCCATGAATCATGCATACACGTCCGTAGAAGATTGATTCTCTTCATGATTGCGCACACAAACTGGGTGATACTATGGTGTGACTTTTACCTCATGATTCCATATTTAAAAGAGCAATATACAATATTAGGAGCTTTAACGTAGCAGCAAATAACTGCTATGTAAAGAGAGTGTGTGGCTCAGATGCCGCTACGTTCAAAAGCAGTTGAAATACCTATAATACAAAACTACATATAAGAAAAAAACATTAACAAAGCTTTTGGCAATGGTTTACCCTTTTTCATTTAGCGACACATAAATGGAAAAATATAATGCAGCGAATATCAAAAATATACATATAATTGAGGAAGAAAACATTGTATTCAAAAAGAGAACTGAGTCAAAACTGTTTAGCCCAGCAAGAAGTTTTGTGAACAGATTTCTTATTTCTTAATTTATAAACCGTTTATTTAATACAGTTTATTTATTTAAACTAACCAAAAGTATAAACAGCAGAAGATAATTTCTGACGGAAAGTCAGAATGTCTTGTAATTTAACTGTTTTAGCCTTTAAGTACAGTCTGATCCATGATCACGTCAGTGTTTTGTGAATACACGTGCTTCGCCTGGGGCTTCAGCTGATGGCATGCCAGTTTCTCTTTTCACAAACTTTAGGTTTTACGACTGTTGGTCAAAACAACAAGACAAGACATCAGCTCAGACTTTGGGGAACTGTGACTGTCATGTTTTACCTTTTCTCTGACGTTCTATGGACAAAACAATTAATCAAGCGATCCTACAATGAATTACCATTAATATTAATAGATCAATAATGAATATATCCTGAATCAGAGCGCTGACTCAGAGGTCTGGAACCAGCCTAACAATGCTCCTCCAAAGACTGAAATTCTGACATTTAGGAGGCCCGTCATTGTGGATCTGGAATCACCGTGCATCATACTTTGTTATTTCTCAAAGTCACGATCTGTAACTTGTTTCTCCAGCATCCGTTTGTGACACAGCTCCTGACCCGCAACCTGGTAATTGAGCTGCTGGACACGGCCAACAACCCTGAGCTCCACAGCAGCCACACGCACAGCATGGACGACAACGAGCTGGAGGTCAGTGCTGCGATGAGGTGGCTCAGGCTTTAAAGCAGTGTGACCATACAGCCACGTGTGTGTGCTGTGTGCTCACCCACAAACACGCTGCTGGATGGACTGTTTCATCTGAGCGGTCTGTTGACAGGTTGGGGAAGTGGCTCCTGACAAGATTCAGTCAGCAGGGAAACGCCTGCCTGTAGAGAGGACCCTGTCTGAGGAACAATGTGAGGACAAACACACACACACACACACACACACACACACACACACATTATGTAATATTGAGTTGTTTAGTTTGTGTAAATGAGACAACAGTTCCACCAACTTTTTCCACACACCATAATGCTGTGTCAAGCTAATGTACTGTTAGCATGTTAAAACTACGGTCCACATTATACCCGCTGATCATCAAATTATCACTGTGAAAATGTTAGGATGTTGATGCTCGTTAGCTAAGCTAATAACATGCTGACTCCAATTGTGTAAAACACACAGCTGGCAACCATATTAGGAAAGAAACTGAACATGAGGATTTCCCAAAATGCTGAATCATTACTACAACTCATCTCGAGTTACTTCATGTGCATGTATGGTAGCCTATATTGTTTTTAGGATTATCATTATATTAATGTCAACAACAGCACAAGAGAACACTAACATTATTGCTGTAAGCGTTAAACTTCTAAACGCCAGACATATATTATCAGCAGCCAGTCTTTATGGAGCTCTGCGTCTTGTGCGTGTGAATATATATAATCCATATATAACTTAAACATCGCACAGTAATACCTTGTTTCAATCAGTCTATGCATGCATGCATGTATAAAATACACTGTGTCGGTTGTACTTGCTGAAGAGGGGCTTTATTGTCCACCGTGACCCCCAGGATTCAGCGTTGCAATCTCCATAATATGAATGAGGACAAAAGGCTCTCAGTCAGCCTGCTGACGACCGGCATCGTCCTGTAACCCGTCCATACATGTGGGACGAAGGCTGCGTCAGAGGATGGCACTGAGAACATGCCAGTGGTGTGTGACAGACACTGGTGCTTCTATGCGCTGACTGCACTGACTTCATAGCGCTGCGGGTGCCAGTAGTCTTGTTGTGCTGTAATGGCTTCTGGGGCGACCGTCTGTCTTCACACTCTGCTCAGTACCAAAGCATAGATCAACCTGACCTCAACTTCCCCGACAAACAGCGTGCTATTCATAGACGCTCAAGCCACAAACACAAGTTTGACCAATACAGGTTTTGAAGACCCACACTGTTACTACTGTACTGTAACTAACGGTAGTGTGACTACGAATGCCGATAATTACTACAGATTTGAAATCACCTTTAAACAATTTGTATTTTATATAGCGGAACGTCTTTTACAGCTGTTTAGAGTTTAGACACTTACATCTTGTGTGTGGTTTACTTTACTAGTTTTGTAAAAAAACAAACATGTTTGGATAAATATGGTATTGAAACAGTAGCGTATCTGAAGCGCGGCAGCAGACTTTAGTTTAAGACTCAAGAGTCTTCTACAATGCCAGCGCTTGTGTGTTTGGGTGTCCCTTACAGTGGCCTGGTGTTTTGATGACACGCTAGTGCCAGTTTTTAGATTCAGCCGCACTTTTTGTGGGAATGGTATTAGTTTTGTAATAAAAAATATTTGGCAAATTAGTGTTTTGCCGTGACCAAAGCTGTTAAAATTTAGCCTGATAAAACAAAGGCAAAGCCACACTGCAGGCAACAATAAATAGCGAATAGCAGTGCCACAACAAGGCATCACCATAGTGAGAAGAACTTAAAGCACCGTCCAGAGGGTGATCCGTTTCTCAACAGCAAGGAACGTAAGGACTTCTAGTATGGAGTTATGAACTTTAAAATAATGATAAACGTGTCATCTATTAATGCAGGCATTCAGAAATACACCGTGAGAGATACAGTAAGGGAGCCGAGACAAGAAGACTACTTCCTTTATCCGGTTCACTTGTTCCCCCATCCTTTGCTGTGCGTGTTCTTTGCCCACATGAAGATTTGCTTCTTCCTGTTAACCACGTTTCTGTCAAGCATCAGAGAAACAGAAGTGAATCATTCAAATCCAAAGTTCAGATGCTTTAACGACAGCTGCGTGTGGATCTGTGCGGCTAGAGGCAAGTGCATGGAGGGTTCAGTCCTCCGAAAAGCACGCATGTGCTAAACCAGACTGCACATTAGAATATCATATTATTGCGTGATTTCTGGTTACATTAAATAAACGGTAACGTAGTCTCCAATAACGATTTCAAGAGATTATTTATTGTAGAGATTGTTTGATCTGGTAAGTCTGAGTGCTTATACAAAACAACATCTAGAAATTACTACAAGAGACACAAAACCGCTACTAAAAGAGGCCAAACCACCTTGACGTGTGTGTCTCTAAGAGGTGGTTGGGCTTTTTGCTAGTCTTTGCCTCGTGGTCCATTGTCTCATAATTCAACCATGCAACAAGACATTGGTATTTTGGAAAAAAATGTCAATGTTTTTTGTTAGCTTGCATGTCAGGGCAGATGTGCTGTTTATTCCGCTTTTAGTTTGTTTCCTTCTGTAAAGTAAATAGCATATTGTATGTTATGAGTCATGGTTGTAAGAATAGTAACACGGATTAGTTCGCGAAGATCTGTGTAACCTCCTGTACAGGATAACAACATTAACCACCACAAGGTTAGTTTTACCATAGCAGCAAACCATTTCAGTGCACTGAATCAAATTTAAACTGTCACATTATAATTGTCCAATATGTTAGTGTCATGTAATCCACATTGCTTGGCGGTAGTTTTGGGTCAGCAGGTCTGCCTCGGTGCCGGCTCAGTATTGACCTGAGGAGCATATGTGGTGCATTCTGTGTGAAGCTGTGTGATGTACTCATTGAGTAGCCTTAGTTTTGCTAAGGCAATAGTGCATGAAAGGCCCCGGGTTGTGTGGTAGCCAGTAGGGTTCTGTGTGAATACTGCTCAACACTGGCTTCATTCCCAGCATGTTCTCTTTGCAGTCGACCAGGTGAAGTTTGGGCCTCCACTGAGGAAAGTCACTGAGCCATATCCTGGTTTGGTGAGCAAATCTTTTTTTTTTGTGAGATGTATGCTGATGGTATACATAAAAACGACCATGAAATCTGCTTCCCGCCCTTCAGCAGGGCTCCTATGATGATGACTGGAGTCTGTCTGGAGACGAAGACAACTCACCGTAAGCCGCCTTCTGTTTTTTATTCTTAAGAGTCTACTTTCATTCTGAATCTGTAACATTATGGTCTTAAGGTGTCAGAGGTGGTGAGGCTGCTGTCTTTGAAGCAATCAGTAAAACAGTCGAAAAACTGTGTTCATTTGAATATTTAAAGGGTAACTCAACTGATTTGACATCTCAAAGTGGCTCCAGGTATTACTGCTAAAATGAAAAATGTAGCACTAAACTGAAATTGTCCCCAGAGGAAGCTGTTTGAAGTATGATGTCACATTTGTCACTGTGTCAATTTGGTCCAAAGAGAACATGTTTGATAAGTAAATAAACTTGGAGGTGTGGAGTTAGAAAGAAGTGATCTTCTTCAGCTGCTCATTTCGGCTATGTTGGCTACTAGAAGTCTTAAACTTTAATATCAGATCAACTTGCCGTTGTGTAATTGTGGGTCATGGGATCAAAAGGTCAATACTGATTTTAAAGGAATTGTTTGCACTAAACTGTATATGGAACTCACCTCTCGAGATTCTATGTGGTCACACGAAACGGTTTCTACCAAATGGAGAGGCAAACATTAAAAGCATTTCCATACTGGAGTCCAAAGGAAAGAGCCAAAGAGGTTCTACACAAAACATTCCATTCAGTGAAGATCCAAACACAACTATTCAATGCTATCGCTAAGCAAATCATTTCCTGTAAACCGATAAATCCACATACATTTGTGGTGCTCACAGCTTCCATATTTAACTGATAAAATACAATTAAATGTGTATCCTTGAGTGTGGCACAAAACATCAGCAGTCTGAGCCTCAGTCCTAATATCCTTGGACTAGAATTGGACCTCTGGTTCCTTCCCCCTCATTGTTGTGGACCGTTCAGCCCGTAGTCAGATAAACACCAGGTCTTCCTGTTGCAGGAGCCTGTTGGAATGTGTGGAGCAAGCTCTGCAGCTGAGGTAGGCCACATCCATCAACTCCAGCCTCTCCTAACAGCAGTGCCCCCCTCCCACCTCCCGTGAATTCACCTACGAATCAACTTGTTTCTTATGATCGTTTTTATGATTTGAATAAAAGCTATTGGCAAACTACTTTGACATAATCAGTGGGTTTATGTTCCCGCTCCACTAACCCTATTCCAAAAAGTCTGCAGCTTTTTGAGCTTTTGTCTGACGTTTTTTGTGGTGTTTTTTAAAGCTGTATGTGTGTGTGTTACCCAACCCATAGCATCTTCAGCATCTGCATTTGTTCTCCAGCTTGTTGCTATGACGCTTGATTTGATTGTTTTCATGGAGCCTGATCATGACATCGCTCTTCCTTTTTGTCTTTCAGAAGTTTAACCATTAAAAGGACGCCATCTACTGATGTAAGTGCTAACTACACAACTCTACAATGAAGCTGTGGTCCAATTGCACACTGCATACCGGTTCTTTCCATAGGTTTGTGTATGTTTACACAACAAACATTCCAAATTATACTTACTACAACAGCAAGATGACTTGATAGAAGAGATAAAACACATATTTTATCCATGAATCGGACGACAAAATGCTCCCATTAAAGGTATAGGAAACAAAAATTGTAAATTTGTGGCATTTAACTTTCTAACTAACTAACAAACATTCTAATGTCACCGATTATAAAGTTTAATACAGTATTAATACTGCCATAAACAGGATCTTTGACATTTAATTTCAAGGCAGACCGGGAGAGACCGGGTTCCAGGGTTCGGTGGATTCCATACATTTGGGCCGTGTGAGAAGACTGCGGTAACCAGTTACGGACCACAGTCCACATTTAGTCCCCCTGTTTCTTCACATCTTGGAGAGGTCTAGAACCACGACTCATTGCTACCAGCTACTCCGGCGGCTAGTTTTGACTTGCAGTGGAGTGTTGAAACTCGTGTATATTTCCCAATTCTACTAAAAAAAATATGTATGTATGTAAGGCTTCACTCAATTATTTTAATGTTTAATTGAGTGTGGCTGATAACTGAAGTGCTGAAGGTTAAAATACTCAAGTCAAAGAGACACAGTCTCGGAGTGAGAAAAAGAAATTCTGTCCCTCCTTGCTCACAGTTCACTGTGAGCATCTCTCAAGGACTGAAAAATGATCATACAGTCGCATCCGTCAACAGTGATTGTCCCCTCATCATCTACTCGCTACTCGCTTCCCTGTATATTAGTCTCACGAAGCGCAGTATCAACTAATCCCTGCAGGAATCCAGGGATGCAGGAGATGCAGCTTCATCCGTAGTGGACTAGATCATGACTGTAACACAAGAAGGGTTAACGTAGACAAGAATGCACTTTTCCATTGTGCAAAAATACTGACAAACCCGATGGTGAGAGGGTTGTCGTCGCATTAGTCGTCAGCTAGCTGCTGGCTGGTGCTTCTTTGGCAAAGGTTCGATGGGAGACACATTCAGTTCAGCAGCTGTGTATCGTGTCCCTCAGATGACAAGGGGTCAGCTAAACATTACATGTCATCAAACCTATTTGAATATTTATGAATGTTTCTTGTCTCTGGAGCTTTGGGGGGATAGACCAATATATTGGCGATGCCATCACTATGGCTATGCCTTTTTTAGCGAACAAAGATTGCATATCTGAGAGTTAGGTAGGATCAATGCAAAGTTGAGGTGGATCTGCTACACCTATCAGCATTACAATGTCATATGTTACATGTTATACACTTCATAGGATTAGTGTGCAGTATGCAATTGACTTGCATGGCTAGACAACAAGATGACCCCATTGTCTCTTCAAAGTTATTCATGTCTTTTATTATTCTTTTTTCAGGGAGGTAGGAAGAGCGGTTTATTCAGTCCGTCCACTGCATCTCTGCCGGCCTTTAGGTCTTTAATACCCAACACAGAGGACAGCGACCTGACAATGAGACCCAGCTGCACACTGGGCCCTGACGCTGCCGTCATTGCTGACCCCACCTCAACAACAGGTACAACACGCCACTCGACCCCATCAGAGCTCATAATTGATCTACTGTTGGCTTTTCAGTTACTACAAAAAAACTGCTTTGTGGTTAGTTGGGCGTCAGCTGTTTGTTTGACTTTATTCAAGGCTGTGTGACCCAAGACCACAGGCAAGTGTGAGGCCACCGATGGTTTCTTTGATGTCTGATAACTCAATATCAGCAAATGAGGTGTATTGATAGTGAATCTAATAGCCGACTTTCTCTGGCGACCATTCAGGTAAATACCACAAGCGTGATAGGTGCCACCAAAAAGGACTAAAGCGAGGACTAACGTTAAGTCAAAAGTAGGGCTGGGTAACCTTTTAAAATTGACGTTGCCACTAACGATACCACCACCTTTTGAATTTATTTGGCATCAATTCAAAAGGTGGTGGTATCTTTGTACTTCATTAGAGTACTTCATTTTGTACTTTCTTTCTGCTTCAGCTGTTTGGGTATCACGCTGGCTATCTTATTGCAGCCACTATGCACTGCGCTCACACAATAGCGCAGTAACAGTGAAAAATGCCGCCCAACAGTTGGAGGGCACGATTTGACATCAGCATTACTAGCTGACAGCTATGGCCCTTGATTTAGGAGCAGTTGCAAGTATTGGTTACAGATATCTAGCTCTAAAATAACAATCCCTTCCCCTTGCTCTCTCCGAGGGTTGGCCAGGTGCTCGGCCACACACGACATCAGTGAGCGCTGCAGCGGTCCGTGCCCGCCGGAGGGGGGCGCTGCAGCGGCAGAGAAGAAGAAGGTTGCCACCGTTTGCTCTACAAAAAGAGAGACTCCACTCTCACCCGAATGGAGCACACTGAGGAAAAAGGCCGAGGACGCTGTGAGTTAAAGCCAAACATCTGTCTCTCATATTAGTCGGAAACCTCACTGAGCTTGTGTGATTTGCTAACATAATAACTTCCTAATGTCTGTCTAATGGTGACGAATCATGCAACCACCACACAACGTGTTGATTGTCTGTTTGATGTATAGGTTTTATCATCCCCTGTGTTTTGTTATGTGTAACCTTTGACATTTTAGAGGGCTGATTGTCATGGACTTCCTCCTACCCCTCAAGTCCATGTAAGTGTGAAATTTAACAGCATTTAACAGCATTTAAAGCTAAAAGCTAACCATTGGCAACTCCCCAATGACTAACAAGATAAGCCTCCTTGCATGGCAGGGGAAAAAAGAATCCAGCTGATGTATCGCTGCACCTTTCCATAAAATACTTGAGTGTCTTGTTTCAGTTTATATGCATCTTAAGGGGTATTTTGTGTCTTGCTGTTGTCGAAGTCGCCAATGTGTAACGCAGACTATGTAACTTTGAATGCTTTACATAATAATGTAACAATAATACGTGCCGCTTTTGTTCCAATGGATGTAATTTTGAAATCAAGGGGTCACTTTAACGATGTCAGACCAATGGTGAATCAGTTGTTGTGCTGTTTCTGTAGATGGGAGCGTGTTTCTCCAAGGTCTTCAACGGTTGTCCTCTTAGAATCCACTGTGCCGTCACATGGGTTTTACCCAAAACAAGAGGTACGACAATAAGGTCTCTCAAGTCAATATCAATGCTCCACGTTTATATTTTGGTCTTTGTATCGCGATGAAGGTAATAATATTTTCCCCTCAACAAACCCTTTTCCTTCTTAGATCAGTACCTTATTCTTGGAGCAGAGGAGGGCATCTACTCACTTAACCTGAATGAACTTCACGAAGACACACTAGAGAAGGTAAGAAAAGGGCAGATCCCTGTATTTACCATTCATTTCCTATTTTCTTCTACTGGGTTGAGTCATCACAATTATCTTACACTGTACATTTACTTATTAGCCAGAGAGCCTAATTTCCATCTGCTGTCCCTGTCCAGATGTTTCTAAGGCAGCCTAAAAGAAAACAATCTCAAAGAAAAAATAGCAACACGGAGCAAGACAAAATGCACATGTAGGTGAATCAAACAGGCAGGACAGACCGCACAGATAGAACGTGTTGGGCTGCCTCTTGTTGAGTGCGGGGGTCTTTTTTTACCTTTTCATTGAAGTGGTTCTGTTGGCTTCCAATACACACTGGGTTGGTTTGCTTTAAGTGCAAATGCCAGCAAGTCTGAGAACACGGTTCTCTGTCAGGAAATGATTGTGTGGGAGCCAGCTGATGCTTCAAGTGGGGCCAACCGATAACTCACTCGGTTGGATAAATGATATTGTGATCAAATCAATAATCCAGATATCGTGATAAACAACTGACTACCACAAGCACGTATAAACTCTGGTAAAATCGGATTATTTCCCACTAAATTCCGCATTAAATAAAAATATAAACCGCACTTTACATTTGCCGCGAATGTAATTCACATGGAGATACGTTATGAGATATTAATTTACCTATTTTTTGGTTTGATGAATTCAAAGGGATTGTTCTGTGCGTTTTTTCTTTTTTCCCATAGCTGCTACCTCAGCGATGCACATGGCTGTATGTCATGAACAACGTGCTGATGTCCGTATCAGGTAGAATATCTCTTCAGGTGAAACATGGATTTGTCAAAGATTCCCTTGCTCACAGAATGTATCTGTCCCATAGGGAAGTCCTCCCAGCTTTACTCCCACAGTCTGACCGCTCTGTTCGAACAGAGAGGTCACCTGCAGAAGAAACACGGCAGTCTGTCGCTCAGCACCAGCCGCTTCACCGAGAGGATCAGCTCCAGGTGGGACTTGACATCCGGTGCACAGCTGTGGTCACTCAATGATACTTTAATTATGTGACTTAATATGCTCTTACTAATATTCTCTCTGAAGCCACAGAAAGTTTGCTACGTCTGTGAAGATCCCCGACACTAAAGGCTGCAGGAGATGTAGTGTAGGTAGGTGAAGAACACTTCCCTCTGCACGCTCTGTGTGTTTATACAGCAACACGCTCCCAACCTTTCTACTGTATCTCTCTCAGCACGAAACCCGTACACAGACAGCACCTTTCTATGTGGGGCTGTTCCATCGGGCCTAGTCCTTCTTCTGTGGTATGAGCCCCTGCAGAAGTTCATGCAACTAAAGGTTTGTAAAGGTATCTTAAAAATAATATCGTCCTTTATGTGTTTTTGATACAGGGCTTGTTGCAAGGGTTTTAGAGTAAATATCAGCTCTGGCAATGTTTGTGTTTTAAAAGGGCCATGTGTTTATTGCGACCAGAAAGAACAAGATCAACAGGATGTGAAGAGGTTACAGTGTTATGTCAAACACATCTATGTATTGTGTTGCAGAGGTATCTACTGAAATGACATGCTAACCAGCTTGCCTCGCTCTGTCCTGTCTAGGCAGCAACCTCAGGTTCAGCCGAGTAAAGATGATGCGTGAAGTGATGATGAAGTGTCTTCTGTCTGACTCTTCTTCTCCCTTGATTTATTACTTCAGTAAGGAGCATTGTAAACATTTTATGGTTTCAATTTAGACAATCTGAAATAGACAATAAAGCTGAGTATTTTTAGGGCAGCCTTACTATGATTAAAAGTGAGCTGTCACTACATTCTAAATATGGTGAAAAAAAACAACATGGCGATGGCCGTTATCCAAGATGGTGCTGTGGAAATCGCCTAATTCTAGGCATCATAACATCAGTCCACAAACCAATGGGTCACATATCACCATGACTACATATATGGTCTGACCATATTACAATGGAAACTCCTTTCTTCCTTCTGTTCATTTTCAGGCACAGTTTGCTGTGTTTTGTTAATTGTTTCAGTAAAGAATCCTGGTCAGACATTGACTGCCTGTGCTGTTGTGTCACCCTTTCCTGCTTTCAAATCCCCAAATGAATCCATTTGTAGTACGATGTCAACTGCCTCCTCCTCTTTGTGTTGCCATGTGTTTGCCCCCTGCAGCACATTGCGATGAGGCTGCCGGACTCTCTGCCCATATTTGAGCTGCTGGTTTCGGTGTCAGACGAGTTCCCTCAGCTGTGCGTCGGGGTGAGATACTTCAGCAACAAAAAGCAACCAATCAGCGAGCAACTCAAGTTTGATATTATAGAGCTGAACAGCGCAACCATTTCAGCACCAGGTAGGGTGGACTGTTTCCTCCTCCTTCTCCAGGGCCCAGCTTTAAGCTTCCACTCAACTCTCTTGTTTGGTCTGCAGACAGCGGAGCCCTCGGGGCAGTGCAGGTTACCCAGATGGACAGAGACACTGTTCTCATCGCATTAGAACGTGAGTGATCTCAACACATGTTCCAAATCCACCTGCCATCTTTCATGCCCGGTCTAACGTAGCGCATCTCAATGGACAGGAACTGTGAAGATCGTAAACCTGCAAGGGCTTCCAACCAAAGAGCTAGCCGCTGAAATGCTCTTCAACTTCCCCATCGAAACTCTAGGTAGAAAAATCATGTGATAAACACTGTGAGGGATGTGTGCTGCTGGCAGCTGGCTAATGTCAAGTGTTCTATCAGTCTGCTTGCAGGATAGTGTGCTGGCTTTCTGGAAGCATGGGCTCAAAGGGATGAATTTTCATTCAAATGAGGTGATGAGCTTCAAGATTTGCATCGTGCTGAGCGGATGTCCTGGTACCTTTAGTACACCACCGCTCTGTTTGTAATGCATTCCTATAATAATGTAATTTTTTATCTGCAGGTGACTCAAGAAATTACAGATCAGAGTCGAGCATTCCAAGTCTTGGGGACAAACAGGTTATTTTTCTGACTATACACTTCTTCACTCAAACAATACTAGTCATTTTGGCTCATGGAGTTTTCTTCCCAATGAAGCTGAGAATAAAAAAACTGCCTAATCCAGCTTTAGTAAGGTACATTCAACGGGAGAATTAAAGTTGTAGTAATTGATATGAATAAACTCTCAGGCTTAAAAAGAAATTGGTATTTCAGTTTAACATTTTCTTAGTTGGAGAACATTTTGGTGCATCCAATCTGTTTGTCTTCTCTTACCCATAAACGCAAAGGGTGAGGATAAGCTCATAACGTCTTGGACAGACAACTTTACTTTTGTAATTAAGACTTCTTGATGGTAATTCCAGAAAGCATGTGTTCGCTTCTCTTTTAAAAGTAACATTGTGAGATGTATCATTTTTTTATGCCCTCAAATCAGAGATTTAGGTACTGTATGCTAGCATAAAATAACGTTTGTTGGTTCATTGACTTCTTACAGGGACATCATCCTTCAGAGCACACCTACAGATGACCCCTCGGCACTCAGCAATCTGTACATCCTGACCGGACATGAAAGCAGTTACTGATGGAGAACCACTGGTCAACCTTTTCAAAAGTCCCACTGACGACTAATGCGGATCTATTTCCCTGTGGTGGAGGAACCAAGCTGCAGCAGAAACCAGCCCCGACTCTTTGCGCGTTACGAATTCAGTGACCTATCCAGACTCAAACTGTCAGTGGTCCAGGACAAGAGACGTGTTTCTAACGTTGACAGATTCAAACCGCAGAAGCCATTGTTTTCATGTTAAAACAACTTTTCTCTTCCTAGGTTGAATCCCAATGAGACTGCTCCTGGAGCACATTTCCATTCCTAATATCGAGATGTACTTCGGTCAGACTGTAGAAAAACTGGAAATAATATCTGTAACAGAACCCAAACGTTTGTGAACCGTTGTTTTGAAGCCTTCCTTCGTTTGCTGTCGCTTTCTCAGTCACTGGAACCGGGAGTTTGTGATAGTCTGAGGCTGTCTGTCAATCAATCACATGAATCTACCTTAAAATCTCATTAAAGTGATCTCACGAAAGCCACAAAGATGCCCTGTGGAGAAAGTAAAACAAAGTTTGAGCTAAAGTAAGAAAGTTGTGAAATGATGTAAATGCTCCAAAGTTGTAAACATAGAAATCGGTCTTCTACTCTTCATTCCATCTGATATGACCGGAATGCAGCATCAAGGAGCTACGGAAGACTGGGTGGGCCACATGTGAAAGGTTAATTGGAGTTGAAAGTGGGGATCCTGATCCTGTTACCTGATATACGATGGACCATATAGAGAATTTGCCTTTTTTGGTCTGCTGTCCTCAGTTTATAGTGAGAATTATAATACCCCATTTAGTGGATTAAATATATCCCACAATGATCATAGAAAACAGTAGTCACTTAACAGGCAGTGGATGGTGTGCCATTACGCATTGTCTGTGATGAAGGGAGATGAACATCACATCTGATACAAATCTTTGCAAACATCAAGTATTTAGTATTTATTAAATAAGCGTATTTCACCCTGCTTTGCCACTGAGCCACAGTCTTCCTAAATAATTATATTACTAAAGTCTTTCAACTCAGAACTCAAATATATATTTTTCAGATGTGGCCCTAATCCCTCTCTGTAGCAAGCCGAAGGAGCACTAAGGGAACCGTACATATGAGATGTTTTTACCTGCATAATGTGGTTTATTTTTAAATGGAACTCCAGTGGTGTTCAGGTTCTTTGGGAGTCGCCTGTACAGTAGTAGCAGATACCCATCCATCTTAAAGTATTAAGAGAAAATACAATACACAATACAGTAGAAGCTAGTTTAAAAGAGGATTCCATACTGCTCACCATGAAACACATTGTGATTCTTAGTTTTAATATTACAAAGAGTGTCTGCCAAATCCCATTTAAATGTTTTTAAGTGAATGTGCCGCCATGTTGAGAGCCTCAGCACTGAGAAGTCCTGCTTTATTTGTGAACTTGACGGGTCCTTTTGTTGCCGTCAGTTACCCTTTAGAGCCAAACCACTGTGTTCTCCCTTTGCTTTATTATTAATTCAACTTAAACATAAATGTACAGTTGATCACATCATATGCCAGAGAAAATGAAAGCTATTCAAGTGTCCTAGTGTGACTAAAATGTAAATTCCACTACATAGTTTTGTGTGTAATCGTGTTATTTATGAAAAGGGAGCTGTACAAGTAACACTCACCTTTCACAGAGAGATACTTGAAAGACATAATATGCCTCTGGCTTTTTGCTTTTTTAAGATATTGTTATTGTTTATATAGTAGATCACAATACTGTATGCCTTTACAGTATGGAAGGGTTGTGAAATTCACAATAAAGGTTTTAATATCCCTTCAAGCTTAGGAATATGTTTCATTGTCTTTACAAAGATTTACTTGCAGCCTAAACAGAGGTTTAGTCAACTGTCAGAATACAGTCACGCTGAAATCTTTATTTACCATTTCCAAACAGAAAAAAGTCTCATGATCTTTATTATATGTACTTTGAGAATTACATGTAAGAGTAGTTTTACAAGCCTTTGTAAATGTAATATTTACTCCATATGTTTTGCTGTCAAGAACTCAAAAGTATATTTGAGGCCACAAACACACACAAAACTACTTTCAGGAAATACATGTGTTCTTTGCTTAGATATTTGCAGGGAACTGAAACCTTTTCTAGGCTCGGCGGTTTGTTAGTGACACACTATACGCTTTACTTACGACTTACAATTCACTGAATATACGTTCAATAAAGTTACTGAATGAAGCAGTACTTCATTAGAATAAATGATCTATAAGTATTACATTGTTTGAAATGAGATGTTCTTATTTCAAGCTTCAGTTCAAGGTAAATATTATTTCCTCTTTTTATTGTTGACATTATGTTACGCTTGTAATTGGGAGATAACCCAAAATTTTCTAAATAAAACATTTTTCCTAAAATTAGCAAAATTAAAAAACTTTACGTTATTTACTCTGCGATCCGGTGCCAAATGACGGACCGGTAGTGTACTAAGGGACCAAGGCTAGCAGGCCTTCAGTCGTTAAATGACAGGTAAATTGCAGCTGGATTGCCCAAGCTAGTTTCCGGTCGCCTCCATGGGTACCCCTGCTCTGCTCGACGGGGGTGCTGGACTCGGTCACATTGAAGAAATTGAAGAAAAGGTGGTTTCAAACCTATTATATTAATTCTAACACATTATATGACACTACTTGGTGGTTTAAGAAAACAAAGGTTCGAAAAGAAAAAGCACCCCGACAGTCATTGTTTGCGCAAGCCTCGTTATCGCTCTCCATCTTTTAACATGTTTATGTGGGCAAAGGTCAGTCCCGTGGTATAGGTCAAATTTATTATCAGAAACCACGTTGTGAGGTGTGAGTTGTGTCACTACCACCCTGTTTGTCACCAACTGTGCTCCTTCCGGTGTGGTCAAGTTTTATCTTTTGTTGGTGACTCCCCTCAAGTTCTTATCTCTTTAAAACTGCCCTCGCTAGGATTTCTCTTTCCAACTATAGTTTTCTTACTCCAGTATGTATTACCATGAGTCCCCCACTCGGTTCCTCTCCTTACACCTACTGCTTAGAAGTTCTTCTAATGTAAATGCAACTTGGACTGGGTTCAAGCATTTATTAGGTTACACTTTAAGCAGATAAGCTATTGAATGTAATTTTACATAGGAATCTATATAAAATTACAAAAAAACTCTTGCATCAGGAATCAGGAACATTTATTACCAAAATATATTAGACATACAAGAGCTCATGTTGAGTCTTAGAGTGATCAAAACCTCTCCCTTAAAACATTAGTGAGTGCATCCTGGACGGAGGGCCCTTGCTGTGCGCTGATGATTTCAGCAGGACAACCTCTGCTTGACCAAGGATTTGTTGCAGTTCAGTTACCCGACTTCTTCCTGTAGAATAAAGTCGCTCTTGCCTGTTCCCCTGATCTGAATCCCATTGAGAATGGATGTTAAGGGGAGTTTTTACAATGGTCTCAAACGTGTAATCGGCTAGTAAATAACCTGTTTGAGTTTAATTGCATTCTTTAAAAAATGGTCTGATTTTGTTTTGTCTCTTGACCCGGTTTCTTTTTTTCGCATTTTGAAGCTTACAACCTGGTTACATTCTACCTGAGATGAGAATACTTTTATTCTTTACCGCGGTCATAAGACCTGACCAGGAGTGTACTTGCACCATTGGAGAGCAGTAACGCGACAGGATGTGGTTGCAGATGTAGAAGGAAACGTGGCGGCGTCACTGGTGCGGTGCCGCAGCCATTTCGCTTTTCATTCATTGGTTTTGAGGCCTACGTCGTCTAATCGGTGAGTTAGAGACTGTGAGGTTAAAGCAAGAGGTGAAACGCCCCTCAGGAAGTCGCTTGCGCACACCTGTCACCCTGGAGTTCTTTTGTATCTTCTATGAATAGAAATCGGTGGAATTCTAACCGTACGTTTGCTAGTAAGTTATTAGCTAACGTTAGCTAGTTAATGTTAGCTTACTGAATCCATACGCCTTCAATCAGCTGACGTTTAAAACACCATTACACTGAAATAAACATGAACCTGGAAGCGTTGCGCACCGAACACATAACATAAAATAAACGAGTGGGACGTTTAGACTGCTCAGACTGTTCTGTGCGTAGTGTAAGATACATCGAAAAAGCTAACAGTTGGCTAACCTTAGCTAGCGAGTTGCGTTAGCTTGCTGTTAGGTAAACACAGCACCGATGAGCCTGTCTTATGTTGGCAAACGTTACACAGCAGATGATGTGAAATTCATCGACGCATCGATGTTTCAAAACTACTTCATTATAGATAGAAATGGTGTCATAGTCGTATCATTAGTATTTGTGCGGACTTTGCTCAGCTAATAAACAATAAAGGCCAAAGTTGTAAACGTTTGTTGAGTTTCTTGCTTCAATTGCTCAACGTTACGTGCTGTTACTCAACGCGCGGGACCCTCTCATCTTAGTTTCCTCCTGTTTGGTCATTTTTTTTACTTTTGAACATTCTGTGTCAAGTGTCAAATTAACCTATGCTAAGTTTAGATTGAGTAACTTAATATCGCAAACCAGTCCAACGGGGCATATTATCTGACACGCCAAACAGCAATAACGTTAGTTCTCGAAAATGTACCCCCTTTTTAAAACCCGTTTTACCAAACTAAAGTTTTTCCCACCCTCAATGATAACGTTATTGCCTACAAAAAACTTTGTAACTACGTTACGTTAATTCCATATCTGTAATTCAGCTCTGTGTACATGAACCATATGAATGCGTCATCCCTCTCCAGTGACGTCGGTAGTTATTTCTTTTTACTGATACCCCACTGATACCCCACAAACTGGGTATCTGGCCACACTCAATGTGATTTAAATGTCTCTCATATTTACCTAAAATGTGGATTTTTCAAATGTACATTGAAAAAGATGATTTCCCCTTCTACAAGTGGCCCATCTCTATATTTATCTAAATGCTGATGCACCCATTTCAGAACCTTTCCAAATGACATTGATCACTTAGCATTGCTATTAGTGTGTGTATATCGGCACAAGCCGATCTCCGCTGGTATTTAGCGACATGGACCCTCCTCCTCCTCATGCAGATTCCATGTATTCCAGATTCCATGTATGGAATGTAAATGAGTATCTTCATGACCATGGGTTTGCCGTAAATGTTTTTTTTCTAACTTTATTAAGAATCCGGGACAACACAGCAACTTGGTGAAATAGCGCAGTTGGTGACTCTGAATTGCCCGCAGGTCAAGTGAATGGTGGTGTGTATCTATGTCAGGACCAGGGTGTAACCTGTCTCCTGTTTGATGTTAGATGCCACCTACTTTTTGCAATTTCCCCTGGTGACGTCAAAGGCACCACCCATTTTCGATTTTCCCCTCCCAAATGGTCATGAAGTTGAATCTTCACCTCTCTAAAACAGTTTAAATAAAATAAACAGAGCTAATGACAACTGTAATGTAATGTAAAAAAATGATTTTGTTTTAATAATTTTGTCAGGCATTCATGATGTAAATCACGCTCTTACGAAGTTATAGTTAGACTCTTCACAGTATGAAAACATTCACAATTAGTATTTTTTATAGATAATCTTTTTTTGTATGCTTTTGGCTAACATACTTATGATACAGTGATGATCCTAGACTGCTATAATTTTAAGTAGATAATTTATAATTGCACTGCTGACATCTCAATTAATCTTCTGTCAATACATATTTTTTGTGGTTTTACATAAGTAATCAGCCTTTTTTTTATCCTAGGATACACAGAACTTCATCATGGTGAAAATATTTATTGGCAACCTCGCCTGCAATACCGCACCCGAGGAGCTGCGCGAGCTTTTTGAGAAGTACGGAAAGGTCTCTGAATGTGACATTGTCAAAAACTATGGTTTTGTACACATGAGCAATATGTCGGAGGCAGAGGAGGCCATCCGAAACCTCCACCAGCACGAGCTAAACGGATGGCGCATCAATGTGGAGATGAGCAAAGGGAGGCCCAAGTCCACCACCAAGCTGCACGTCAGCAACCTCGGCGAAGGGGTCACCACTGACGTCTTGCGGGCCAAGTTCCAGGAGTTTGGCACGGTGGTGGAGTGTGACATAGTAAAGGATTACGCCTTCATTCACATGGAGCGAATGGAGGATGCCATGGACGCCATCAGTAAGCTGGACAACACCGCCTACAAAGGTGAACTTTTTGGCGAGGGAGAGCTAGTTGTCTGTGCTGTAAAAAATACGAAGTTCTGTTGCTGTAGAACTCTCGTATCAAGTAAAATCCACCGGCGGCTTTGAACTTAAATGACTAGGTGGACTGAGAGTGACAACTTTACACTTTGCCAATGTCTCTTGTAGAACCTCTGGCAGTGGTGAGCAGGGCAGAAATCTCCTGAACCGGGCGCAGCTCATGCCTTTGCTCAGTGATAGTTGGCAAAATGCATTTATCGTGTTTTTGTAGTCGGTAAAAGCGTTATCGTGTCAGAACCCCGCGGTCTCATGCGTGTCTTCTCTCTCCCTACAAGGCAAGCTGATGAGCGTACAGCTGTCCACCAGTCGGCTTCGCACCGCCCCAGGAATGGGAGAGCACACTGGCTGCTATGTCTGCGGGAAACATGGTCACTGGTCGAAAGATTGTCCAGTCGGTGGGAACGGTAGCCACGGCGATGACACAAGGGGTCACAGCGGTCGAGGTCCCCCGCACGGCCATGGTTATGGCGGGGGCGGCTACGAGATGGCCTCTTCAGCAGCTGATTACATGGCCGGCGCTGCGTTTAGTCGGGCGAATTACGCGGGCGGGATGCCGCCCCCCCCTCGCAGGCTCAGTGGCTACGGGACGGAGCCGGGGGATCGGTACGGCGGCAGGGCAGCAAGCGCCTACGTGGAGAGGTCACCACCTTACGACCGCGACCGTCTCTACAGCAGTGTTGACTATTATGAGAAGTACAGAGCTCACCCGTACGGCTCCAGCTATTTTGAGGATCGTCGAATGTCCTTTCTCCCCCCTCCCCCACCTCCTCCCTCCTCCCTCTCAAAGCTCTCCTCCAGTATAGATCCATACGACCCTCGGTCACTGCCTCCATCCTCATCAGCCGCCGCGTACTTTGCACGGGACCGCAGCCCGATCAGACGAGTGCCGGTGTCCTCAGCGGACTTCGAGCAAACACAGTCCACGGCGTCGGGCCCCCGGAGCTCCTACGCTGCTCCGCGACCCAAGGAAAATTTCGAGCCGCGCTATGCGCCTTATTAAATCCTCGGTGCCAAGGTGAGCAACATAGTGAGCAATCTGCTATGGTTCGTTCTCCGAAGAGTGGGTCCTTTAACTGTAAAACGGTACTGGGCAGTGGAAACTGGGATCTCTAAAATCCATTGTAGCTCGGATTTGTTAAGGTGTTTAATCCTGTGAAGATAGTGGGGGTTTGAGTCAGGTTTCTGAAAAGGGAATTTGCTCTCTTTCTAGGTCGGTTTGTCAACCACAGGACTTTCACCTTTGCAGGCATATCAAGCTACGTGAATTCATCGGTCTGAGCCGGGTGTGGAAAATTAAGATTGGAAATTTCCCGCCGTCTTCGGGGCAGGCGAGATGGCGGTTGCCTGCCGATCAATTTTTCTTTTATTCAAATTCACTTAACCTGTTCAATAAGAATGAATGGCACCGTTTTAAATATATTATGTATAAAACCATAATATGTTCACTCGCTCAGCAGGTTTCCACTTCAGTTTTTAGCCATTTTCCTTTTTGTGTGTGTGTGTGTGGTTGTCTTTCTTCCTCACATGAAGAAAAATTGTTTAATTTGGCAAATGTAAATTGTTCGGCTTCTGTTTTAATATATGAATATGTACTCTTTTGAATGGGATGGGGTTTAATGTGCTGCATTAGTTGCTTGTAGTGCAAAAGAAGCTTACTGTGCTCTTAGACACATATGGGACTTGATAAATATCAGTTACATAAAATTGTATAAATGTTTTTTCAAAAATGATCTTCATTGGCGTCTTATCAATGTACTGTGACGGCGAGGACTCTTCTGGTATGTGTCGTCGCAGCATAAACCGTTTTGCTTGAAAGGATATTATACTCCATAAGCAGTCTAGTAGTGGGTGAGAGAAGAAACCTGAGCTTGTGCATAAATGGACTCAGTGGTCCACACTGAAAAAGACAATAACCAAATCCATGAAACTGACGTGTTCAGTTAGGACACAGAATCCCAGAGTTATTGTGTATTTTAAGAAGAAACAAACATTCCATCCTCATTTCTTTTTTTTCCCAAAAGAACACAAAGAAATACTTTAAATAAGTTGTTTGCAGATCAGAAATCAACCCTTGATTTAAAGATTTTGCAAATAAGAACGGGAGCCAACGTGCATGTGACGTGTAAAGTAAACTGGCCCTACCTCTTACCTGAAAATAAGCCTACATCTGGGATGGACGTTCATATGCTCGAACTGATACAGGAATGTGAGGCAGCACTCTGCTGAGGGAGTGGAAGTCCAGGGGTACTGAAGAAGGTGGTTTGGTTTTGCAAAGAGGTGGATTTGAGGTTTTGTATTTTTCATACTAGCTGTAAAAGTACCAGCATGAATACAAACACCTAAAGTTAATCCAATTTTAAATAAAGCCCAAGTTTTTGATCATCATGGTTCACAACTCTGGATAGTTCTTAAATTAAAGTATTGTTGTTATTCTTGAAATGGGGTCTATTACAATATGGATAACATTTAATGTTCCAGTGTATAGGTTTTTAAAGACCAAAATTAGACAACCAGTTTGAATAATCAGAAATCAAAATCGACATTGTTTTCTATGCAATATTTGCATAGATCAGTCTTCAAGGGGTCTTAAGACACGTATTACAGGAAAGAACATTTTCATTTTCTAGCAGCCATAATTATCTTCAAGTGTGTCTTATTTTGTTAGGTAGAAAATAGCCTAGTTATTGTAATCATTTTTCTAAATAGAAGCTGGCGACATGTAAATATATTGCATCGCTCGATAAAAGTTGTTTCAAAATAAACCCATAAACTTGATTTCTTTACTGTGCCAGATGTTGGATTGGATGTGCTTCAACAGTAAGCGTTACGGTTGAGTGCTACAGCACTGATCTACTGAGCAAAATCGATAACTGGGTTAATAGCACGTCGCTACCTCTTTCTTTTTGTTTCCCTGTAAAATAAATAATAATAGATGTGGGACACAATAGATGTGTCCCAAAGAGACGGGACACGGGATGTGCTCACTTCCGGTGGGGGTCTCATCTTCGCCCTGGACCGTCTGCCCCTCCCTCTTCTATCTCGCTTATGGTCCCGCCCACAGACGGCCCGTGGTCCCTCCCAAAGTGCTAACCGAGCTAGCTCTCTTTGGCATGGTGTTTGCATGGTCACGGGCCATCTTCGTCAATGTTAGTCGGTAAAGCAGTTATTGTCATTTGATTCTTCGAGGGACGAGGCGAACATCTCAGCTTTTAAAAGGTATCAAATAATTCAATGCAGCGTAATGAATCTAAAAGTTTCGTTCTGAAAAATATTCCACGTTATCCAGCCACCTAACGTTAAGAAATGCTAGCTAGGCCCAAAACGGACATGTTTTTTTTTTACGGATTCGCGATGCTAATGTACGTAGTAAGTTAACCAAATGCTGTCTGCGTGTGCAGCGAAGGCCGAGACGTGTAGGGTGAAACGTGAAATCCCCCTTTTGATTTATTTTTTTAATTGACTAAACTACAACATCGTGGTCTAACGTTAGCTTCAGTGCTACCTGTTAAGCCACCATTTTGGTAAATCCGCTAACTTGACTAGCGCTATTTTAGTTAGCTGCTAATGCTAAATTAAATAACGTTCTTTATATAAGCGGACCTTGCGCTGTCAATTGAAATACGACGGTTGAGTCCAAAACATTTATGTCTGTACAGGTTAAGCCCATACATGTTGGCGACGTAGACAAAGATAACACGTTACGGAGCCATTCTCCGTGTTCCGCAGACAATTTAACCGTTTGCGTACATGTACATTCTCGATCGATACTGGGATTTGCACAAAATCGCTTTTTAATTTTCAACTAAACAACGAGCCAGTGGCCGTTAAGAAAATATATATAATGCATTTCTCATATATGAATGTGACTGGTTAACATGATCCGTTCTTTCAATGAGTGTTTATTAACCTAAAGGCCTATTCACTATGCATATAATGACGTCCTCAAATGGAATATGGAATACCAGAATAAGTGATGAATCATTCTTACAGGTTTGCATTTGTTTCTAAATCGTTGCCAAATTAGGTCAATCTGCCAGATATACATATAAATGGTTTCTATTGCCATATTTAGTTTTAGGATTTTAGGTTGTATTTAAAGGTAGATAAGCGAGTAGGTAAAGGTTTCCCCAATGGGATACATTAAATAGCCTGCTGCTGCTGTTGATTTTTATTCTATATTGCTAAAACACAATATAAACTTGAAACCATCGTGTTGACCCTGAATCTGTAGGAGGGAAACGAGAATCGGGGAAAATTGCACGTTTCATAAATGTGTTGTAACGGTATTGTTTACAATTCCAATCTTGATTTCTCTTCTTCCTTAGTGACGTGAAAGCTCCACAATGGTGAAAATATTCATTGGGAACTTGTCGCCAGACACCACATCAGATGAACTTCGCTCTCTTTTCTCCCAATATGGCAAGATCGGGGAGTGCACTATTGTCAAGAATTTTGGCTTTGTGCACATGGACGATAAAGCGGAGGCGGAGGAAGCCATCAGCAACCTCCACCATTATGAGCTAAATGGCATGCCAATGAATGTAGAAATGAGTCGCAGCAAGTCGAAAGGGTCCACCAAACTCCACGTCGGCAACATTGCCTGCACCAACCAGGAGCTGAGGGCCAAGTTTGAAGAGTTTGGCGCAGTGGCAGAGTGTGACATAGTAAAAAACTATGCTTTTGTTCACATGGATCGAATGGAGGATGCCGTGGAGGCCATTAATCAGTTAGACAACACGGCTTTTAAAGGTGAACGCTTGGGCTGGGGTTTATAGGGAGTTAACCTTTTTTATTTGTCTTATCAAAAATGTCATTCTGTTCTAGTGGTTTGAATGGGTAAGTAATGGACATACAAGAGGTAAGTATCAAGAGAAAACTGAAAGATAACAAGAAGCTGAGGAAAGCGAGGCAGCTCTTAATAGTTTTAAAGCTGGTATCCGTAATGTCGTTTGTTTGTCTGATGGATTCAAGTGATTTACAAATGGCCCCTGTTCCATTTAGTGACTTAACAGGTCACACGTGTTCTAGCTGTAAATGCAAGAACAGTCAGTGTAATACTAGAAGTAATGACTCACTATGTTTGTAATTATATAAATCAAACTGCATTACGGGTGTAAAACAGATGTGCTTGCAGTCCTGTTTGCTCTATTTTGTTTGTGCACACAGATGTGCAAGATGTGATCATAGATTTTGAGCCGCACATATACACACTACGTGTGAACCTTCTGCGACACGGGCAAATATGATTAAATCTTCATCACTTGGACCCTTGAAAAATTTGAGTTAAACTTTGACGTGTTTTAGCATCAGCTGATAGCTCTCTTGCGTGCAACAGTCAATCACACCTCGGAGACCTTTTCTTTGTTATTGGCTTGAGTTCCCTTTTGCCACTGCGGTGAGTAAGAATGTGTGGAAAGTTACGGATTTCAGCTTTAATACCTTTTTTTTTAATGCTTAAATCTTAAGCCATATCATAGTAATATTTGAGTAAATTGCAGCTTTTTACTAGACTAATGGTTAGGAGACATTTGTATGCCAGACAGAAAAATGTTAAATATTTGGAATTAATGCAGGCAAAGGTCCTCATTGAGTCTTTTTCTTTTTAAGGCAAACTGATGAGCGTGAAGCTTTCGACTAGCCGCCTGCGTACTGCGCCGGGAATGGGAGACCGATCGGGTTGTTATCGTTGCGGGCAGGAAGGCCACTGGTCCAAAGAATGTCCTCTAGACCAAAATGGCTTCCACAGAAACGGCTCAGAGCCAAAGTCTGATGGATTCGATGACTCGAGATTTGGGCGAGCACGCTCGCAACAGGGGTTATCAACCGGGACTTCAGTGGCGACCCAGATTATGGTGCCCGGCTTTGCACCTCCACATGGTTTTCCCCGGGGTGCCGGTCACGGCGGCAGCATCCCGGGGTTCGGACGGGGTTCGGGCTACGAGAATGCAATGAGATTCGGGCCGCACCCCGGTTACAGCTTAAACGCTGTTGCTGACCATAGCATGGCTCGGATGTACGGCAGCGAGGCGGCATACAGGGGCAACGGCTCGCTCTATGGCGCGGTACCAGGCTACCCGATGCGACGGTCGCCTTACGAGGAACGGGATCCGTACGGGGTCGTGGACTACTACGAGAAGTTCAGGGCCAATGCTTTCGGAGGCAGTTATTTTGAGGAACCCCGCGCCGCCCCCTTGCCTGCTCCATCAACACCATCCTCCACACCTTTAATGAGGGATCGTCAGCCCCCCTCTAGCGTCGATGCATACGAGTGCCCTCCCCACCCTCCTCCAACGGCCCCAGTCTCCTCATACTACGCACGTGATCGAAGTCCGATTCGGAGAGTCCCCGTCGAGGCAGAGGGATTCACATATGAGCGCTCGCGCCTTTCCCCTGTGCCCGCCGTTCCAAGGAGCTCTACCTTTGACCATTCGGGCGCTGATCGTGCACGATTTACTTACTAATCCTTGTCCCACAGTGCCAGGTGGGGGCTGCCTGTCATTTTAATAGAGAGGATAGCCGAAGGGCCATTGGAACCACAGAGAAATAAACGGTCCACATGACATCTCAGTGGTAAAATCAAATTCTGTATGTGAGGAGTAGTTATTAAGAATGAGGCTCAATACATCTTACCAACCGTAAAGCATAAGAGTAGATTTCAATGTTAATACTTAAATGCCCCTCACAGGCTATGAGCTCATACATTAAAATACACAACTGATACTAAGTTGACCACTATTCATTATCCTATTCACTAGTCGTGACATTGCTGCATTGCAATTACTGGGTTCATCTACAGCCTGTCTGACATCTATTGATGAGAAGGAATCTGGAAAAGGTTTAATGTTTATGTACTATTTAGTCTGAATAGAAACAAATGAAAATAGTGTATGGTTGCATGTTTTATAGGATAGTCATTAGTTGGATTTAACAAATACCTTTTTCAGCAGCATCTAATATTTTGCTATGTGTTTGTTTTGTGTAAGTTACCATTGTTACTCCATACGTGATGGAGCGGCGAGACAAGTTTGAGTACCGTATGCATCATCACGTAATTTTTTTTTTAATCGGCTGGCTTAAATGTTACACCTGTACCTGATTACGGATCTTCATAGTTAAACGGTGAAACCTTAGAATTAGTCACATTAAACCTTTTGTGAAATTAAGTACTTTTTATCAAATGGGATTGTGAACCTTTTTTTGTCAATAACTACATATAGATTTTCATTGCCGTGATAATCATGAACCGTCACTTCTTATTAAACTTCCTTCACATATGTCAGTTTCACAGTGCTATTTTTCTTGATTTCTTGAACGACAAGGTTATAATTAAAGCCGGTCTCAAGTACAAAACTGACCAGTGTGTTCATTGTGCGATCTCATCCGGTATATTGTGAAATTCCTTACAGTCAACGTGCAACCGACAATCAAAACGTAAGTTGGGGGTTGATCACTGTGGTGGGAGAAGGAAAAGATCGTATGAGGAGAATAAGGATATACTGACCTAAAAATAAGGTGACACGAATGGTGAGTGGTTTAGTTTGCAGATACAGTAACATTGGCATGCACATGTCTTACTCATTGGGCAACATTGGCCAAAACTGAATTCATCATTTCCACAATATAACCCTTTGACGGTGTGAACAGCAGTCTGTCCGCAGCTAAAATAACCTGCCAGATATACTGGGGATGCTCTGCAATGGGATAAATTCAAATGATTTAATTTTCATCTTTTTCCACTCGTAACACAGTGGAATTTTATTTGTACTGGTGGGATAGAAAGTGTATTTTAAAACAAATGACCATGTGATTTATTGAGAGTATTTTTCGATTGTATTGTATTCTTACAAATTTTAATTCATGGTTAAAGGTATAGTGCTACAACATTTTAGATTCAGATTTGGGAATAAAATAAATCTTTGCCCCATAGAACGCGGCCTATAGGAGGGGCCCGGTCTGGCCAATAGGAATAGATCATACAACGGCGGATCATCCCCCAACGCCCCTGGATGCATCCTTTGTGGTTTTCCGCCAGGCGCCATTTTGATTAAAGTAACGCGAGGGTGGATGGAAGTCAACGCTGTTTGATATTTTTTCCATCAAATTTATACCCGAGTCAACTGTCGGTTAACAGAAACGAGGCCATTTGAGTACGCCGAAAATGGCCACGGGCGCAAACGCAACTCCTTTAGGAAAGTTGCACCCTAGCATTGGCGCTAAACGAGGATTTGACGCTGGGCCTGGTGCGGGGAACGGGTTGATACCCGCACCGGGGCCGCCTGCACCATTCCCCTCTCTGCAAGCGTTCCAGCCCCCGATGCCAACGGTATTTCCGCAACCTCTTCAGTTCAACCCTGTGGCCGCTTTTCCCACCCAGGCTCCGCTACAACCAGCTGTGAGTGGCGCAATGGCCAAAGCAGGTAAACTTACAGAATCCCTGGCAACGTAAAGTGGAGCGCGTTTAAGCTAGCCACGTAATGTTAGCCAATGTGGCTAGTAACAGCGGCTAAAGGCCGCTACGTAAAGCCCCGGTCTGGCTCAAAATGGAGAATCCCGCTAACGTGTTTTACATTTAACGTTACGTCTGACGGGACACACAACGGTATTTAACTCACTTGCACTCATGCAATACTCCTAGCACATATATTTCATACAGTTGCACTGCACAATGTTAGCAACCGTGGGCGCCCTAAACGTTGGGCTAATAACGGAATGGCACGATGGCGTACGTTATGTTGACGTTGACTTTCTTTTGCTAGAAGTTCGTTATTAACAAGAGATCGTGCCTTTTAAAGATATCGTTTTGCTTAAAATTAACTTGTAAAACATGGTAGCTGCATATTTTGTGTGTGTGTGTATATATGGTAAAATGCCTTTCTTAAATAACGATAGTTTTACTGTATTCAGCGCAGCTTCGTGTGGTTGCCAATGGCGCGTTAATGTCACATTTCCCCGCACCTGTGAACATGCGAATCGCGCTGAATGGCGATGGAGTTTATGTCGCGTTACATCCCCGTAACGTCACGTATCCGATCTACAGTCAACGAGGATAATATCTACCCTTTCCCCTTGTAGATTTTTGTCAGAAGAAATCAAGGAAGAAGAGTCGTTGGAGCAGCGAGACGCCTGATCAGAAGACGATCATCCCGGGCATGCCCACTGTTATCCCCCCTGGATTGACCCGGGATCAAGAGAGAGCCTATATAGGTAAAATTTAAATTTAAACACCAAAGTACAACAATTTATTAATAATTAGGATTACGCTATTACTAGAATCATAAATGCAGGTCTGTTTCAGAACATGTTTCCTTACCTGTGTTTTACTTGAGGTTTTAGTTCGTCCAATTTTTGCATCAACTGTTGAGACAAATCCATCATTTCCAATGATTATAACCTGATTATGTAAGTTGTGAGTTAAGGATATTTCCCTTTTCAATGGCAGTGTTTCAGTGGTCTTCTATGCTGTTGGTCACACATATTAAGAGGAGTTTGAGATAGTTATCTAAATCCCACTGCAGCTGTCATGAGCTGCAGGTCACTACTCACTGCCTTGATTTGATCCCCACACATCAGTGTTGTTCCGGTGCATGGAGGCATTACTCATAATGTTTGGGACATGCCAAAGTGTGCTTCTGTTTCTATTGGTCCAGTTGTGCACAATGCTGCTTCAATGGCAAATCAATCTAACATGTTTTAAGTTCCTCATCCAGGGAATTTAGTGGGAACTGCAAATTGGGGAAATCTTGATCAATGTGATTGTGCTCTTACTTTTGGCCTGTAAAATCGAATCAAAAATATCATTTTTAATGCCTTCCAGCAGCAGTGTAGCATTGACCTACTGCCTTCACAAGCCCTCAACAAGGTGTCCTGAACCGTACAAGTCATTTTGTCAATAACGGACATCGTGATTTGTGTACTCATTGGTAATGGTTCTACTTCTTTGGTATGTAAACATTCATTCGTATCCACCTTCTGTGGGTCACGCTTATTGTTTTCCATGGCTCATTCGGTAGATCCCCTAAAACTCAAGGAAAGCATTTTTAAGATGAAATTGTTTTGCACCAAATTTCCCACGGCCTGTATTCATCTCTATAATCCAAAGTAATTGATTCAGTGACCGGTGAACTCTGAGGGTATTTCGGGGTTACAGCTTTCATAATGTGCATGGGATGACTGACTGATTTATTTTCTCATTGCCTTCTAAGTGTAAGAGTTGTGTTTCACTTTTGCCCTTCCGTGTTAGTCAATCGAGTGCAACGAGTAAATCTGGTAACCTTTTTTTGTTATAAAACGTTTAAGACAAATAGACCAATCAGTGATGTTCAGACCCGATGTGTCCTCAAAATGCCAAAGCCAAAATACGTGAAGCTTCTTAATGAAAGAACGGAGAGGAACGGTGGTTGGTTATCAGGCATTTTTAGGAATCGTGGTCTAGACATTTTACTGATATGTTTCCATGTTTAATCATTGTGAGAAAAAGTTAGTCCGGTCTATACTAATGTAAATTCCCTTGAACATATTAACATTGGGTAATGTGTTCCTCTGATGTCCTCCCATGTGAATAAGTGATTCCATGCTTTAGCCTTACCAGATGCTCATTTGATCTCACTTTATTTTTGACTTAACCGACTCACCATTTGTCTTAACCTCAGTAATGTGTGAGACAGTGCTCTAATGTGCAGAGCTTTGTCTCTCTGATGTTGTTGTGGTAACCACATTTCTCTCCATCCTTGTTTTTCTTTCCTAACCTGAATTCTTCCAGTCCAACTGCAGATTGAAGACCAGACTCGTAAACTGCGTACAGGAGACCTGGGAATCCCTGTTAACCCTGAGGACAGGTCGGAAAAAGATTAATCCCATGAACAGTAACATTTTCTCTACCTTCTTGACTTTTTGGAAGACAAATGTTGATTTTCACTATTTATTTTGTTGTTAGTTGGCACATGTAGAGTTTATTAAGCCATCGCTTTAGTGAAATTCAACATTTTAAAACTGTCGTTCATAGTATCAGAGGGTAGTGCTAGAGTAGAATTTACCACACTAATACAAGTTTGTGTAAAATAGGATATGGTTGCTTACAAAATATAGACATGGTTGGTTACTTACCTGGGACTTTTGATATTTGGACATGATATACATAATTTCAATTATTGGGCATTGGAGTGTAAGACTTTCAAGAAATACATAATAATGGAATGGATAATCATTGAATGCATGTTTCAAACACCATTAAAAGAAAACTAGTTTTTCTTTTCTCTTCCAATTAGAAATATATTTCATTAAAATCATTGGCTGAAGTGCAAACTTAAAGGATTTTAAACAATTAGCTGTCAGTATAAAAATGTATAAAATCTCTTGTTTTTCAACAGGGGGGGAGCAAAATATTTCCTTGAGTTTAGTGAATGTGTTTTTCTATTTTTATTTAATCCTTACTCAATGTATTATCGGTTTCATTAAGATGTATTGACCAACTGTCAAGGGTCAGATGTCGATGGGAGGTATGAAGGTGCATGCAATAGGTTGTTAGGGTGCATTTCAGATGAGACGCTTAACCAAACCACCACCAGAACATAAATATTTGCACCTTTTTCTCAAATTATTTTATGAAATAATTATTTGACAGTTAAATTAAGTCTTTGCCTCAGGCTTGTTTTATGTGTCTGATGTACAGTGCTGTGTGAATATACAAATGCATACATGATGCATAATGTTTAAAGACTTTCCTCAAACAGGTTTGGGTCTAAACACCACACTCTAAATCTAATACAATTTTCTTGGCTTTTATTATTTCATATATTTTTAGCTTTTGAAGTTGTAATTGTTCAGATGAATTGGCTCTTTCGGGATAGTTGGTTGGTACCAAAAGGATCTCAGTCCCATCAATAATGCCGTCCCTGACTTTTTTGGACCTCTTAACTTTTTTTTGCCAGTGGTGATTGGGCTCATGGCCTGTAGCCTACAGTTATCAATAGGTTTTGCTTTAGACTTAACAAATGATTTGTGGCTGGTCTTCTCTGGTTTTTCCCCTTGTGTGGCTTTAAGTACTTTCACCCAGAGGGAGCATGTTCCAGTTTTCCACCCAGACTCTTTAGGTCTGGAAGAATCTGGTCAGCTTATAACCTAGTTTCCATATGGATCTGTTCCCACAGGATGTGCCTCTCTATAGAGTGTGTGAAGGTAACATTTTGTTAGCTAGAGTTTCTGTCGCCTGAACATTCTATATAGACTTTCTCTCCATAATCAGACGTTTCCACAGCAACCAAAAAGTTGATTGCAGAGCTGCAGCACTCTCAATCACTCCCAAGTCTAAAGTGACAACTGGGGGTGTTTCAGGTTGTCACCGTTGGAAGCTTGAAGCATATAAGGAAAAAAAGCCTATATATTTTGTACTCTTCACATCACATGGACACAAATGTGGCTCTCTGATGGGAGAGCGTAGGAAAAGGTGGATATCTAATCTTAATTCCTTTTCTCTAACCCAAATTACCCCACATCAACCTAACCCTTTTTCAAGCACAGAGCCTCCTTAACGCAGCAACACAGGTTTTCAGCATCCATGGGGAGGTACGGACCTCTTCCGCCACGCCAACACCAAGCAACTCTCAAAGACAGCGTTTCTGCTTAGGAATGCAAATTTTGCTTTAGTTTATTTTTCTTACCTCCCAACTTTCCTTTCTTGTAGGCCAACAATCCTGTATGCAGGTTAAGTTATGGCCGTGTCATTTTTTTCTCTCTGTGGTTGCTGCCCTTCTGGTGTATTGGGTTAATTACCACGATACAGCTTTTGTTGCCCCCTTTTTACCCTGAAATGTATAAAAGAATAGACTCCAGCCATTTAAATGTCAGTGCAGAGTTCCTACAGCCTTTTGGTTTTGAGTTTTCTCTTGCACTGGCCATGAGTCGCATAGTCTACCTGAGAATTCTCTCAGTAGATCCAAATTTCTAAAATTGTCTTATTTTCTTAATATTCTTTTCTAAGGCATATCAGTAAAAGATCTGAAATTCTTAGACTTTGTTAGCTGTAGGAGCCTTTTGTTTTGTAATTGTCAGAGCTCCACTTCTAGGAAGGTATCAATGATGTCTTTCCTGTCTTTTGTCTGCAACTTTCAGGTCTCCCTCTCCGGAGCCCATCTACAACAGCGAGGGCAAGAGGTTAAACACTCGCGAGTATCGCACCCGAAAGAAGATTGAGGAGGAGCGTCACTCCCTCATCACCGAGATGGTTGGACTCAACCCAGACTTCAAGCCTCCTGCCGACTACAAGTACAATTTGTGCCTTTGACTATAGACAGTCAGTTTTACTTTAGTGGTTTAACGGATCACTGATCGATCCGTGATGAGTTCAGATCAGCCCTCACGGTTCGGATCTCTTGTGAGCCGAGGAGCAACAACCGTTTTTGTTTTTGAATGGTGTAATCATAGTATTAGTTTTAATGCGGATGTTCCTTTTTATAGTAACAAGTCCCTGAATTAATGTTGCATGCAGGGTAGGGAATTTACATATTTTTTAAGGGGCAGTTTTTGCCACCACCAACTGAAATTCAGGGGTATTTTTAGAGAATGGTTGTTCCTACGTAGTACAGAAGACGCATAGGTCGAACAAAACAAGAACCAAAAACAGTTTGTTACTTGTGATGAGGCACTAATCTAAACTTTGAAAACCACCGGTCAACTGAAGTTTCAACTAATTGTATTTTACCAAAATAGAGGATTGGTTGTCAACCACAAGATGGCAGCGGATTATGAGGAATGGGGGGGGGTGGATCTCTCTCTGACTGCACTCGCTAACGTTAGGTAAGTTAGCCTTTGTGGCTAACGCACTCTCGGAGCTAGCTAACGTTAGCTAGCTAGCTATTTTCCTTTTTTTGATCGTTTGATCGTTGGCTGCATGAGTTATTTTTGGAACCTGAGATGGTGATGGAGACTTTTACCGTATCCTCATTTTTTTCTCACACTCACAGGTCTGATTAAGAAGTGCTCCATTTTTAGTCTTCACGCAATATAAAAAGAAAATCAAACATTCTATTGCAAATGGACTAGGCTACAATGTTTCATTAGTCGAGCGTTCATTAAATTATTATTATTAGATAAGGTTGTGAGGGCATTTACACAGCGCGTCATTGTAAGGGAGACATAGCCTCAGGTGCAAGCTCTTGCTTACCGCCTTCTGCTTGTTGGGGAAAAAAAGATGCCAAGCGTGAAATCTGGAAGTACTTTGGCTACGTTGCATAGCTGTTTATAATCAATGCCACGGCACCATGTCGTTTTCGTTAATATCTGGCTGTAGGCTAATATAGAGTATAAAGCTAATAAAGTGTTCAAAAAGCTGTGAAGGAACCAGCTGTTAAAAAGGGAACCATAGAGGTTTTATTTATTACCATTACAGATGAATATTGTATGGTATGTGGTATTGTAACAAATTCTGGTATTGTAAGTATCTGCCATTGTGATGTTTATGGCAGGTATTGTGTTGTAATTTTGCTATCGAGACAACCCGACCCTGAATATCAAGTATATCAGTAAACCGATATAAAGCAGCAGTAGTGTGTTCACGTGAATAAAGTGTGTCAGGAGTATTTAATGGTGAAAGTCATAGTGAGCAGAGGTACTTTAAAGGCCGCCGCCTCTGAAGCTATAAGACAAAACCATTGCGTTATGCCAACACTGTTTACAAAGAAAGCCATACGAACACCAGGTACTCTGACTTGCAGCATTTAGGAAATGGTGTGTGGCAGAGTCCGACCGGGCTAAAGTTATTACAGCATCAATTTGATAATTGAGTCTCACGTAAAGGAAGGGGGTATCGAGTTAAGATAATTCATGTTGGACTTAAACAGAATTGAGTATTCAAATTAATTTATTTCTTGTTTCAAATTAGATACTTATTAGAACTTATAGCCAGCGTTTTTTATTTGTGGTTTGAAGAAGTTATATTTAACTCCTCCTCCTCTATGCTCATTCAAAAAATAATCCAAACTGTGAACCGAACCTTGAGGTTTGTGATCCGTTGCACTGCTAGGGTTAATTTAACCAGTGTGTGTGTGTGTAACACGTTTTGTGGTTTATAATGTCTAATCAAAAAAAGCTGGAAACGTACCAAATGTTCGGACACCTGATCGATGCTCCTACTAAATGTTTACCTTGTATTTTTCCCGTAGACCTCCAGCCACCAGAGTCAACGACAAGGTTATGATCCCCCAAGACGAATACCCTGAAATCAACTTTGTTGGTCTGCTGATTGGACCACGGTAAATGAGACAAACGATTAAATCAAATTATTACTATCATGTTTTGTCACAGCCCGCACTGTTGATCCTGAGCCTTTTTCCCCCTTTCCTATTCTACCAGTGGTAATACACTGAAGAACATTGAAAAGGAGTGCTGCGCCAAGATCATGATCCGGGGTAAAGGCTCTGTGAAGGAGGGGAAAGTGGGCCGGAAGGACGGACAGATGCTGCCGGGAGAAGACGAGCCTCTGCACGCGCTGGTCACTGCCAACACAATGGAGAACGTCAAGAAAGCTGTGGAGCAGGTGGATCCTCCGTTGCACACCCGAGGAATGTTGCACGTTTTCTCGGCTCCTAAATTACATTCACACTGACAAATCGGTCCACAGATTCGCAACATTCTGAAGCAAGGCATTGAGACGCCTGAGGATCAGAACGACCTACGGAAGATGCAGCTGAGGGAGCTCGCCAGACTCAACGGCACACTGAGGGAAGATGACAACAGGTCAGTCCTGGCGCTTTCTGCAAAATTCCACGTGAGAGATGGCAACTCTCACAACGTCTATGTTCAGCATGAACTGCAGAGCAGCGCTGAGGACCGAATGTACCCGCTTTTCTCTGTAGGATCCTTCGTCCTTGGCAGAACTCTGAGCCACGCAGCATCACCAACACCACCCTTTGTACAAAGTGTGGTGGAGCAGGTCACATCTCCTCCGACTGCAAGTACACCAGGTGACCATCAGTTTAATCACAAAATCCACCCATTTTCACGTGGTAGTGTCCATCTTTCTCTAACAGCGGTTTCTGTTTTGCTTCGTGCAGCTCGTTCGCTGCCCACAGAGCGACAGGCGGCGAGCCTCCTCAGTCGGCCCAGGACAAGGCTCGTATGGACAAGGAATATCTGTCCCTGATGGCCGAGCTGGGGGAGGCCCCGGTCCCCACATCTGGTGGAGGACACTCCAGCAGCCAGGGAGGATCGCAGCGGTCCTCAGGACTCAACAATAACCATCAATCAGTGAGTTTGTAACACTTGTGATTCCATACTCCTCAACATACCAGTGTAATAGAAGAGAGTCCTCAACCACTACTGTGTTCGTGTGTGCGCGCTGCAGAACCGGCCTCCTTGGATGAACTCCAGTCAGTCTGAGAGCAGGAACTTCCATAGCATGCACGGGGCACCTGGTGGCCATGGTGGCCATGGTGGCCATGGTGGCCATGGTGGCCATGGAGGACACCATAGCTACCCTCCCCCCATGCCCAACATGGGAGGACCACCTATGCCCCCCAACCCGAATGGTCTGCCTCCCCCCTGGATGCAGCCCCCCCCTCCTCCCATGGGACAGGGACCAGGACCTCATGGACATCCCATGGGTAAGCACTTTTGTCGTATGGGTTTGACATAACAGAGTCTAAACTCTTCATTTCTAGAAGTCTGTCAAGAGCAGAAAAACATCCTGAAAATTCCCTACAGATAAGAAAAAAAAAACATTAAAATGTCAATTGCCATTGGATGTTTTGACCTTTTGTACAATATCAGAATAATCTCTTTCCATACATGTTACATGCTGTAATCAGCGACTCTACTTTAACTTTTAATATTCCACTATGCAAAACATAGAGGCTACTGGATTGTAGAATGAAACACAGCTGACCACTTTATGATGGCATCTATTTGAGTAGTAAATACAAATTTAACAGTAAGTTTATTTTTAGGAAATTCTTTAGGAAAAAAGGACGACGCTCCAGGCAATCTTTGAACCCAACAAAAATGAGCCAAACAGGACCTTACTTTGGCTGCAATTACTGTGCTAAGGGTGAAAACTGATACACACTTCAAAAGGGATTCCCATCACTGACCAGCATAGCCAATAATCAATTAATAATGAATGATCAATTTGCATATAGCAAACTTGCTTGTATTTTGGTTTTCTATTAGGTCTGCTGCCACCGCCAATGAGCATGATGCCGCCTCCACCTCCTCCCCCCAGCAACCAGCCACCTCCTCCTCCCTCTGGACCCCTTCCGCCATGGCAACAGCAGGCTCCACCACCCCCTCCCACCAGCAGCATGGCAACCAGTACACCGCTACCATGGCAACAGAGTAAGACCCACTCAAAACCATTTAAAGTCATTCAATATTTTTCGATTCAACGTGCACAGTTCTGTCCGGGACGTTTTGTCAGATGGTTCAAACTTTTTAGACCAGTGGAGGGGGTGGGGGAGCCTCGTTGAGAAGAGGAAGTGACATAAAGTCTCCAATTACACCCGAAAAGGTCACTGCTTTTCTTTTTAAAGGGTGCCAGCTTGGGTCAAACCATCCTTGCGGGGGAGGGGGCAGGTTTTTAAGATAATGAAATTTGATAGCTTCTAAATATATAATTAACTTTACAAAATGAACACTTATATTGTATCAATTATTTATTTACTGAGGTAAGCCTCTCCCAGTTCGAGTGCTGCAATGTGATAAGCGACGGCAGTAAAAAGCCTCCTTCCATTCAGCACCACATACTCTGCGAGTGTTGCTTCTCAGCTCGGGTTCAGCTGAAGACTAAATCCTTACGTTCCTCACGTCAAAGCACGACAACTCGGTGTTCCCGTGCCATGTTACGTTGGCTTTGCATATTTTGACATTGACACACTTTTTTTAGAATATTTAGTGTGAAATGCTCGCACACCATGGACTACTCGAACAGACGTCTTTGCCTGGGTCATGTGACTCTCAATGGCTGCTGGCTGCTCTTTCCTCACCGTTGGCGTGGCTGTTTTATTTATTTTTGCTCCACGCGCACCTCCGCAAGTCATTGAGTGATGTTTGTAACATAACAAATCGATAACGAAATTCGTTCCCAGCGCTTTTAATAATCAATTTTTATCGATTTCCTCGATTTGTTGTTGCAGCAGCCCTATCTATGTCGGGTTCAAACTCCACCATCTTTTCATTAAATACTAATACATAATTTTAGTTAAACGATTTGGGTAGCGGCTTGTTCATTTGGGGGGTGTAGTGAGCTGACCATGTGAATTTTTTGATGACATTAAGGCGTTAACCCCCACCACACAGATACAACCACCACGTCCAGCCCTGGCACCGGCAGCCTGCCGCCATGGCAGCAGCCCCAGCAGCCTGCGACCTCCGGAGCCCAGCCCCCACCACCCATGGGTTCACCATCCATGGTGCCACCTCCTCCTGGCGTCCAGCCCCCTTTGCCCCCAGGTGCCCCTCCTCCTCCCCCTCCCCCTCCCCCAGGCTCAACAGGCATGATGTATGCCCCTCCGCCGCCTCCGCCACCCATGGACCCTTCCAACTTTGTCACCATGATGGGGATGGGGGTACCGGGCATGCCCCCCTTTGGCATGCCTCCTGCCCCCCCACCTCCTCCACCCCAGAATTAACCCTTCCACAGAAGAATAGTCATCCCACAAGAGTTTCCACCCTGCAGCACATAATGGATGTGTGATCACAGAAAAAGATAACCAGTGCTTTATTTTTTATTGAGGCGACATCTGTAAAACAATGAAAGGGTGTGTTAGTTAAATTTGTAAAGTTGCGTAACTTCAGTAAATGAGTTATTTTTCTTGTTTTTAAAGTTTGTGTTAACCCAACGCTCTTTGAGTGCACACAAACATGGTTGCTCTTGGGTTCATGTTATGCATCGCTCCTGTAGTTTGTTCTTGTAAACCAAATAAAGTGCTCAATAGCCAGCTGGAAGTTTAGTTTCTACTCAATCTCACCGCAGGTTCAATTCAGACAGTTATGCTTAACTATTATTGGATTTAATATATTGAAGTTTAACTTGCATGATCCATTAAATGCCTCATTCCCAAATTCATACTCCTGTCATATTTGCCATGATGGCTTTGAATTGAATAAGATTAATATTTTTGTAATAATGATGTGAAGTGTAACTTAGTTCTGTCAGAAAACCTTTTTGTAGTACTCTCCAATTGTTTTCCAGAATTTCCAAGGGTTTTAATTATCACTGGGCTGCATCTCAGATGTGACAATAAGTTTGATAAAGGGGGATTTGATGCTGCGATCGGCCATCTTCTGACCCCTGCACTACTTGAATGCTGAGAATCTGATCTATTTTTGTTTTTCTGCTCTGATAAGACGCTGTGTCCAGTGTTTGTGTTGCTTCTGCAAGGACAAAAATATCTTCTCCCCCCCGATGAGTTAAGGAGAAAAGTTGTTAGTTTTGCTGTTTTGAATAAGTCTGTTGTGTCATGGCGCTAGCCTGAATGCAAAGCTATTGGAATCCTGCTTGGTTTCACATTAAACTGATTCATTTCACATTTTTGTCGTTGAGTATGGACTGCTTTCTCCTTTCATGGTTGTGGGACCCTTTGTGTCTGAATGCTTGCCAAGTCGTTTTTTTCTTTCCTTTTCCCTTACAGCTTTGTTGGCTGCTTCATTCACATGTTACATAACCTGGTTTGGTCGTGGCTGTCTGCTGCCTCAAACTTCCAGGAAGTGTGCGCTCTGAAAGCTATGATCAGACACACTAGATTGGAATTTTTGCTCATGCCTCCTTCTAGAAACATTCACTTCTGAGTTTCAAATGGCTTTACAGAAGTAAATACTTGCAGAGCAGTGATGTTCACATATGAGAAGGTCCAAGTTAAATGGAAATGACTATTTCATACATGTACTAACAAATCCCTCCAATTAAAGACTTCTGTTCCAAGACATAACATTTTGACAGCTTGGTAAGACTTTTATAATGACAAATTCACCTTTTCATATTAGAGATGTTGAAGAAACTAGTTTTCCAGGCCAAAAATAAAATGGCTGATTTCTTTTCCAAATTTTTTTTGTCCACTTAGCATTTCTCTCTCCCTTCTATGGATCTCATTACGTGCGGATGGCTAGAACTACTTAAGTTAATGTCTAAAACTGAATCTTAAAATTTAAATGAACGCACACATTAAACCGATTACAACCGGATATTATACACGTTTTAATAAACGCTTTATGTATCTTTATTTTAGTGGACTTTTGAGGGAGTAAATGTTTTGGCTCTAGGAGTTTTAGCTTTTGCTGTATTCATAAACAATTTAGGAATTAACTGACGTGCTTGAGTTTAGCTCCTTTCATGATTGGATTACAACGTGGTTTGTGACGCACTTGCTAATCCAACTAGTTAGCTGGCCCCAATCCCGGTTTTACTTTGAAACTCTAGACCGGAAGAGCTTGTGTACTTCATTCCACCTTGACGTGGCTACGTGACACACAACGTTATATGAGGACCTTCGCATCTCAGCGGAGCCTGAGTTCAGAGAAGACGCGGAAGAGAAGTGTGAAGGTGACCGTATGCTATTTAACTCGACGTTGAGCAGGAAGGAAGCGAACTACTAGCAATCATGGCCAAGCCTCTGACGGACCAGGACAGGAGGAAGCAGATCTCGGTTAGGGGTCTGGCCGGGGTGGAAAACGTCTCGGACCTGAAAACCAATTTCAACCGGCACCTCCACTTCACCCTGGTCAAAGACCGAAATGTGGCCACCAAACGGGACTACTACTTCGCCCTAGCCAACACGGTCCGGGACCACCTGGTGGGACGTTGGATCCGGACACAGCAGCACTATTATGAAAAAGACCCCAAAGTAAGCAGCGAAACGATGCCGCAGTCCCGCACCCGGCTGCCCGGGGGGGGGGGGGGGGGCGGGAAAAGCCCTGCAAATGAAGGGGTTGGGCTCGCACGCGCACGCGCTTTAAGGGTCCTTTGCTGTTTGGGGCCGTTTAAAAAAAAACCCCCGGGGAATTGTCTCGGTCCCGGTTTGTGCATTGAAGCCGAGTGAAAGTCACGCCGGCTGCGGGAGCTCGTCTGTTACATAACGTTCTGCGCCCGTTTCTGCTTCGGTGACCTTGATGTGATCTGCTGCGCGTCGCTCAGGAGGCTGCTTCACACGAGTCCAAATACCGGGGTCATCACGCCCTGCGCGCTGTGCGGGACCACGACAATCAACTGGTTGTTTAAATGTGTTCAGTATTACGTAACGGTAACTCCATCCCTCCCATCCCACGTGCGGCACCGCACACTGCGCATCGCAAAATGGCCTCACGGCGACAAAGGGCAAATTAAAGTATTTAAAGGGCCTTCATTATACCCCCCCCCCCCCCTCCACTGTGGACCAGGCAGGGGCCTGAGGAGGCCTGTATGGCTCAGCCCATTTGTAAATACGGACGACAGTTAATGAAAAAAAATGAATCCACAAGACGTCCAGCAGCATGTTTTCATGAAAGAAGCTTCAGTATACGGTGGAAACCACCTGATACACAAAGTTTAGGAGAAGAGAAGAGCCCATGTGACAAATCACATTACACAGCAAATAATCATTTGTATCTACCTCAGTGTTTCCCCTACCATTATAACAAGGGGTTGCCCCCCCCCACCCTGAAGAAGTGTAGAATTTAAAAAAGAAAAAGTCTTAATAGACTGACAAGGGGAACCACTGAGCCTCAGTGTTGCATCATTACCATGAACGCACAACCTGTAGTCTACTGTGACTCCATCCACCATATGCTGCCGATGACAAATTGTGGCACTACTGCTGATCAGTTGAAAATAAAAGACAAAAGCGGGGCCTTCTTTGGCCAAAAGCTCCCAAGGAAAGGAACAAAGCCATCAGATGAAGATGAAGAACCAAAGCCAAGACTCACTAGAGCAACTGTGGATTAATCTGACGTTCCCCAAGAAATGCACTATTAACTCTGTTTTAAGTTAAGTTTGCTAAACACTGTAGTGAACATCTGTTTTACAAAAAGATATATTTGTGAGCTGTTGGGCTTTGAGTTAGATGGTTAGTTAGTGCCGGCAGATGCGGCATTTTCATGAGTAGAATCGTATCCTCCAGTAGTCCGAGTTGCAGGGTGAGAAGTCGGAGCGCTTTCTGTGTGAATGCAAAACTGTTCGGCTCTCGGTTTTCTTAAGTGGCTCCAAAACTACTGTGAAGTCATTGTACCCTTTGGGAACACAAGCACAGACCCTCCCTCTCCTATTTATACTGCGCACCAAATGCCTTTGTCACTTTGCCACGTGCTCTTTCTTTTTCCACGTCCTTCATACGAGTGGCAGCGTCAGTCGGCAGCAGGATCCCGTGTCCCGCTGCCAGGCGCGTTCCACACGTCCTCACACAGTTTGACCCCTGTTTGTACTCGGTACGTGGGTGTTACACTTCACTAAGCGGTGAGGAGATGTTCAGTGTTCCCGGGGGCTCCTGATTTGAGTCCCCTCTGTGGAGGGAAGGAGATCCTGTTCGAGGAGCTGCCAGATATAGCTGTGCTGCTGTGGCCTCTGACAGCTGTTTGCTTCTACAGGGTCAAGAGGGATTCATTATTGGTATACTTGGAATTCCTGTAGACTATTGAATTGTTGTGGGAATTATTTTTGTTCATATAGAAATGTTGAAGTTATTTGAAGTTTAGATAACATTTGAGTAAAAGTGATGAAGCCCAGTGATCCCAGAATGCTTCTTGTTTCTCTGCAGCGTGTCTACTACCTCTCCCTGGAGTTCTACATGGGTCGCACTCTGCAGAACACCATGGTCAACCTGGCCCTGGAGAACGCCTGCGATGAGGCCACATACCAGGTGAGATAAACTATCTTTGGGGAGGGGATGCTAGTTCACATACTCAGATCCACTTGTTCGCCAAAAGTAATTAGACACGTGAACAAAGTGCATTAACGCCACCTTTGTGCTCCCAGGCGAAACTTACATTTTTTCTACTCCTGTGGTTGTAAAACGAAGTCTTTGAATAGAAGTCTGAGTCTACTCTTGATTTATAGACTCAGCGAACATGAGTCTATGGTCTAAATCTCATGAAGTAAATTGTAAATTGTAATCCATTGAGTCAAATACACAAAAAATAGCAGTATGCCTTAGGGTGGGTTTACCATGATTGACAGTTCGGAAACCAAGTTAACGTCGAGACAACTACGTCCTCTTCCTTATAATCCGTCTCTGAGATGGGGGCATAGTCACGTTGGTCGGAAACAAGCCAGACCAGCTGCCAACACAAAGTCAGAACACATTACTCTGAAGGATTATACGCTTTAATTCCCCTTAACTGGAACTGAGATCACCCAACAATATGTGCACAAGCGTGTCCTCATGCTTTTGACTGTACAAAGCGATAAACCCCCAACTTTCCACACAGTCAACATGTCCTATGAAATGTAAGTGACTGATCCGAGGTATAACACACACGTATAACAACATATTTAACCAAAGCCCTGGTAGTGTAGTGCTGATTTAGTGTTAAACTAAGTAGATTTGGAATTACAGTTCATAACGCAGGCTCCCAGTTATACATTTATCAAGGTGCAAGCTGAAATAAACAACCCTAGTAATGTCATCAGTGAAATAAATAAAACGTTATTAAGTGTCCCCTTTAACGACTATGAGTAGCAGTAATGGCTACAGGATTCATGATGGAAAGACGAGGACTGGTCCAATGTCCACTCCAGGTAACGTGCCCGGGAGCTGATCCTTTTTAACGCAGTGACCGTGTGTTGGTGTGTCCCTCTGCAGCTGGGCCTGGACATGGAGGAGCTGCAGGACATTGAGGAAGATGCCGGTCTGGGCAACGGTGGTCTGGGTCGCCTGGCTGGTGAGTTCCTGCTGCCTTCTGATTGGCTGCTGACAGACGGAAGGTGGTGTTCAGTGCTCTGGGCAGACTCGACTCAAACGCCCCCACCCCCATTTTCTTTCCTAAGCTTGCTTCCTGGACTCCATGGCCTCTCTGGGCCTGGCTGCTTATGGATACGGCATCCGCTACGAGTTTGGCATCTTCAATCAGAAAATAGTTGAGGGCTGGCAGGTAGGTTCACCTGGGGTGTTTATTTTGTTGTTGATGTTGTAAACAAGCTCATTTTAAGACCAAATATATCCTTTCTACTTATGTTAAACCTCACTGAGGGTTCATTTCTTTTCAGGTTACTGTTGTTAGCTGAACTCTCCTTTAGTGTGTGGGTTAGGGTTAGAGCTTCCAATGTGAAAATAAATGACTGAAAGAATACAATACAATAATACAATCATCAATAAAACAATTTAAATATGTAAATAATAATAATGTTAATATGTGTTTGTCATTGGATACATTTCTTTCAGGCCTTTATTCATACACAACTTTCTTAATTATTGAATTGTTTTGAGTGATTTATATACTCCGCAAAGGGAAAGTAAAAAAAAAACCCAAACATGGCTCTGTGTTTATAACAAGGGGTATGTCTGTATGTGTTTATGTCTAAACATTGAGTGCAAGAAATTGTTTGTATTTCATCAAACAGACACAGACCTGTGATGGTAGTTAACAGAAGAAGCTGTGTATCCGTGTGGCAGCCCTCTGTGATCTGTATGTTCATTGGCACATGTCGATGATTCCACAGGTGGAGGAAGCTGATGACTGGCTGCGCTACGGCAACCCCTGGGAGAAGGCTCGCCCCGAGTACATGCGTCCGGTCCACTTCTACGGACGAGTGGAGCACACAGAGGAAGGAGTGAAGTGGGTTGACACACAAGTAGGTATAGCGACCCACTCCAGAACAGACCTGTTTATTAAAACGATGCTATTTGCCTCTTGTCGAATATAATGCTATCTCATTACATATTTTGCTATGGGGAAGATGAGATATTTAATACAGTCATTTATAAATATAATAATGACAAAATTATTAAAATTTGCATTGTAAACAAAAAAACAATCCTTTTTAAATTTGTTTTTTTTTAAAAAGAAAAGTGACTATGATATGTGAGCTGGACATTTAACAGACTCTGGTCCAACAGATTAAAGGTGCAATGTGTAATATCTGGCCACATGCTCCCAACAGACAGGAGCAGCATTCACTTACTACTAGGCTAAAAGCAATCAATATTTAATGTCACCAGTTATACAAATGTAACTTCTAAGGGCAGGAAACACAGAAATAATTAACATATTATACATTGTTTTATTTCTTTTCAGGTGGTTCTGGCTCTTCCTTATGACACCCCAGTTCCCGGTTACAGAAACAACATTGTCAACACCATGAGACTGTGGTCTGCTAAGGCCCCCTGTGACTTTAACCTCAAGGACTGTGAGTAGTGTTGTCTGTATTGCTGAATAACCATATTTATACAACAGTTACTAAACATGAACATAAATGATTTCCCACAGTTAATGTTGGGGGCTACATTCAAGCCGTGCTGGACAGAAACCTGGCTGAGAACATCTCCAGGGTCCTCTACCCTAACGACAATGTGAGTGGATCAATAGAGTTTTACACAAAATAGAGACAGGAATTATAAAACCACCCTTTGCAAGATTAAAATTAAAAGTATAAATTCACTTCAGCTCCTCCTTTTACGTACACTAGCTAACGTGAGGTCAGGTGGACTCTAGCTACCGAGAGAGAGAGAGGAGAGGGACCGAGAGAGACGGAGGGATCTGAGGCGATAGAAACGGAGAGTTAATACTTGCGTCTCTCTCTCTCTCCCTCTCTCTGCGCTGCGTGTGAAATCCTCAGATTTGCCTCTGAGCCTGTGCGTGTGTCCTCGTCCTTCTTATTGCTCCTTTAAAGTGACGTAACTGGAGTTGATTGAAACTTTGTTGCAGTGTTTTTTTTCTTTGTCCTGATTCGGAATTAATATGATACAATGTTGCAGTTGCCCCTTTGTTCACTCTGTGTTCACATTGCAACACTTAACAGCGGACTAAATATTATAAACAAACATCACGCGTGAGCAAACTGTTCTGTCATTGGTCCAATTTGAATGCAGCTATAAATAGACTTTCTTTTTGAGTGTGGGGGATTGGGGGAACATGAACCCAGTTGGGATGTAGAAGGGGGTGCGTGGCCTAAAACGGTAGGGATTGGTCCTCTACACCAGCGGTTCCCATTCTCCACAGCTTCATCAGCTAGAATAACAATTTCAGCATTGCATGTATTCTAAAAGATTACCTTTTCATGTTGCCGTTGTTTCCCAGTTCTTTGAAGGGAAGGAGCTGCGTCTGAAGCAGGAGTACTTTGTCGTAGCAGCGACTCTTCAGGACATCATCCGCCGATTCAAAGCCTCCAAGTTTGGCTCCACTGAGTTTGTGCGACTGGACCTTGCTTCGCTGCCGGACAAGGTGTGACATCCCAGACTGCTGTATGCACGTGTGCCTTCACTCTTTAAAGCACTACACAGTTTTCTTTCTCTCCGTCTGCAGGTGGCCATCCAGCTGAACGACACCCATCCTGCTATGGCCATCCCCGAGCTGATGAGAATCCTGGTGGACGTTGAGAAACTCACGTGGGTGAAGGTATGTGGCCCTCCAGCACTGCAGCAACACACAGACCTCAGAATCCTCAAAACGGAGGGAGGACCGATCGTTGGATAGCCAACAATGGCCCACTCGCGTTGTTTTGGACCCACCCTGCTGGTACCGTAACTAATGCCTGTTCAGCAATCCTTTGTCTTTGCTTCATTCATCACTGCAGAAACAATGAACTAGCCCACCAGTCAAAGCTGAAGTCACAAAACTTCGAGTAGGGGTGATGTTTTCTCAAATCTAGGATAACCATCTAGAAACCACTCATTTTGTCTCTTTTTCAGAGATTAGCAGCTTGAACACATCTCAGATGGGCCCCAATTTATATTAATCTAAAAGTGAGGTTTACTTCAATAATTTCAACAATTATTAGTACCTCAAAACATCACTGTTGTAGGAATTATCTAAAATTACTACGTTTTTTTAAACTCTTATTTGTATGGACTAAGCTAAACTATACGATGTTCCTTTTAGATCCTGAAAATATATAATCATATTGGTGATCATATATCACAAATTATGTTTTTGATATCAATTATATCTATTAGAAATATTGTTAATAATATGATTAGGTGAAATGCGACAAGAAGGAAAAACAATTTAGTAAAAGAAGAAAACTTGTCGCGGCGCAGGGGGTAGAGCAGGTGCACTGAGTCCCGGCTGCCCCATCAAGTCGAAGTGCCCCCGAGCAAAAATGTAAAAAAAAAAGCCATGGGTTTAAATTGTAATGTAAGTCGCTTTGGATAAAAGCCTCTTCTAAATGACCTGTAATAATAATAAAAAACTGAAACCTTTCTAAGCAATGTATGTGAACATAACCCTGGTTCCATTCACGGGCTGCATTGGCTCTAGTTGGCATCTTACCGCCGCGTTTTCCCAAGTCCAGAAACATGCAGCTCAGGTCAATTGGTTGCCTCTGAACTGCCCACATTTTACTTGGGAGGCAATTCGGTGAGGCTCCGGGACAATCACTATATTGTAGCTAAAATACACGACAAGACAACTTTTAACAGATACAGGGAATTCTGATTTATTTTCATAATTTCCTGTATGTTAAATACAAATCCTCTTATGTCCTATTCTCACTTGTTCAGTAATCATGTCAGATGTCTCTGGTGCTGTCCTCTCTGTGCCCAGGCCTGGGACATCGTGGTTCGTACCTGTGCCTACACCAACCACACCGTCCTGCCCGAAGCCCTGGAGCGTTGGCCCGTCGACCTCTTCCAAAACCTGCTGCCCCGTCACCTGGAGATAATCTACGAGATAAACCGCCGGCATCTGGAGGTAGGGGGGGGAAGCTATCAGATTTCTTTGAATGTGTGATTTAGCAGCAGTAAATTGATTAGTTTGGATGGTGGGGGTGGAGTTACGGTGCAGTAAACATTGAGTAAAGCCAAGAGGCGGTTAAGGACCATCTGAGTGCACACTCCGACATACTGAGACGTCTCTGTCCCTCCCCTTCTAGCGCATCGCCACGCTTTACCCTGGAGATCTTGACCGCATGCGCCGAATGTCCCTGATCGAGGAAGGGGACGTCAAGAAAATCAACATGGCCCACCTGTGCATTGTGGGGTCTCATGCTGTTAACGGAGTGGCCCGCATCCACTCAGAGATCATCAAAGACACCGTGTAGGGAAACCAGTCCACCCTCGTCTCTTCTGTGGCTCGTGAAGGCTTAATGTGACGAAGCCTCGGGCCGTGTTTGTGTTTGACGAGCCGCTCCAAGAACCGACTTAAGGCAGAAGAATGTCCTTAAAACCTACTTATTTACAATTGTTGTTGCTCCTCAGGTTCAAGGATTTCTACGAAGCAGACCCGGAAAAGTTTCAGAATAAGACCAACGGCATCACACCCAGGCGCTGGCTGGTCATGTGCAACCCTGGCCTGGCTGAGGTCATCGCAGAGGTGCGTTTCTTCTTGTTCATACACACGTGTGCAGAGAAGTGTGAAGAGAGCCCTGTTTAATGTGTTCATGTAGACAGTATTAGCTGACTCAGCACAGAATTTAACATTTATACTGCAGATCCACTTGTGCCAATTGTCCCCATGTGATAATTGTTTCCTTTAGAGGATTGGTGAGGACTACATCCGTGACCTTGACCAGCTGAAGAACCTTCTGGACTTTGTGGACGATGACTCCTTCATTCGGGATGTTGCCAAAGTCAAACAAGTGCGAGCTTATAATACTTGTATAGAGGTGAACATTTTCTCGGCTTCGTCCTGTTTTCTTTAAAATCTCATTCCTCTTTGGCACCTCAATGTTTAGGAGAACAAGATGAAGTTTGCTGCCCACCTTGAGGAGACCTACAAGGTGAAGATCAACCCCAACTCCATGTTTGATGTCCACGTGAAGAGGATCCACGAGTACAAAAGGCAGCTGCTCAACTGCCTGCACATCATCACGCTGTACAACCGTGGGTGTCTTTCTATTTTTTTTCTTCCGGTTCTTGGAAAACAAATATGGATTCAGAGTGAAAGCGAAAGCTTTTTGTCTTCAATCAGGAATCAAGAAGGAACCGAACAAGTCATGGACCCCCAGGACCGTCATGATTGGAGGAAAGGTGTGTGGTTGAAGGTGTTTCATTATGTTTTATTTCTGCCATTTGCTTATCTTCTGTGTGTCCACAGATATATATATATATATATATATATATATATATATATATATATATATATATATATATATGCATATGTTGAGTAAAGTTATGGGAGTACTGGAAAACATCCTGACTAGCTCCATCTAAAGCGAAAAACAGATATTTTTACTCAATTTATATTCATACATAAAGCGCAATTCCTCAAATTGGGTTTATGATTAATTTGGATATAGAGCCATTATTTATTTTCTGATTAGATTGCCTATTTTCAGTAAAAACAAGAAGCAAGTGATTCCACATAATACGGTTTCCTGCTTCCTGAAAACATTCTCTATACACGTGTTGAACTCCAGCCTGGTTCTCATTTATTTGCTGTGTCTTCAGGCGGCTCCCGGATACCACACTGCCAAGATGATCATCAAGCTGATCACATCGATTGGCGACGTCGTAAATAATGACCCCATGGTGGGAGATCGCCTCAAAGTCATCTACCTGGAGAACTACCGGGTCACTCTGGCTGAAAAGGGTAAGGCACCACTTAGTCATTTGGTAACACATTAAGGAATCACATATAGAGAATTGTGAATTTCTTGTCCGCAGTTATTCCTGCATCTGACCTGTCGGAGCAGATCTCCACAGCAGGCACTGAGGCCTCTGGCACCGGGAACATGAAGTTCATGCTGAATGGAGCCCTGACCATCGGCACAATGGATGGAGCCAACGTGGAAATGGCAGAGGAAGCTGGAGAGGAGAACCTGTTCATCTTCGGCATGAGGGTGCCCGATGTGAAGGCGATGGACATTAAGGGGTGAGCGTCATAACAGAGTTATCAAAATATTGACAGTGCCGACGTTTGGATCAAATAATCCGTCTCATAATCTGCCATCGTGTTCTTGTTTAATGTATTTTGTCCTCAGCTATGACGCCATGTCGTACTACAACCGTATCCCAGAGCTGAAGCAGGCAATGGATCAGATATCTGGAGGCCTCTTCAGCCCCAGCCAGCCTGACCTCTTCAAAGACCTCGTCAGCATGCTGATGCAGCACGATAGGTGAGAGCACACTGCTTCCGCTGAGGGACCGGCCCGTGCACATAATGACGTACAGCTTGCCGCCTGCATCTGACCTGTCGGAGCAGCTGTCCAAACGACGAGACTGACGCACATCGTTTGAGACATTTAAAGCACTGATGTGACCTCTTCCCACTGTCCTCATCAGCACGTTTCGTATTGCTTTAGAGTAGAATCCTGTGAACTGTACGTCTGTGTGCAGATTTAAGGTGTTTGCAGACTATGAGGAATACATCAAATGTCAAGAGAGAGTCAGCGAACTCTACAAGGTCAGCAAGACACTCATTGGTCCAGACGACTTCTATTTCCATGTTAGATATGCAATGTTTTACTGTATATGAGTCTATATGATATAATACTGTTCTATTCAAACTTGGTAGACCGCACTAAATTGTGTAGCATCATATTATAGTCTAGAGTGTTTCACTGTGCTGTACTGCGAGTATCTTTTTCTTGTCAGGTAATGATTTAGTTTAATCTTATTTTGTGATGTAACTCCCATCCTCCTCTCCCTAAAGGACCCTAAAGAGTGGACCAAGATGGTGATTCACAACATCGCCGGCTGTGGCAAATTCTCCAGTGACCGCACCATCTCCCAGTATGCCAGGGAGATCTGGGGCATGGAGCCCAGCCTGGAGAAGATCGCTGCTCCTGACGATCCTCGCTAACACCTCCTCACTGTAGCTCACCATGTGACCCATGTAGCTTTTCCCCCTGTGTACTGTGGCATTATTTCTTTACGTCGTGAACACTGATACCAGCTCTGTTACCAGTTAAAATTGCAGTAACCTGTATCGAAGTGGGCTGAGCCGCAATCTGGGTCCTGGTCTGTGCACCAGCAATGCACTCACTGCTGGGTAAAAACCTCCACGCAAGCATTTCAGCTGTTGGCCTACATTTCTCCTTGAATCGTGAAACATTAAAGATACACTTACTTATTTCTTTATACCGCTCCTGTTTTCCAAAGCTTTCTCATAATGGAAGTTTGAAAAAAATTTAAACTGAAAACATCAACCAGGAGCAAAGAAAATTAATGACTAATTCATATTTTTAATTTAACACTTATTCTAACCGCGTCCCCCTTCGCCTGCACAGCTGATGTGGCTCCTAAAACCTAGCAAACATCAGACAAACCTCAGCAATGTTCTGGTCCTCAACAAGCCTACGTCTTCCATGGGAGAGGCGGGTTACTCGGTGGTTGTAGCAGCACTGTGACTGCGCCGCATCAGCGGGAAGCCATTTCTTCATTCAGCACAGGAAAACCTTTGATGATTGTTCTGTATTAAAAACTTCCCAGTGTATGTGTCATGGTTTTATGTGCGTATATCCATTCTGTGTGTGTTATTAGCAGTGGAGGTCAGGGGAGCTCTGTTATCCATGAGTTTAGCTGCAATGTCCTCAGCATGTTTGTGTCTCGTTCTGCTGTACTCCCTTCATGAAAGTGACCTGTTTTAGAAGATAACAAAGCCTTCTCTGCCTAACAACCCAAAGTGACTGAATTAACCTTTGGAAGCTGTGTGTTTCTGTTAATGTAGTTTGTGTGTACAACACGTGAGTCCATGACACTGTGGCTATCGGCTCGATCGATGTACTGTAACAGCATACTGTCTGACTGACCACGCTGAACCTTTCAATTCACTCTCAGCCAGTGCTTTTCCTTTTTAGTCAATAAATGACAAATCTGAATTAACAGCCCATTTTTTTCAGCCCATTTTTGCACAGACACACAAGGTTTGTTACATTCCTGCCCCCAAAATGAAAGGATCAGATTCGGCGTGATTGATGTTCAAGCTAACCCTGCACCATAAAACCTGCACTTTGGTTTCAGATCAATTGACCTGATTATTCTGCAACAGCTTTTGTGAGCGGTCAACGGCAGATGCTTCAAAGCTTCCCCACACTGACTGATGGTAGCCTTCTGTTCCGCAAAGCAAATTTAGCTCAACACCACTGTACGCTCCCAAAAAGGGAGGAGGATCCCTCCGCCAGGGTGGACCGAATGTGGTAGATGTCATGTTTACAGAATGAACAATGTTAAAGATCTATAATATGTCATTTCTGTCGTGTTCAATGCACATGACAAATGATTCAAATATTGGTTGGTATATCAGTAAGCCAAATAATAGCTTATTACTTCATAAAGAGGATGGGCAGGACACCTGAGGGCAGTGAACATAGAAACATAAAGGTTAGAGAGATACTTTCTACTGACTACCAGTAGAGGGTGATGTAGCTACTGTAATGTACTGTGAACATTGAATGCCCTTCATCACAGAGTGATTGCAAAATGAAGTGTAGAGTGTATAGTTTGCTATTCTACAGAAATACAATGAATTAAGGAAGCGGATTAATCAAACTTAAGACAATATTCATTTGGCAAATGACTCCATTGATAATTATCAATTTATTTGCTCCTTTGGGGTTTTATATTGTTTTGTCTGGCACAGTGATGGCCTTCACTGTCTCAAGATGTCACACAAACACCTACAGGAGATTTTCCAAGTGTCCAATCAATGAGTTTTCTGGTATGAAGCTCCAATTGACGTTGGATCGTCCACGAGAAGAAGCAGCTCATGCTAATCTACCAACTGTGTGTGTGACATCATGGGTTGTGTGATTCCACACTTGGCCTCTCAGACCCGTTCCTCCTGCCCCTCCCAAATCCATATGATGGACGGTTGTCCATCACAAGCCCACCCCTCCTGCCCTCCCATCCATCATATTAAAGCCCCATTTCCCCCTTTGTGCTCTCAGTTTCCTCCACCTGATCCCCCAATTCCTCACACTCTGGGATGGACTGCAGTGATTACGGTAAGACAAACATTTTCATCAACTTCTGATGCATTTCGCTTTTAACAACTTACTTAAACACCCATATTATGTTTTTGTATATATATATATGCAGTATAAGCAGATGTATGTCTTATTATCTATTAATGGATTTATTACATTATATGTTGTTTAGCTGACGCTTTTATCCAAGGCGACTTACATTGTATTTTTAACCCATGGCTTTTTACATTTTTGTCCGGGGAGCAATTAGGGGATAGGTGTCTTGCTCAGGGACACATGGGGCAGACGAACCACCAACCTTGCGGTTCCCGGTGCACCCTCTCTACCCTCTTTATCAACTTCGCCTACTTTGCTTTAATCGTGTTCTTTTATAATGATATGATCCAAGTCTTGACACTGTGTTAATCTTTTAATACCTTTAAATACGAATGTACAAGTCATCCACACTATGTAAATAAATTGACAAAGATATTGAACACAATATCAACCTCCGAGACTTTCAGACGCATCTGATGGACTTTATTGTTGTTGTAATTGGCTCACAAGTCCTTGAGAATAAAGAAGTATTTCTGGATAAATAAATACTTCATGACAATAAATAAATACAATAAACTAGAGAGGTATCTCAGAAAGAAAATGTGCACTTTGATATTTGGAGATGACTTTAAAAGTCATCTTGACCTTTGAGGGATAGTTTATTGTTGCAATTTGAAATGGAATTGTATGAAGTACTTCCCAATACTCTGTGATTTATTACTACCTAGGGTTGTTTGGAGAAGCAGACAGGAGTACTAGTATGGGAGCAAAGTACTGTACTGCCGTGGCCGTATATTAGACACCTGTAGATAAATACCTGTTTAAACCTGCACTATATTTTGTCTATTTTCCCTGCGTCGCCGTCAAACGTCAGTCTCACGCCCTGTCCTGCTCCTTTCTTATGATTACTTTTATCAAAGTCGTCGTGGCCTCTGTGTCACTTTATCCCCCGGGCGTGCAGCTATCTCATTTATGTTAGTATTAGTGCTGCCTGTGGGTTTGGTTGGTTGGCTAGTTTCAGTTATTCCGTGACTTTTGTAAACTTGGAAAAGCAAAGTCACAGGTTCCAGGTGATGGCAGCGGTAGACCAGAAACGCCCGTGTTCTGAGAGGTTCCGAGAGGTTCTGAGAGGTGGAATGGACACTAACTTACAAAAACATAAGGGGAATGGGCCTCCTACAGTTGTTTAAGCTTTATATAACACATAATAACTCATAATGTGTTTATGTCATTGTGATCAGTTTGATCAGTGAGCCTGAGTATTTTTAATATCAATGGAGTTTGTGCGATATGCAATGACACATAAATACAATGGATAGTTCTTAACCGTGGAGGAGTTATGGTTAAAGCCACATAATATTATTTATTCCTGCATGTCTGATACGTTTGGGAGTGAAAATAAACTGAGGGTCCTCATGTTGTGTCGGTTTCCCAGAGCTGGATACCCTGGAGGTACCTCCTCTCACCCCGACCAGTAAAGAGGTCCTCAGCCAGGCGGTGAAGGCCAGTTTTGCTGGATTTGCCCAGGAGAGAATCAACCATCACTTCCCAAAGGGTACAGCCCGGGTCACATCAATACATCTTCCATTATGGGAGGTCATGGAGCTGTGAATAGTGCATTCAGAGTTGTAGATGGATTAATATATTTGCTTATGTTCAGATCCTACCTTGTGGTCTGAGTGGGAGGTGAACTACTGGCTGGACTGGTGCCAAAATGAGTTTGGTCTCCACTGCCTGGGTTCAGACCTGAGAGGCCTGCAGGGCAGTGCGCTGTGTGGCCTGGAAAGAGATGCTTTCCTGAGCCTCATGTCTGACTGCACCGCAGGAGAGATCTTGTGGGAGCATCTGGAGACCATGAGGAGAGGTGAAGACAGACTGATTCTTCAGAGCCTCGAACTTGAAATGTCCCTTGGGGTTGTAGTATGCTCTTTATTATTAGTCCTTGTCAGTGCTCATGGAGTAATAACCCAATATTATTCTGTTTGAATTCAACTCTCCAGAGGATGAATATGACTCGACTATACCATCTTACTGCCAGCTTCTAATCAACAAAGGTAATAATAATAATTAGAGGTGGGCACGTCAACGGATTAGTATTTTTTTCACGTTAACACGTAAATGCAGGAACGACCACCATTATTTTAACGCATGTCAACAAAGTTACTTTAAAATTATTATTATTTTCAGTCCGTTCACTTTCCTCTAACAGGGACACCTGCTATTGAACATAGATTATAGATAGATAGATTAATGGCAGATATATAGACTGTTTATGCTGTCCTGACAAAAGATTCATGTTTACCTTTTCAGAAAAAAAGATAAAATAGATAAATGTTAGCTTGTCTGTTATGATGGTATGATAATGGAAGGTAACTTGTTTCTCTATGACATACTAGATAAAATGCCAATGTCCTGGCAGTGGAAAATAGCTTTGGTTTTATGTTAAGTTTAAGTTGAGATTTACAAGAAAAATATTTGAACTGCTTCTGTGTAAAGGGAATACTGCATCTTATTTGTTTAATTTCGAAAATTTTCGAAATTCATTATTAAAATTCATTATTAAAATGTTCACATTACAATCAATTGCAATAAAAGATTTGAATCATTGGTCAGCACTTATAATAATGTATTCTTCCCCGACTGTTGTAATTACTATAATATCTACTTCAACAATCACATGTAATAACTATATCTTTTCTTGTCATAATTCATTTACCTGTGTTTCCTCAGACTTTGCTCAGGAACATACAGACAAACACAGTTACCATGTTCAGTATTATCCTACTGAGAGGACGGACCTTCTCACTCTGCATCCTGTGACGGTTGAACATCAGGACTACTATCTGATAAAGACAGAAGATCCCAGTAGGAACATGGCCGCTGCTGCTCCGCAGCATGAATCAGGGGCCAGAGGTGAAACACACGTTATACATTACAACGGGAAAATGAAATGACAGCAAATGAATGCAGCCGTCAGTCTAAATCAGAGCATTACTGGAGCAGTAAATAACTATTTGCTATGTTAATAGTGGAGTAATGTCTACCTGAGCAGACACAAAGTCTCTCCCTATCTCTCTTTGTCGGTCCGGCTGCTCGTACGTCATGCTCATACAATTCCCTTTGGAAACGTCTTCTAACCCACACGGGAACTCAGAGTTTACTTATTATTTTCAGAAGGGTCGGTGGAGACCAAAGCAGAGGCAACAGTCAATATTGGACTTCTAACACATGCATAACTGAATGATAGTGTTGCTCTGTATATACTGAATCTGTAAATAAGTAATGTGTTTCACATAACAAGTAACTAACTGGTGAAGAAAGTACACTTGACCACTGTTTGCAGGACTCACGGCAGACTGACAAAGCTAAAAGAAAAGTAACTATCCACAGTTTAGCATCCTCCACCTAGAACCCTCCTTCCTCATTAATCAGCTCTCTCCTGTGTCTCTACTGTTTAATTGCAGAGACGGACTCAGAAGCAGACATAGCGCACAGTGACGACACAGAGATTGTGGGCTCTTTATCCTGGACCGCTCCCCTCCAGGATCTAGAGCAAATGACGGAGGAGACCATGTCTGGGGACGTCTTTACCTTACCACTCCAACACAAGAGCTTCAGAGAATACGTTGGCAACAAAACAGATCTGGGCAGCGCCGTGATACCAGCAGCTATCCTTGCTGGATACACTGGTATGTTTTTATATCTCGGCTGGACTTTTACCAGTTGTAAATCGATGCAGCAGGTCTTCAATTTATTGTTTTAACAGGAAGTGGTCCTATTCAACTGTGGCAGTTTCTGCTAGAACTTCTCACAGACCGCAGCTGTCAGTCATGTATCAGCTGGACAGGAGATGGGTGGGAATTCAAGCTGACGGATCCTGACGAGGTACTTATCACCTAAAGGTTTGAACAATACAGTTAAGCCATGTTAAGCCTTCTTTAAGACAAGTTAGCCCACCTCTGTCAAATGTTTCCAACAATTCCAAAACGTATTTCATCATGTTATATCTAGTTTTTGGTCACTGCTAGATGGAAGAAGAAGAAGAGTAAGTTGGAAGTATAATAATTCTGGAGTTGTTAATATGTGCTTGGCTGGTGTGTACAGTACCAGACAAACATTTGGACACATCTTCTCATTCAATTCAATGAGAAACTTTTGACTGGACTATAGCTATCATTTATCTCTGATTGTGGCCTTTATGCTAAGCTAAGTAAGGCTAAACATACCCTTTGCATGTTTCTTTAGAGTTCAAATGTGGCTTTGGAGACAGGCATCAGTTTCCCAAGTAGAGCAACCCAAATCTAGCCAGCACCTCAAGATCAGATTGCGGGTGATAGAGGGTTTAAGTGTCCAAATACTAATTAAAAACTGCAAACTGAAGGTCCTTCTACCTGAGCTGCTGCCTGCTCTCCTCCCGGAAAGGTTGGCCGTTTGAGGCAGGGAGGACCAAACAAATATATGAGTTGATTCTGACACTTTGGATTGAATCCAACAAACAATATATCCAAACGATTTACGGTTTAAGACAGGAAGGGCCATAATCCAATTACATGTAATGTAATTAAATTATGTCTTTTTATCGGTCTAGCACAGGGGTGCCCATTCTTTTCCGGTTTGCAATCTCAATCTACCCCCTCCCCTCCGACGACCAGCCGACAGGGGGGAAATTAAATGAAATTAAATGCGCCCGTTAGTAAGCACGTGGCGTGATTTTTTTTAGCAATGGCAGGCATCTACTGGCACTGCCTAGTGCTGGACCACGGATCGATCGCAATCGACCTATTGGTCACTCCTGGTCTAGCGCTTCATGTTTGTGTAAGCAATATGATTAAGATCAGTTCATCAGCCCAATTTTTTGTGACTCAAGCCTGTGCTGTTGTCATTTAGCAATTTCAAACATGACATCTGCAGCTTTAAATATATTTTTTCATTATTGTATAGGAGTATAAGGTTGTTGTATCTGGAGCTCTAGAAGTTGATATGTAGCTGTGTCTCCAGGTGGCCCTGCTGTGGGGTCAGAGGAAGAACAAACCCAAGATGAACTACGAGAAGCTGAGTCGTGGCCTGCGATACTACTACGACAAGAACATCATCCGCAAGACGGCTGGCAAACGCTACGTCTACCGCTTTGTCTGCAACCTGCAAGGCCTGCTGGGATATGAGCCCGAGGAGCTTCACGCCATGTTGGACATTGGTAACAAGAATCGCTAGCGAACTCAACAGTAGCAACAAAGGGACACTTTTTATATGGGATTCTTCAGTTCATAACTTTTTATCGGTTTCCTTTTGTTCATGTAAATCAGAGGCTTAGAGGATGATACATCCTGTGTGTGTGGGTGTGGGTGGATGTGGACAGTTTGCTCTTAATACTGTATAAGTTTTGAGTCTTAATAGATGAATGGTAGCACTTTATCTTGATTGTAATTACAGTCAAACAATAAGACAAGCACATAAAGCCACGTCATTTACTCCTCTGAGAATACATACGACTGGTGGAGTTGGTTTCCCAATATACAACCAACAATATAAGCCACCAGTTATTTCCAGTGAGAAACTAATAGTGAGAGAATACCGTGTTTTTAACGGAGATCATGTGTGGCCGGACTAATGGAACCTAATTGATGTATTCACGCTCGCTCAGCCTTTCACTTCACCTCGGATGAGAAGTAGGCTGTGTGTGTGGGTGACTAGAATAGGCGGCTCCTGCAGCGAAATCAAGCGCCCAGATCTAACATCTCCCACCTCATAAGGCTTGTTTATGGATTTATTGCCCTCTCAATTCCTGGTACACCAGGGGATCCATTTCTGCTTCTGTTGATTTAAGCATGAATCTTTTCAGTCGGACCCTGCAAAGCATGTTTATGGTGTATTCTCACATAAGTAGAACAGACAATTTGTGATAGAACGTGTCTGTTGAGGTTATGTTAGTGTGATGCAAAATAGAAAGCTTTTCCTCTACTTATGTATCAGTATTTTCTTTTTTCTTTGTTTCAGCCCCAGTATAATGGAATAATTGGAATTTATACTATAGATCAGGGGTCACCAAACTGTGATGGGGGCCGGGGCCGGGTCAGCTATATAACATAGAATTGTATGACCCAGATCAAAATGACCACCAGCAGGCCTCATTGTGTAGTAGAGATTACTAGCAGTAGGCTCAAAACTAAAGCACAACCGTAATACAGAATGGGGCCCTGGCAAGGAGGGATGACATATTGAACACAAGAAGCACCATATTCAGGGTTCATACACATTTTAACCAATACTTTTCCATGACTTTTCGGCACATTTCCATGACTACTTTGATTAATATGTGCGAGGGAAAGAGAGCAAGACAGCGCTTAGTTTGCAGACGGTGAAGGCTCCGAAGAGAGAAAGTGACCGTCTCTCTCTCTCTCTCTCTGCTCGTTCTTTCAGTTAAACTAGCAGCTCTGCTACAGGAGCAGATAACTTTAACGTTACATGGCGGTCACATCGTCTCTAAACAGTCTGCTCACAGTGAAGTCCTGCGCGGAAGTCTTTTTTTTTAAAGAATTCACCAACACCACGAAACATTTCCGCACAGCGGGAAAAAAAGTCCGCGAGTGACAGTACAATTACATTATGGAAGTAACTTGCCAACACTGTCAGCACCTACTTCGCCTCAGGCAACATCGCAACAAGCGAGTGAATCAGAAGTGAACTGAACGTTATGCCATGACGACTTTTGGGGATTGCCTCATTGGGCCGGTTCAAGTAGTGGGGGGCAGAGGGGCTGGGGGGCCAGTCAAAGGGGGGTGGCGGGCCTGAGTCGGCCCGCGGGCCTTAGTTTGGTGACCAATGACCTAACTCACAACTGGTCTGCACTTTAGCTTGTTAGGATTTCACTTACTGTTACTGTACTGTTAATTTATATTGCACACATTTCATTTAATTCAAGTTTTTCTTTTACAACCTGCTCAGTTTAGCACTTTTCCCCTTACCTAATTTATGCCTTATCCATACCTCATTTTTATTTTTATTTCATGTACATTTATGTAAATATTGTATTTTTTATTTTAATTTTAAAATTGGTCGGCTTTCCAGAAAAGGCAAGCACAAGAATTTCAATACACAGGGCGTGTGTAATTGACAATAAAAATCTTTCAATCTAATGATGTTGTTACATGAAATTAGAACTATGAAGTATGATACTATGTTTGTTATATTAGTCCTATATTATGTTATATGATATTATAAATATGAAGTTTGTGTATCAACTGGCAGCTAACTAACTAACATCATGGCACGGAGGTGTTTTTTTCATCGCATTCAACAACTCAAATGTGAATTAAGAACCTTTTAATATGTCAAAGAACCATTTAATATCCCAAATAACAAAAAACACGTAGAACCATCTAATAGATAAAATGGTTCTTTAGAAGGTGTTGGTTCTTTGTAGAACCAGACTGTCTTGGGGCTTGTGTTTTTTTAAAAACACTTTAGAAATATAGCTATGAGGTAGATGGATGAGGTAGGATGGAGTGGGAGATGAAGGAAGGTGTTCTTACAGGTGTCCAGTCTCAGGCTCATGATGTTGACGTCCTGGATGGTCTCCTTTTTCTTCTCTTTTGTCTCCTATTTCTTTGTCTCCTTGTCCTGCATCTTGCGCCTCATTTTGTCCATCTCCGTCTGCCGGTCTTGCATCCGTCTCCCAAAAGTTCCTCTTTTCTTTTTTTGAAGTCGAGGCAGATGTTCTCAAGGACTGTTTTGTCGTCCTCTAAATCCTGGATCCTGGTAATAAGGATCTGATTTTCCTCTCGGATCTTAGAGATCAGGAAACCACTGCTTGTGACCGTCTCGTGGTGGGTATCCTCTTGGCTCTTTTTAGAAGCAGCCAGAGAATCCCTCCAGGTCTTCAGCAGTTTATGTTCTGCTTTCAACTGCTGCCAGGTCTGGTTGTTGACCGTGAGTTCAGCACTTTTGACAGAAAGTTGTTCTGTGGTCTCGGTGAGCTTCAGCAATAAACCCTTGTTCTCCCTGATAGTCTCAGCCAGAGCCTCTGTTTTGATGTTTAGCAGTTTGTGTTCTGCTTCCAACTGTTGGTTGTTGGCCTGCTGCTTGTGCAGCTCCTCTTGAAGAGAAACGTAGGTGGAAAGTAACCCTGTTACTTTAGACTCCATGGACTGTTGTTGGTTATTCAGTTCCTTGAATGTCTTTTCCTCCAGATCTTCATATTTCTGCTGCCAGTTTTGACAGGGAGTTGTTCTTCTGTCTCTCTGAGCTTCAGAACTGAATGGTTGTTCTGCTCAATAAGATTCTGGACCTGGATATATATATATATATATATATATATATATATATATATTTATGAAAGACCTCCACCAGAATACATTCAACAAGGTTTAAATCACATCAACAGAAATAGAAGTATTACAATCATGGTTATAGCAAAGCAGACTGGAGATGAAGTATATTTAAAAAATGTTAAGCAACCATGTGTGTATCAGACACTTTTCACAAGTGTTTCTAACAACATGGATGCTAACTCTTATTCTCAGTCTGTCTATTAGGACGGCCTCACAGCGCAGTCTTCTGTTTTTATTGATAAAAGAATATAATTTAACACTAAAGTCAATAGCAGGCCAAAATAGTTACAGATAACACGAGGAGGTAAATAAGTTCCAATGATGCAAACCAAGGTTTTGTGTTAGTTTCTTATGTGTGTGAAGTGTGTCTCACAATGGAGAAACACAGATCATATGGATCATCTTCTCTAAATACAGTTTCTGATTCAGATCCATGAGTGCAGCTCCCATAATCTAACTTTGATCTTAATGCAGCTACATAAGACATCTGACCCCACGAGGATCATTTTACACACTTTTAAAGGTTTCTCTTCATGAATATGACCATTGTATATTTAATTAAATTAGCATATTAATATATTACTTTGGTAATTCAATTCAATTCAATTCATTTTATTTTGTATAGCCCATAATCACAAATTACAAATTTGCCTCAGAGGGCTTTACAGTCTGTACACATACAACATCCTCTGTCCCGAAACCCACCATCGGCACAGGAAAAACTCCCCAAAAAATGAAAAAACCCTTCCAAGAGGGAAAAAAGGGAAGAAACCTTAGGGAGAACGTCAGAGGAGGGATCCCACTCCCGGGATGGACAGACTACAATGGATGTCATGTGTACAGAATGAACAATGTATAATACATGCAATTCCTATGACAGAAATGATTCAAGTAATTGTGAGTAGTAAGCCAGGCGCACAGCAGGACCACTGCAGGGGCAACCACCCATAGCCTTAGCCTTATTCTACTAACCCATTGCATTAGCATTTCATTCCACTTTATTTTATTACTTGTGCACTGTTGTCTTGTCTGTCTACTGTCGCGCACTAACCGCCAAGACAAATTCCTTGTATGTTTGACATATTTTGGCTAATAAATGTTTCCTGATTCCTGATTCCTGATCAGATAGAACCACCATCACATAGAACCACCATCCACAGAAGCCTGTGGGGAGGGAGAGCACAGAGTACAGTAATATGATTAATATCTAAAATAATGATGATGATGATGATGATGATGATGATGATGATGATGGCAGGCGTCAGCATGGCCAGGGTAGGTGTCAGGACCAGGGTCCCGACGCAACCACGATCTACGGAGACCTGATAGGGGAGAAAGCACAGAAGAAAAAAAAAACTCCCGGAAAGAAGCTGAATTAGTCATGTGCATTAATAAAACTTGAATTATGGTAGAACGAGAGCGTGAGAGAGGAGCTCGGTGTGTCCTAAGAATTCCCCCGGCATTCTAAGCCTATAGCAGCTTAACTAAGGGCTTGTCCGGGCTAACATGAGCCAGCCCTAACTATAGGCAGAATCAAAGAGGAAAGTTTTAAGCAAAGAGTAAGCAAAGTTTTTCATTGCACTTTTAATGTGTTGCTGTTCTCAACCTGCGTTTCCTCTTGGCAGGAACAGACAGCTAGCTTACACTTTCCTTTATGAATAAAGATGAACTACCAGCCTTGATTTTCATATGTGTAATGTTTTCATCCTCTGCAGTTATTCATGGCGGATTGATCATTGTCAAACTGGAACAGACAAAACAAAGGGTACATAAATACCACGTAAAACACCAGGATAACATGACACATATACACATATAAATTGAAGAATTTACATTTGCTTGAGCACCTCTTTTCCCCATTTAAAAACAACTAATGTTATTAATATATTAGAAAAATGATCGGTGGTTTATGTTTCCCCTTAGCATTTTATGGAAAACAGCTATTATGGAAGAGGCTGTTTTGGGCCCAACTACCAAAGTAGTCAGAGCAAGGACCTGTTGTTTTTCTAACATATACAATAAATATTAGCCAGTTTTGAATGGAAAAGAGAGGAGCTCAGGCAAATGTAAATTCTTCAAAATGTATAATTATATATTTAGTCCTATATTAGTTCTACTATATTATGCCATATCAGTGTTTCCCCCAGGTTCACAACTTTGGGGGGGGGGCGCGGACGTACCGGAGGGTGCACTGTATAATGATATTATGTTCTATGATATTAGAAATACTAAGTATGATGCCATGTTTGCTACGGGGTTGTGTCCTCAGCCCCGTCCTCTACACCCTGTTCAGCCACGACTGTGTTGCCTCCCACAAGGATAACATCGTCCTGAAGTTTGCTGATGACACCGCAGTGATAGGACGCCGTAGGGAAGCCGTAATGGGAAACCGGACTCACTCTCACGAATCTACTCGCCCTCTAGTCCCCAGGATACAGATCCCATCATTCCCTCCACCTGTGTGGTGGGGGCAGCATCGTGGGAGATCGAGTCAGTGGTTAAGGAGGCCCAAGAGGTTGTCCCGGATCCTGGCGGAGGTCCTCCTGCTCGTTTGTTCGTCCCACCTGCAGTCCGGTCACAGGTCCTTCAGTGGGGGCATTCGTCTAAATTGACGTGTCATCCGGGAGCCCACCGTACCCTTATCTTTCTCCGCCATCGCTTCTGGTGGCCGGGGATGGCGAAGGATGTTTGTGAGTTCGTGGCTGCCTGCTCTGT